TGCATATTGCTTTCAGTAGAAATTATTTATTTGGGTGGTTATTCATGAGCAATAAATTCTGTAAGTTCTTATTATTTGAAGGTGTAAGTGATTAGGTAGTGTAGAAAGCAGTTTTGTTGCTCAGATGAATAATGTTTTATAATGAGTCTAATCTCTTATAGAATTAAGATGCTGTAAAATGAATCAGCAATTCCTCATACTTAATAAAATAGGTAATTTGTTAGTCCTTTTTTGAAACTGACCATATAACTGACAAGACCAAACACAACGAACAGTTAATATGAGCATTCTTTGATCTGCAACCTCTGTTTGATTAAGTTTAGGCAACTAAACTTACTTTTAAGACATATGAAAATATTCTTCTTGGTATAATACAATTTGTGTATGGTATGATTTTTACACAAAAACTGTCAATTACCTGGATAAAAATGTAACAAAAAGCACATTCACTTTTTCTCCCTTGTTGAAAAAAACAGATTCTGTGAATATGCGAATGATTTTCATTTCAAACGTTTAACTGTGGGACACACAATGTCTCCTACTTCACTCAAAAAGTCCATTATTAGTGTATGTGCAGTGGCAGAGTAAATGTTTCCACTTACACTTTAGTATAATAGCCAATAATAATTGTTGTGATGTCAATTAATAATCTTTGTACATACGCGTGTTAAACTAAGGTGAGCACAGGGAAACTTTCCTCCTTCAGCAGATGAATGTGAAAACAGTCTTTTCCACTCTGCTTATACATCATTCTGCACTCTGAAGGTCAAACACGCAAGTGAGGTAACAATAAGCAAAACACATTTTTGAGTGGAGGGGGACTTAAAGGTTAGGGGGATATCATAGTTATGGTTAAAAGAAGCCAAAGTTGACTGTCGGTAGGAGACGGGATGCAAACTGTCAGTTGCAGTTTACAGGTGGTGCATTTTCAGTCATCTGGTATTACGTAAATCCACTCCAGGACAATACCACTGAATCTAAGCCTTGGCATTCCCTACAGCATGTTATTATTTTGTCCTTCAACAAAATTAATGCATTTTAGAGGACGTGCTACAGTCATATGAATAGTTTCGACAAACAATAGCAGCTTTTTCACAGCTTGGCTGGCACAAATGCAATGATATACGATGGAAGATGGGGGAAAATGAGGATAATCAAGGTCATTGTAGAGGGATTCATAGGGAGGAATCATTATACATTTCCTCATTCGTTCTTCAGGAATTTCCACTTACTGCTTACTGTGTTGTGTTGCAGTTGTAATGCAAGACAAAGAAAAAGTATGTCACCACAATGTCTATTCAGTAGCTGTCAGTAGCTGGAGATTACAGTATTTTGTTAATTAGGCTTATTAAGAGAATGATCACATTATTAGTAATAGAATATTAGCTCTAAATTTGGCAAGTTTTATTTTAAGAAGCATTTTAGTTTACACATAAGTTTTAATACAATTTAGAAAAAAAAACATTAACTGCTGTGGGCAAAGCATGCCCCAGTACTTTTTGAGGACTTCATCTTCTACTCTGCTGATTACTGCTGACCGCAGCAGCTTTAGTGAAGCACCAACCTGCAGTCTACAGTTTTCCTTCGGCTGGTAATCTGTCTTTAGGGCAAGACTTTAGGTGTTTGTTTGCTTCATTGTTACTGAGCGTGATGAAATGAAATGAGTAAACAGTTCAATGAAATTTGGCTAAAAGTTCTGCTAAAATAAGAAGTGATTCAGTTTGGAGCTGCAACTAACAATTATTTCTATTATCTATTGATCTGTTTGCTTTTTTTTGGTAGTGGTTTTGTACAGTAGCCCTGAGAGCTCAAATCCCTGCAGCTTATGAAAGCGCAAATAGACAAAACACAAACAGCTCAAGAAAACGTCAGTTTGACAAAATATTTGCAACTTTTCGAAAACCTGACCTAATACAGAAATACACTCTGGAAACATCTATGTAACCACCATTCGTTGTGCAAAAAAAAAAAATAAAATGCACACCCCAAATGTCTTTTGTCCTACCAACAGAGGAAAACCCAAGAATATATATTAGCTATTGTATATAAAAAAGAGAAGCTGCTCGAAAATGACAGTGAATCCATTATCACATTTTTGCTTGATTAATTAATCAACTAATTGATCATCAGATCATTGCAGCTCTAATTCAGCTTGGTGCAGATTGTTTGTAATGCTTTTTATTTGTCTTCGCAGTATAGAACACATTTGAACTTTGTTGACCATACTTAAATAATCCTGTGGTTATCTGTGGATTTATGTAAATTCAGATTAAAGCTTTCTATCATTTTCTTTTACAAGATTATGCAGCCTTGGTAGAGCGTGACCCACTCTGAGTTCTTTCTAATTGTTAACATTAGCCATTAGCTGCCCGACCATTTACTCAAGGACTCTTCAGCAGACACACACTTGCCTTTATGGCAGCTTGAAATGAGATTCTCCAGCTGAACGCTGGCCCTGCCCTTCCCTCCTGCACACTGCTGCCCCCTGTAGCGATTGGACTGACCTCTACCATAATAATGATGCAACTGCACATTAAGACCTCAAGTGAGTCAAATCAATATCTAACCGGGTGAAATCCATGCCACTGAGGATAATGTCTTCGTCAGGTGCTATCGGGGTCAACAGGTGGGATAGATTATTGATTTGTCAGGCTCAACTAGTCTTGCATATGTATTGATTAGCAAGATCAGATACTATAAGTATATGAGACAGATGATGCATGTAGGTGGCTCGAGTGGATGGTGTTAGGGCAGTGAAATTCTCACTAAATTCCTTCATGACCTTGGCACCGACAGGAAAGTTCATATAGGAGAGATAGTGCAAGTCATTAGTCCGTTTCAACTTCCTGTCGCTGATAAATATTTGATGCAGTTTTTTGCAATATATTATACAGCCTGGTTGTTGGAGTGTATCAGAACTGAGAGATAAGAGAGGGGAAGAAAAGTTTTCATACACCCTAATCATGTCTCGTCTCTGCAGAATAAACCTTCGATAGCGGGTTACTATGGATGAGTTTTAAGCAGAAGTTTGGACTGCAGAGGATCTATTGAAAATTATGGATTCTTGTGTTTCTCTGTGTCTTCTTCTCTTGCTCTCAGCTGCCTATTTACCTTACTATGAAAATATTTGATGTGTAAGTGTCGCAAAGTAATTCCACAAATTGTAATACTTGTTAAGTTAAGTAAATGAATCTATGTTTGGGACAGGATCGGGTTGTACGACAGATGCTATATAGTAACAATAGAATCAAATATTAAGTGTTAATTAATTAAAACATCCAAATGAACTTTCCAACCACTACAAAATAATCCATTTCCCCACAAGCCATCTGGATGCTTAAACGGTTATATTTCGACAAATGTGGATAAATACACTTTTTCTGCATGACCCTCTCAGGCCGATAAACAAATGAGTGATAGTTTGCCTTCTGCTTTCCTGTTTAGGAAAACTACTCCAACCAATGGCCACATATGAGCTGTAGAATAGAGTGGACTTGAACTTTAATGTCCCAGAGGGACAATTTGGTCATCCAATGAATAATAAACACAAAAGAGCACAGCAATCAATAAAAACAGCAATGACAAAACAAGTACAGAGGGGCACAGGTTAAAGGGGCCCTTTTGAGTTTCTAATAACTAGTGGAGCTAGTTTTCATGAATGGGTCAATATTTTGTTTGCATTGGAGTGGTTTCATGCTATTCTGGTTTTATGTGCCATGTGTTTACTAACTTACTAGGGTGAATGTTTTTACTTTTGTAATTTGAGAAGAGAACAATCATTTATATCAGTGCAGCAACCATCATTTTTGTTTTATTAAATAGGTCAAGGTTTATTTTTGTTTAATTTACAATGAAGTTACAGTTTTATGGTGAATATTTGTATGATTCTAAGAAAATGTCACAGGGCTTCTTTAATGATAACGTCAACACCTATCTATCAGTAGCTCGTCTGTTGGATCGAGCCTTCATTCCCCACGTGCGTCAGTGAGCCTCAGCCGCCCATTACCCTGTCTCCAGTTCACCACTTTTCCTTCCTTGGACCACTTTTGATAGGTACTGACCATGCAGACCGGGAACACCCAACTAGAGCTGCAGTTTTGGAGATGCTCTGACCCAGTCATCTTACAATGTGTCCCTTGTCAAAGTCGCTCAAATCCTCCTTTCTGCTTCTAACACATCAACTCTGATGCTGCTGCCTGATATATCCCACCCACTGACAGGTGCCATGATAAGCAGATAATCAGTGTTATTCACTTCACCTGTCGGTGCTCATAATGTCATGGCTGATCGGTGTATGTTTTCATTAGTGTATAATTTTGGTTAGTGTTTTTGTTACCTTAGAATAACACAGTGGGTCACAGTGATTCTACGGCAGCCCAGAATGGAAAAACGAAACACTGGCTATAGCTAGAGCCCTTCTCATTTTTCATGGGTTTCGCTGCCACCGTAGTTTCTCCTACACATTTCAGTACAGACCCCTGCGGTGTTCAGTTAGATGCAATAAAGGCAACCGCTAGATGCCACTAAATCCTACTGGTCCTTTGAGTCCGTTGTTTGAAGTACTTAAGACCTGAACGTGAATTTAAGTTTTATCTGGTAAACTGATTTTATTTGTACAGACAGTAGTTACTTCCTTTCAGACGTTAAACCACCAGAGGCCGAAAAGAGCCTGGGGAGATCTAAGAGACCTTTTCATCTCTGTTTCAGTCAGTGGTTTAGATAAAATCAGGTGACCTTGACTTTGCGTACTTGTGTGCATATAGGTGAGGTGCAGTATTGTTTGTATGCATTGTCCTGTTTGTCCTTCTAAGTTGTTTCTCAGAGGCGAGACCAATGATGAAATCCCTGCCCTGGTGCTACAATAACCTTTTCTTTTTATAATTCTCTGTTGTCAGACTCAGAAGCCAATCTTTGTTGGATCTATTGTGAAACGCTGAATCGAGTGTGCAGCGAGCCATAAAGGGTCCCAGGGTCATTTTTCTCTTCCTCTCTTTTTTCAGCCTGACCATGTCCACTGGAGCAAGATCATGACTTTACTCAATGAGTCAGACGAGTCCTCCCCTCCCTCCTTCCCTCTCTCCTCCCTTGAGCACAATTTATCCGTCTTCGCCACCCATGGCCCTTCATACTCCCCCATATCCTTCCCCACCTCCTCATCCTTCTCGCTGACGTCCTCCAACTGCACCAGCTCGTCGTCAGCCACCTCTCCTCCGTACAACTTCTACGCCGTGCTGCTGGTGCTGCTGATCTTCTGCGTGGTGTTCGGTAACGTGCTGGTGTGCGTGGCAGTGTCGCGGGAGCGCGCTCTGCAGACCACGACCAACTACCTCATTGTCTCGCTGGCTGTGTCCGACCTGCTGCTGGCCACGCTGGTCATGCCCTGGGGCGTGTACCTGGAGGTGTGTGTGTGTGCGCTCTTGTGTGTGTCTGCATTTCTTTCTGTATTAATATATTGTGTTTCTGTATGGTCAGCGCACTGACTTTTTTCTGTTTTGTAAGCAAAAAAAGGAAAGAAAACAACACTCTCAGCGTGATGCGGTGGAAACTAAAAGGGGATAAAAAAAATGTGTGGGTTATTTGCTTGTTTATCTAAAAGTCATTTTCCACTGAACACATGCAAATCAGATGCAGGAACATCAGACTTCAGAGCAGCCGCAACAGATTTGTATTATGGAAGTTAATTTGATGTAATTGATATTTTAATTAAATTTGTTGAACTCACTATGCTTACTTTCATTACAGATCAATCATTATAGAGCTACAATTCATTTAGTAATCATTAATTGAATTGAATCTGTCGACAGTAAGTGAATTGACTATTTTGATAACTGATTTATTGTTTTAGAAAAAAAATGACAAAGGCTCTCAAATGTGAAGCCTCTTCTCTTTATCACATATGACAGTAAACTGAATATCTTTGGGTATTAGATTGTTGGTGGACTAAAACAAATCTGAATACGTCCTCTTGGCCTGTGGGAAATTATAACAGACATTATTCTCTTTGCTGATATATTAGACAAAGTTATTAATCAGTCGTGAAAATAATCAGCAGGTCAATTATTAATGAACATAACTGGTAGTTGTAGCCCTCTATTGATTAGTCAGAAAATAGTGGAAAGTCAAGTCAGCAGTCAAACACCCAAAGTTATTGAATAATTAACTGAATAATTGTTTCAGAACAGAGCAGTTCTGTAACAACACAGCTTTCCCAAATGCAGAACAGAGAAAGACTTAAAGTCAAAGTGTGAGAAATACAAGAAAACCTGAAAATGTACTGTATCTGACACTATGTTTTGGTTACAGGAAGACATTGCATTTACATACAAGGTTCAATTAACTAATTATCTAACTGAATCCTGCAAAACTGATACTAACAGCCCGTTTTCAGCCTGCATTAGAGTTTATCTGTGCCTGCAACATTGGTGTTGGGTTCTGTGTACTGCAACTCACCATGTCACAATGTCAGTGTCTAAATGGAGAGATTCAGATCGCTCATTCTGTCCAATAAACAGTCCAAAGATAATTACTTTACTATCACATAGGACAATGCAAAGCAGCAAATTATTCTGGCAGATGGAGCAAACGCGCAAGGGTTAATGAAAACGTTGCTCATTAATTTCCTGTTGAATTACTAATAAGGCCATCCTATTAATGTCAATAATCACTGAATCAGTGCTAAAAAATGTATTGAATAAAACATAAAAACCTTGAATAATCATTTCAGTATTTTCAGATAATCACGTCAGATAACTGACAATTACAAACAATGTCTCACAGAAAATGAAAAATTAATTCAAGTGGGCAAAAGAGATGAAAAGACCACCTTTTTTAATGTAACCCAATATCTTTTTCTATTCTGATACTGGAGACAAAATGAAACGTTCACATTCTTTGTGGCTAAATTGGGTCACGTCAGAAGCAAATCATGCACATTAAATATTAACTATACTTTATTAACTGAGTGATCCAGCCTGCTTAATATTAATGCTGCCCCACTGGTGTTACAACTGTTTAAACTGGCCAAAATGTAAAAAAAAAAAAAAAAAATGAAGGAAGAAATGAAAGTCCTTGAAAAAGAATGTCAGTTTGTCTTTGTTTCGTTGAAGGTGGTGGGAGAGTGGCGCTTCAGTCTCATCCACTGTGACATCCTGCTCACCCTGGACGTCATGATGTGCACCGCCAGTATCCTCAACCTCTGTGCCATCAGCATTGACAGGTGGAACTTTACTTTTTACTTTAATCTTTGGTTTACTCTCTCTACTGTGTGTATTTTTTCTTCTTCTTCTCGATGGTTCACCTCTTATTGGATTTTTTAAATCATCATCTTTCTCTCTTTTCTTACAATTTATTTATCTCTCCTGAACTGCCTTTCAGCGAGAGAAGAAGTAGTAGTTGATGATAAATAATTTCACTGTACTTTTTATCCGTAAGGAAGACCAAAATAACAACGATGACAGTGAATCAATATGTCATTTCTTTACTGTGTACTCTCCCCTAACCTCCATCTCGAATGGTACAGGTTTCGCTAAATAAAGAGCTGGCAACACACACGCCTGCAGTAAAAAACACACACACACACACACACACGCACGCACGTCCACTAAAACCTTTAAACATGCATCCATCATCCAGCTGACTCGGAGCAGCAGCACTGTTTGTCTTTCAGCAGGTAATGGCTTCCACTGTGTCTTCTGCAACGTCCTCTGCAGTCATTAGTGTTTGTTCTCTGGATCAAGGAGACTACATGTTCGATGATTTGCTTTTCCACCTGATGCCCTCTCCGAGGGTCCTGGGGGAGGTGACCAGACACCCAGCGGGCAGGTCGTCTGCAGCTGCGTCCGAATTACTCTTTGACAAAGTGACACATTGAGGCTGCACCACTTTGGACTTGTGTAATCTGGCGCAATGGCTGAGGATAAAGTTTAATTGCTTTGTCGAAGCTCCAGACGATGCAGTCAGAAAGATGTTTTGGTGTCATGCCCCAGTAATTTGTGAAACTGTGACTGCAAGGTTAAAGTGCTGACAACTTTAATTTGAGGGTACTTACATCCACATCAGATCAGCAGTGAATGAGTCGTAGCCCTTTTTATAGTCTTTCAATTGTGATTGATAGAAAGTAATTGGATAAATTAGCATAAACCCAAATAAAGACGTGTCTACTGTGTAATTACTGCTGATGATTTTTAGCCATGCTGACAGCATGGCTGTAGGGATCAGTGTCGCTAACTGAGGAACTTTATTGCTAGATTAGATGACTTTTAAGACCCCTCAGCACTAACAACAAATGTACCGACTTCCTCATCTCCTTTGAAGAGAGTCTCCAATATTTCTCAACGAATTTGCTCCTGTGTGACTGTGTCTCTCTGGACTGACGGTGTTCAGGGAGTGGAGGAGAGTGGCAGCACGACCAATCACTGATCCCTATTGTTCTCCTGTTTCTTGGTTTTTGTTCTCAATGATTTCACTTGACTGTTTAAGTTATATTTCTTCTCAAAGTACACAGTGGAGTTCACAAGAGTGAGTTTAATCTGGTTTCTCAGTTCTTTTTATTCATGACACACTAGTTTTTGAAATTAGAGTTAATGATAAACCTGCTTATAGCCAGTTACGTTTAACTCAACCTCATCATTTTATTATTATTATTTTTTTTTAAATCTTGTTTAAATGTAAGTACTTTCAAGCAGTTTTAGCCACTTTCCATTGAAAATATTGGCAACACTGCTAGGGATGGCAATGTCACCCCTCTGGTCCAGACTTAAATATCTCAACAACTATTGGACGGATTGCCATGAAGTGTTTTCGGAGACAGAGATTAATCCTAATGGCTTAAATGAACCCCTGACGTTTCCTCTAGCGCCACCATGAGATTGACATTTGTGGTTTTAAGTGAAATATATCAACAACTATTGGTTGGATTGCCATGATCGTTAAAAATTTCAGTTTGTCCAAACATGCTACTTTGGTTAATCACCCAGAAACTATTGACATTCCCATCAGCCTCAGTTGTTCTTTGTGTTTAGTGCTAATTGACAAATGGTAAACTACAGCTTCACAGAGCTGCAGCATCTCTTTTAGGTATGGCAAGGCAGGGCAATCATGCACAATCTTTGTCATGTTTTACACAAATTCAACATAATAAATATTGTAACTAAATTCAGTTAAAATGCAGTATTGTCCTTCTGTCCTCTAGAAGCCACTGCATACAGCGACACAATAGAAATGTATACATTTAAACCAAAAAAGTCCTAAGACAATTTATTTTCCTGTGTAATTCCTACAGCAGTCTTTCACAGCTGAAATATATTACTTAGGTACTTTTTGTAAAGATTTTTAGAAACACTGAAGTACAGTGCCTCCAACATCCATAGACTGCAGCTTTTACATTTTCACAACTGAAACAACGAAGACTTCCTGGGAATTGAATCTTTTGAAAGCTTAGTTTCCTCAGTAGAGTCTTGCGCAACTGTTTTTTGTCCGTGACCCTTTGCCTGCCATCAGGATTACAGTTGCTCGCTGAAGAAGACCACTCACACCTGCGCTTACAGCCGAACACTCTAATTGCTTCTGACATACTGGCAGATGTGTGTTTTGTGTCCTTGTGGCTATGAAACAGGCAGTGGCAGCTTCTGTCTGTTTGAGGAGAAACTGGGAATTTGTTTCTATGCGCTCTGTATCAAGTGCCTGAGTTTACTTTAAAATATGTGTGGACATGACGATGGGATAATAAAGTCTGAAAATGCACTAACAATCTTTACTCTGCATTGATATGTGTTCAAATTGGAGTGTGTGTGTGTATACTATTGCAGGTACACAGCTGTGGCCATGCCGATGCTCTACAACACCAGATACAGTTCCAGGAGGAGGGTGGCAGTGATGATTGCTGTGGTCTGGTTTCTCTCTTTTGCCATCTCCTGCCCTTTGCTGTTTGGACTCAATAACACAGGTAACAGCTCCATCTGATCCCTCCTCTCAAGTTACTCCCCACTTACTAGTTTAGGTGTTGTTTGCCAGGATGAGGAGTCATCAGTTGATTATAGGAACAAGAAAAAAAGAAAAAAAAAAATTTCTGTTACACTAAATTATGTTATTGTCACAATTGTTTAGCTTTTTTGTTGTTGTATAATACTGGATACTTTCACCTTTCCAGGCCTCAAAAAATCTTTCTAATGAATGAAACGTGCTTTCATCTGTGGTACATAATACCAAAGGTTTCACTCAAATGCTCTAAAATGCAAACCGCCATTAAAGCACATAACAAATACATCCTGGCTCATAAACAGCGTATGAATTGATAATAGAGCGTTACGAGTGAATCGCCATAGCTGCTTCCACCCTGTGAAAGTAACATGTCATCAGTTGTAACCTTCATCTGTTTGTCTGAAAGTTTCAAGCGGTGATACAAGTGAAGCTTGGTTTTTGAGTCTCAAAATCCAACCTTCACTTATTTTATATCTTCTATTATATTTTGTATTTTGTCCCAGTTGGTTCTGTGACCAGTTTTGAAATAACATGACTGGAATTCCATGCTTAGCTGAGGTCACATGATAACAACTGAACAATCTCCACCCACTGTTGAAGGCCACATGGTGTTACTGAGCTCCATAAAATATTCCAGTAAGAGGAGGTGCTGAGAATTTCACTTCTATGGTCAATACTGATCTTTGAAACTCAGATGGGAAGACTTTAAAATGCAGCTTTACTTACTTACTTTACATTCATTTAACTTTATATTTATTGATATTTTGTGTTATATAATACTACATTCTGTTGTCACGCTTCACTGTTGTCTGAGTTGTCATTTATTAAGGGAAAGACTCAACTGAACACTTTGTCGTGCACAAACACAGCCGCTGCAATATCTTGGTCCTTCTGTTCCTGAATTTTAAGATTATTTTTTGGTGAGATAGTAAATAAATCCCATACATCTGCTCAGTCAACAAATGCAGAAAATCAGCACACTTTATACTTTAATACCCATTAGCACACAGACCATTCAGTGACATTCCCATATGTTGTTCTCATCAGACATCACTGTCTGCCCAGCAAACAAGTGGGCACACATGATCCTGAATTCGTTGTTGTCTCACAAAGGCAGCAGGAGCGAAGATGTTGAGCTGCTAACCTCTGCCTGTGAGGAGGGACTTAAGCTTTGAATGTGCTCGCATTGAACTGAAAGGAAGCCACTTGAGAATAAGTGGGAAACATAAAGTAATGTGCGAGTTGACATCCGACAGCCTCAGTTGTCGATCCAAACACAGCAAGATACTGAGTGATGTAAGATCAAACTGAGAAGCTTATTTCACTCTCCTCAGTAATGGGTTGCTCATAGATTACAACACCCTGTATGAGAGATATTTCTTGTGTAGACTTCCATTCACTGTATATGCCAGTGTTTGATCTTAAATGATCAAATTGAATGTAATGGGCATGTAAGTATGTGTTCACTGAAAATCACATGAAATAAGCATTTCAGCTGATGGCAAAATCTAACTACAAGGTCCATTTAGTAGCTGTTCTTGAGCGTTAGAACATATCACATGGTCCTCATCATTTTTAATGGAATAGACCTTTTTCACAGCGGCTGTTGTGACATGAAATAGTAGGGTAAATACAGGTGTTACCAATGATTTTATTAAGGTTCTGTTGCATTCAGGTATAACAAAGTCAGGATTCTGCCATTGTGCATGTTGGCTATCTGGAAAGGCTCTGCTACACTAAATGGAATGGGACCTTAATTAGCATCATTGCAACACCTTTATTTAAACTACTGTCGAAATGGCTGAAAAAGGTCTGTTGTCCATTTTTTCTTGCTACTGTAAGGACTTCTCCTTGTTGTGTCGTTTTGGGCATAACAGCTTAGGTTCAGTCTTGACCATGTTGTAAAAACAATCGCACCACAAGGTCAGCTTTAAACCCAACATGACCAAAAGCCTGCAAAGTAGCCAGAGAAAATGGAAGATTTTGAACATCCACAATTTAATGACAAATGGGCTCCCATCTGCTGATGAAGATCATGTGATTTGTTCTAAAGCTCCATAAAAAGCCAATAAATAGATCTTGTATAGATAGATAGATTATTTTATCAACTGCTGTATTTAAGTATTAATTTAAAACCTCAGCATTTGGGTTGTCTTGTTTTTATAATTCAAGGGAATAAATAGACATTCTGAGAAATACACATATTTGCTTTAGAGTTAGGGGGCGGTTAGCGTAACTTATTAGCATAAAGACTGGAACCAGGGGGACACATTTCACTTGTTTAATCTGTACAAAAACCAGAGCCAAGCTAGACTTTTTTATCCTGCCTCCAGTGATAATTCTAAACTAAGCTAACCATCTTCTGACATCTGACTTTACATATTCCCCAAAATATTTAAAAACAAGATCGTGGGCAGCCATAAAATATGACAAAAAGTGAAATCATGTAATACTCTCTGAAAGGTTCTGTACATAATTAATAATAAAAAGTATTTTCCTCTTTTTCTTCCTTGCATTAGCCAGCCGGGAAGGCACCACGTGTAGCTTTGCCGATCCGGCCTTCGTGGTGTACTCCTCTGTGGCTTCCTTCTACGTTCCCTTCATCGTAACTTTGCTGGTGTATGCGCAGATCTGCGTGGTGCTGCGCAGACGAGGCAGACGCACCGCCCCGCCGCGCAGACACGGCCTGCACACACAAGGCGGGGCTGAGGCAGGAGACGGTCATCGACACAGGAAGGTGGTGGTCACAAATTTGGACTTTAACTGTTGATTCTCAAGCGATGCATTTTATAGACATTGCATATGTTTTCCCTTTTCCCCTCCAGCAAACAATTTGGTGTTAATAGATGTTGACCCACTGGCCTGCAACAACATTGTACCACCAAAAAAAGTTTAGATGAACCCAATAATCCATAACTTCCGTGAGCAAAAATGTCACTTTATAAGTTCCCAAATGTTTAAGGGAATGTTTGCTTTTCCGTTACTATACTATTTATTAAAAATTGTGCTACCTTTTAGACACTGCCGCCATCAAATGTATCAACTTGTTCCAGCTCTTCATTGGAACTAGAGAAACATAGTTTACAATGAGTGAAATAGTCAATTTCAAGAGTCTAGCATTCTATCAAATATCAATCCACCCTGATCAATACATTGGCATGTTCACTGTATTAGCTAATTTAAGCTTTTATCTACAATACACCATCAATACATTTGTTATTGATATTTTTTGTATTATTATTGGCATTAAATGTACATTATTAAATTTTTTAACATTTTATTATCAAAAACCCTAATCAAAAATTTGTGTTATCTGTTTCTGCTTTAAAAACTGATTTTCTGCCAGTGTATTTGAATCAAAAAACATTTTCAGCATCAGCTTTAAAACTCTAGTACTGGCCAGGCCTTCCCAAAGAATATATTTTCTGTTCTCCATGTGTTGCCTCCTTCCCTTTCAGAATAAGTGTACACAACCAGAGGATGTGAAGTTGTGCACCCTGATCCTGAGGCCTGCCACTGCCGGCCCACAGCGCAAGAAAGTGGTGAGTTTGTCCTCAGCACCCCCACCTTTCTTTGTCTCCCAACACTTACCTCACCTCACCTCCTCTCTCCCTCTGTGCATGTCAGACCCTGGTAAAGGAGGCCGTGGTTCATCCCCTCGAAGTCGAGCCGGGTCAGTTCCTGCCTCAGATGGAGCAGAGCCTGGCTCCCCCTCCTGCCCCCCAGGCTTCCCACGCGGGACGGGCCAGGATCTCCCTGGCTATCTCAGTTGGACCTGCCCCGGTTCTTCCCTCAACCGTGACGAGATCGGCCCTGATGCCTCGCCCCCCAACCCTGGAGGACGGCATGAGAGGCCGTGAGGGATGGAGGGAGCGTAGCGGAGGCAGAGAGAGATGGGGGATTACCAAGGAGAGGGTGAGAGGGAGGTTGTCACAGCAGAAGGAGCGGAAGGCAACGCAGATGCTCGCTATTGTGCTCGGTGAGTGGAGGGAAGTACAGACTAAATGATGAGGTGTTGATCTTTTAACCGAAACCGTGTAGCCTGTCTCAACCTGTGTGTGTGTGTGTGTGTGTGTGTGTGTGTGTGTGTGTGTGTGTGTGTGTGTGTGTGTGTGTGTGTGCACACAAAGCTGCCTACTTTGTACTACTGTACTACTGTATACAAACAAACTAGTCTAAATTAATATGTAAGTATTTAGTGTTGCTGTTTTATATTATTATTACTTTTCTACTCACAAATTTCCAATATTATCTTGGTTTGTTGCATAATAAGGTAAACTATGCAAATATAATGACATTACTGTAATTTTTAAGATTCCACCTCATATTACCTTTAATATTTGGAAGGTAATATTTTATATTTGAATATATAGAAAGCAATATAAATACCTGGGTTAAAATCTAAAAAATATCTTTCTTGATAAGTAAACACTGCACTTTAATTCAGTTTTTGTCAAATTCTGAAAATATCTCCTCACAGTCAATTAACTGTCCATTGAAAAAAAATAAAAACAATACTCATGTTCTAGATGGAAGGTTCTGGATGCATATTTGGATGAAACTTTAAGTATTACTTATTTCAGTAACAGACACATTGTTAAATCTTGACATCCATGGCACCAGTTTGTATGGCCTCCATTATTTATGGCTTTTTGTTTGATTGTATTTTTATTTTTTTTACGCCTGCCTCATCTGTTTTGTGATTTATGTGACTTGGCAGTTGTAACGCTGCTATTGATATTGATGAAGTTTTCTGTCTATCTGTGTATTGTTTCAGCAGTTTCATCATTCTGTGCGAATTGCAAATGCAGGAGTTGGCGGGATATGTCATTCATTATATCCCTACACAATTTGTGCCACACACATAGTGCTAAAAACATGCATACACCCATCTTCTAATCTCCTGTCTGTCCCTGTTTCCAAGGTGTGTTCATCATCTGCTGGCTGCCTTTCTTCTTAACACACGTGCTCAAGGCCCACTGCAGGAGCTGCTGTATCTCGCCCTCACTGTACAGCGCTGTCACCTGGCTGGGATACCTCAACAGCGCCGTCAATCCTGTCATCTACACCACTTTCAACATCGAGTTTCGCAAAGCCTTCATCAAGATCCTGCACTGCTGAGAGCTGGAGAGATGAGACGCATCAACTGTCAAGAAAAAAAAAAACAGCCAGGCATTGGTTTAAGATCAGAGGTGAGAGAGTAGAAAGGAGGGGAGAGAGTAAAGATAAAGAATTGGGCTTGTTTTGACACAGAGGAGAAAGGGTGGGGGGTGGTGAGACAGTAGATTGAGTGACTGATGAGTTAAGTGATACAAGCTTCATGGAAAATTTTAAGATAAGGGAAACTGTAACCGGCAGCTCAGACAAGAATGAAGAAAGACAGAAATGACGGCACACAGCGGGAATAAAAACTGTCAAAGGAATTGCTTGACGATCACAAAGAGAGTGTGTGGCAAGTAAAAGACAGCTACAAGAAACACAAACAAGGCTGGAGATAATAATGGAAAAGAAGACATGCGCTGCGTTGTGTACATACAGTCTGAAAAAGGGAATATTTGAGGATTGAATATCTCTCCCCAGCATCTCAAGTGAAAGACTCCACAGATGTGAGACTCCCGGAGACGTGACTGTTTTTCCGATGCTTGAATTGTGTCAGACTTTGGCTTGTATTTTCTTGTAATCTTGACAAACGCCATCTTGTTATTTGCTCGCATGTGCTCGTCTTTCTCAGAGGACTGGAATAAGTCAAGACAAAGAAAAAAAACTCCATCACAGTCCATCACAAAACTTTTATTTTAGCCTCTCATGCCCAAGGCGCGAACATTTTTCACACGTTTTGAAAAACCACTGAAGTTACATCAAGGTAGAATTATTGATCTTGTGATTGAGTGCATCTACGAAATCAACAGACAGCGGAGAGAGCTTTTATCTCATTTAATGTGTACATTTGTCGCTTTAAATGTGTGTTTTATGTGTGCATACATGTAAATACATTTGGTGTTGTAAATAATCGTTTTACTAGGGTAGAAGAGGGATCACAAATATTGTGCAGACAATTGATAAAAAATAATAGTAGTAATAACAATAATAATAAACTTTGTCTTTCATTGCTTTTGTTGTTTTGAAATAAATAATCACCATCATAATGAAATAAAGTGAGAACTTTATTTATCCCAAAGAAGATTTGCCAGGAGTTTGAATGGTCTGTATAATATATATGGAGCTGGAGCCAGGAGACGGTTGGCTTAGTGCATATCATCAATCATAATGACTTGAAACAGGGTACACAGCTAACGTGTAAATTAGTCAGCATTAGAGGTGCCGATAAGCTGATTCTTTTTACCTTTGGACAGAGTCAGGCTAGCTGTTTCCCCCGTTCCTCCAGTGTTTATGCTTATGCTTCTGGCTCCGGCTTTACATTGAATGGACAGATACACGAGTCGTATCAATCTTCTCATCTAACTCTTGGCAAGAAAGCAAATAAGCATATTTCCCTAAATGTCAAACTATTACTTTAAAAAAAAAAAGAAGAAGTCAAACCATCACAGGGCTTGTAGGAATATTTTTAGGCAGCAGGAAAGGTTGCAAGGAAATATTATTACTTGGCTTTATCTTCCAGCCAAATCATACAGTTATGAAAGATTCAAGCACCCAGGTGCCTGAAAGTGTAAATGCCACAGGAAAGCATATAAAAGCTTGTTTTACTGGCTGTGACTGGCAGCTTCCTGACAGTAACTCTCCTGTCCTGTCAGTAAACCCCACTGATATGCCCCTCTCTGCACAGGATAAAACAAATGCTATAAAGTTGCAAATGCTGCTGCATCTTGAGGATTGCTGTGGGGAAGTTGAACTAGAGGTCTTTCTCTCCTCCCCTGACTGATACAACAGGGAGGGAAAGCTAGCAGAACCGTGTGTATCTGAGGAGTTGAGATTGGTGCGGGTTGCCAGTCAGACTGATTGGAGTAAACAAGGACTCTGACACCAACACTGGAGCAAATGAAGCCTGCACGCTTTATTTATTCATTCATTCAGTCAGTGTCATGTGCAGATGGGGAGGCTGCTGCTCCATGCTCATGTTAGAAACAACAAGCAAGCAATACTCTGATGTTTTTTAAAACTTTAGCGTAGGGATGTTTGTGTAAATGTATTATAGATTTACATATACATTTGTCTGAGTGCAGTGCATAAAAAAGAACAGCAGTTCAGGAAACTGTTCAGCAACAGTGTAAACATAGTGACTGCAAGAAAACAGAAAACTGACATTTTACATCTCACAAACACATTTTCAAAACAGAAAACCATTACATATCACAAGAAAAGAGTTGTTTGTGCGTACTTTTTTCAGTTGCTGATGGCTATGGTCCCCAGAGGATGAATCCTAACATCCGTCCCCTGACTTTTCCTCTGGTGCCACCATGAGGATGTGCCCTGGAGAGAAATGTCTAGCAGAATATTGGATGGATTGCCATTAAATCTGTTGCAGACGTTCATGTCCCCCTCAGGATGAACTGTAAGAACTTTGATAAACCCTTAAAGTTTCCTCTAGTACCATCATCAAGTCAAAATTTTAATCGTCCATTTGGTTTATGACCAAATACCTGCACTAAATAACATCAGTTATCAGCCTCAGATATAATTTGTTTCATTTAGTGATAATTAAACAAATGCTAACACAGTAAACTGAAGTGGGGCACGTGGGAAACATTATAGCAGCTAGACATCAGCATGTTTACATTGTTATTGTGTAGCTGTCTTGTGTCTTTCCAGTTCTTTTTTTTTTTTTATGTTTGTCACATAAAATGTCATTTTTGTTTTATGTATTTGTTTTGTGACTTTTTACCTCTCTGTTTTGTTGTTGTTTTATGAAATGATGAGTCGATGCTTTGACTTTCAGTTCTTTTGTTAATTTTTGGGCAAATCCTGTTTTTGTAAGATGTGTTTACCACGCCGCCGACAGAGTGACACACTTTTGATGCAGTCATGTCCTCTTCCACCATGTTTGATCTTTAAAGTGAGCTCAGCAGTGTAATCTAGAAGATGCTGAGTAACACCATGACTGGGGTTCTTTATTGCTTCCAGCACCTCACACTGTCTGATGCAGTAATGTGATAGGATGAACAAAATACCCTTGAGAAGACTGGACACACACACACACACACACACACTCATACACACTCATACACAAGTATGCCTCTTCAGATTTATAACAGGAGCGTGATTATTGGATACATATCTTTCAACTATGAGAAATTCAACTCCTTGACTCTGTATGTGTGTCAGTCCGTGCTGCCATTATTTCCCTCAGTACTTGTGAGTGGGGGCAATTCAGTGGTGTGGTGTACATTACCCTCTGTTGTTAAACTCTGACCCAAGCTCGCAATTATCTCCATGCATATTTCATAGCCGCCCGATGACAAGAGTGCACGTATCCGTTACTGACCTGACTGTAAGAGCCTCACCTGCTCTGACCAGAGGAGAAAGATTAAGTTGGAGAGGGAAGGAGAAGGACGAAGATTATGAAGGGGGTGGCACAATGAAAGGATTACGTGGTAACTGAGGAGTGGAGGAGAAGAGCGGTACATTCATAAGAAGAGAGGTGACAAACAGACGAAAGTTTAAGATGATGGATTCGCAGTAACGGAGGAGATACCTTTGGATTAAGGATGCACCAGAGCAAGCTTCTTCTCTTCTGTGTCTTGTCACTGGCGGTGCAACAGTGATGCATTTCTTTTCCCCACTGTGGTACAAGCTGGTTTAATAAATGGAGGAGACACATTCGGATGAATAATCCCACGCATACAAATGAAGCCGACACATGCAAATCCGTATGGCTGACATTCAGGTGAGGGCACTTGAAAAGATGTTTAGAGTTGGGAACAGCACTCTGATGGGGAAACGCTAAGATATGAGGCAGGCATCGAGGGTGCAGAATATTCAACAAACACTGTGTTCAATCACTGATGTCCTTTTTTGCAGTTATTGGTAATGAATAGAGGTTAAATCAAGTTTAGTAATATAACTCAGAATTTTCGTGAGAGTTATATATGTGGCCTTGTTTTGCATTTTCCTAATAAATTTGCTTAGATTTATTAGTATTTGCCTCAGAGCAAGCATGTACTTGGACGTTCTCCAAGCTGTCCTTGTAATTTCTTTTGGGAAAATCAGTGTAATTCCATTCCATAATTTAACCAGGCTTAATTACCAAGATCCAGTCTGACATTTGTTTAAAAAGCAGCAATTCTCAAAACTGTTTTTTGAGTAATGCAGGATAATAAAATGCATTTTAAAAGGCCATATTCGACTTATTCTATATTAAGTGAGAATATCTGCAGTTAATATCTCAAACTTACTCACAGAAGCATTATTGCAAGCTCATGTTTTGTTGTTGTGTTTTGTTTTTGCAGGATTCAGCTTAGGTTTCAGAGTTTCTGACCATTTTTGTGTCCCTCCTCCCAGCTCAGCCATGTTTGAAATCCAGAAGATCTTACCCAAACCAACACACGTGTGCTAATCAGAAGAAATCAAACATGAACCCTAACTTTAAACATACTCTGCACTTCATGACAGCTACCAGCGACTTTAAAAGTATGGATTTGGAGGTCCAGACAGGAAGCACCAGCACTTCTGATGCACAGCAGCCAGTTGTTGCATCAATCTATCTGCCCCTTGACCACTGGTCATCAACATCTTTTCAAGGTCCAACCAGTCATGAAGTATTGAGCGTATCGTCTCTAGTCCCTTCTACAGTCCTGACACTCATGCCTCACTATAAACCTGCAGCTAGTGGAAACGTATACCCAGAGCCACCATCTTTAACTGAAGTGGCAAAAGAGCCTCAACTTCCAGAGGTATCATCTTCCTCCTCTGGGTCCTCAGAGGTCCAAGATCAAAACACCCTGACTTTACCACTTCCTTGTTGTGATAATCTCCAGGAAGTTCAGCAGAGGAAACCGTCAGATGGAGGACCACTGGAGGAAGGATCGATAGGTCTCATGTTACCCAAATATCTCCCTGAAGAAGAGCCAGGTATGGTTGTAATTAAGGGTGTTGGTTCAATGTGGAGTTTTGATGAGGCCCGACCTGGACACTTTTAATGTAGGTTTGTGTAGTTTTGGTTTTGCCCCTTGGTCCAAATGAAAAAGACTGGCTCTAGATAAGTGCATTCATATTTACATTTTGCGGCCACCATAGTTACTCCTTGGCACTTGGAAGGGGAGGGTGAAGTGAGGGAGTTGCGATCTGCATCTACACCAATTGGTGCCACTAAATCATTGGACCTTCAGGATATCACGATGCTTCAGCATTAAAGAAATAGCTTGACACACAACAACGCTTATTTGCTTTGTTGCTGAAAGCTATATGAGAAGATTGATACCACTTATATATCTGTCTGTTCAATATGAAGCTGGATCCAACAGCCAGTTAGCTTAGCTTAGCATAAATTCTGTAAACAGGGTGAAAAAAATGTGCCTAGCTCTGTTCAAAGGTAACAAAATCCTCTTACCTGCTCCTTTAAAGCCGACTAGTTAAAACTTGATGAAATTTTGTACAGATGTTCATGGTCCCCAGAGGATAAAGCCTACTGACTTTGGGGATCCTCTGACTCCATAGCACCACCATCACCATGGGATTTTGAAATGTCTCAATATCTGCTGGATGGATTGCCATGAACTTTGATACTGACTTTCATGTTCCCCTTCAGATAAGTTTTATATAATGTATTAATTATGATCTTCATTTGATGCCATTGTCAGCTCAAATTTTTCAAATTTTCTAAGTCTTTGGTTTTTGACTTAATACCTGCAAAACTATTGACATACCTATCACCCTCAGCTGTTAAACAACACACTAAACCAAGACATGTTAGCATTTAGCTCAAAGCACAGCTGTCCCTATGTACAGCTTACCAGACCCGTACACTCTTAGTCTTATTATTGTTGCACTATAAAAAAAATAATCTGCTGTTACAACTCTAAATCTCAGTTAGCCGCTAAATTCTTTAGTCGTGTAGTGAAAGCAGCCAAATTATTGATCTAGACACAGCCTTGCACCACTAATCTGATCTGTGCATACAGATAATTAATCCCTGTGGATAAATTATTCAATATGTATCTTAAAACAAAAATACATAGCCAAGAGCCTCTATATTAAAAAGATCAAAAAGTGATAGATGTGAGGTGACTATGTTGCTGATGTAGCTAATGAGAACCAAACACACTCGCAGGCTTTTCGTCTGCACAGACAGGTCTGTACATTCTGCTCCCCTGGCTGTTCTTGCCTTCTCAAGTGATGACAAACAAGGTTTTTATCCTTTACTCACAATAATACACAGCAAAGATTTGGCCCAAGATTTACTCACGTCACCTATACTATAATACAATGATAATCTGCATGCTTTGCCAGCCCTTCAAAAGGGTTAAAAACACTTCTCCATCTGCTTTCACGATCCTATTGATCCTATAGTGTCCCATATACAAGCTGTGCTTTGCACACAAGGTGTCTTGCCAGCATATTTCCTTAAAGATAAATCATTGCTACCATCCCTATAGGATTGTTTCCATTGTTCTCAAGCTTCTGAAAGTGACCTGAGGTTTCTTAATGCATGCTATTTTTCAGCCTCTCCTTAGAAAACAGCCTTAATCCATTGCTTCCAAAATAACACAGCCATCCATATGTTCCTGACACCAACTCCCTCTTCTTTCCAAAGTGCCGGACAGAGTGGTTTCTTATCAGCTCTTAGAATGGATAGATACAGAACATTTCTCAGAGTTTCTCCAAAGCACATAGTGCTGAAGCAGCTGTTTACAACCTCAGTAATAACACCATGGTGTGTTATCCCGCCACCCTAAATTGGATTGCATCATATCTAACTAACTGGTAAAATGTTTCATCATTCCTCAGAGGTATATTATGAATGTATGATATTAATTATTCCCCTCAGGTGTATCATTTTAATTGTACTTTTTACCAATACCATATGAGCCATATGGACAGTTTTATCCATCTAATGATAGTTAATGATCCAGGCAGATTAGCTTTTGGCAAGGTTGTGGATAGACGGCACAACAATTTCTTGCAATTTGACTTTTAAACTGGAAATTGCCAAAAAACAAAATAAACCAAAGAACTATGCAGCATGTTAAGCAGTTCTCTTTTTTTCCTCCAAACTAAGAAACTTTAATCCGATCTATTTATCTCTCCATGATTTGGACGTAATTATAAAGAATCAAATGCTTTCATTTCATTGTCTCTCTCATTTGTTTTAGCCAATCCACTGTTTCTGAGCCTCAGGCACGTAGTGGAGGATAAAACCCAGCTTATCTATTTATCCTCCATTTTCATCTAAGGAATAGTGTTTGTCAGTCTTTTTTTAGTCTGGTACATGTTGTCATAGCATGCATTCATAGTATACATACGCCACTGTATGTAGCATCAAACTGATATAAGTTATACAAGGAAAAAGGTCTTTCAGGCAAAGAAGCATAAATTACTTCCCAGAGTTCACGAATGACTCACCTTAACATTTACCACAACATCATCATCATCAGTCCCCCGCTGCAGCAGAATGCTGCCGTGAGGCTTTTATAAAAAACTAGTGAGAGGTTCAACGTTAACACCAGCACTCGTCCGCCTCAGGTGGCTGTCAGTCAAGCATAAAATTGATTTCAACATTTTTTACCTACAAGGCACAGCTCATGCTTTACCGCATATTATGGATGTGTTCTGTCCTCAATTCACTCAAGTCCTCTGAACGGAGCCATTTCATGATCAAACTTAACTGTGTCGGCCCAAAGACCCTAGGACAGCTTGCCTCTAAACGCTGACTGATCAGTCTCCTGTTTTACTTGCAACCCACCCTTTCTGTCAGATGTTCTCTTCCTCTGTGCTGTGATTTCTGAAAACATTTTGTTCAGGGTATTTACATTTTTGATAGTGTTTTATAGTCTAATTGTGCTCATTGTTGCTTTTACCACTGGTGATTAAATGTTAAAAGGGCTTGCCATAATTAACTGTTATGTAATGAGCTAACTGAACCAACTGAAAAAACTAACCAGGCTGGCAGGCTAACATATGACCCTTGTAGTAAAATATATTAGAATATGGTCAACGCAACTGACCCTACACTTGATTAAATGCTGCTTAATGATGTAAACTGGAAAGAATTAAATTATATTCACAAAAGATAATACAACATAACTCAAATTACATAAAGTTATACTGTTGAAGTGTAGCTTAGACAAAATAATGCCAGTCAAGTTAGCATAATCAGATATTTTCTAATCATTCTAACCTGCATTAATACTACTAAGTTAACTCACACATTTGTACATACATTATAAATATATAAATAGAATAAAACTATACCTATATTTACAAAGAATTTGCTGTTTAATGAATTTTTCTCCCCTAAGCAACACAGGGTTGGTTGATTGGACAGTGTCCTAACAAGCAATTAATACACTACTTCAGTAAGGTCTGTACCAATTAAGATATTCCTTAAGTTTTAACAGTACACCCTGATTCAGTGAATCTGTTTGAAGCTATCTAGTAGCCTAGTTACTATGCAAAAACTGGATTTATGAGGTTCAGTCCAGTCCTGGGTTTAATAAAAAAAAAAGATGATCAAGTCAGCTTTTGTCAAAGTTCACTGCCTTCTATATGGTTTAAAGATGTAATTATTTGTTTTTTTATTTATTTGTAGTTTCAGAGCCTCAAGCCTGTACACGCCGTGAGCTGTTATTGATTGTGAGCTTCCCTATCATCATCAAACTGGTCATCACCTCTGCTCTCTTAGGTAACCTATTTTACTTGTACACAACTTCCGATGTACTTACCCGACTAACAATGAGCTGGAAGTTCTATTAATTTTTTTTTTTTTTATTACACTGCATCACTTACTCACCACTTGTGTATCATAATCTGAACAATAGTACCACATAAACCATATCTAATCTAATCCAATACCTAATCTTGTGGGGGGTTTATGTGATTAATAATATAATGAGGATAAAATTCAAAATGCCAGTTAATCCTCTCTGAAGCTTTCTGCTGAATTTTGAATACTGAGTCAAAAGGGCAAATGGAGAATATATTACACTCTTTGGAACAGGGTCAAAATAATTCGCAGAGGTTCAAATTTGAATAGTGGTGCCAAATCTGTCTCAATGGTTACTTTTAAAATGTGCACAGAGAATTGGGAGTTTTGAGTATTTCAATTCTTTAATGATTCTGAGATTTACATCTTTTCTGTTCAGGTAAATTATCTCAGTGTGTCATGTCACTGCTTTTTTTCTCTCTTGAAATTAGTCCTGTTCCTGGCATTTCCCTCTGAGTCAGGTGAATCACCTCATCTTTGTGGAGTGAAGGGGAACTGCAGTGTCCCAACTCAACTGCCTTTTCTGCCTAAAAATCCATTGAACCAGACAGGGAACTTTACAGCAGGTAAAAAAAAAAAAAAAAAAAAAAAAAAAAAAAATAGATATATAAGCTGGTTAAAGGCTTTGGGGATTGTAATATTAATTCCATTGTAATTGTCTGCTATCTTGGACACCAGATGATTATTACATATCCATCAGCTGTCTGGCAGTTATGACATAAGTTTAATAGCCTTTACTGGAATAATTTTCATTTGCTATATTAAACTGCTAATATACTCTGTACTCTGAATGTATGAAAGTAAGTAAGTAAAGTGTTATCGAATGTGTCTGTATCATCTGTCATTGGCTCTTTTCATCTTGTCACACCCAGACTGCCCAGTTCTGGTCAGTGATGGCAGGCGCATTGTTGGGGGGACGTTGGCCGCCAAGGACAAGTGGGGGTGGCAGGTCAGCATGCACTGGAGAGGGAAACACGTCTGTGGAGGTGCCATCATCTCCCCTCACTGGGTCATCACTGCAGCTCACTGCTTTGTTGAGTAAGAGGTGGACGTGGGGAGATAAGGGAGTAAAGGGAGAAAATCTTAAAGTCATATGCAGCCAGGTACACATCCTGTCTGCATATCCACAACCCTCAGTAGGGAGGGCTGTAAACAAGACCATAAAGTCAGGTCTAACTTAAAGCTATGTTTTGATCTAATCAGATTCAAGAAGTCAAGAGAAACTGAAGGCAGATGAATACCCCCGTCAGTGCATTTTGCACATTTTTGTTCCAGAACAGCAGACTTCTTGAACATCACAGATGTAAATCTGTCTGCAGGGGAAAGTCTACCACCTTTGAACATTTCATTCGGATTTTGAGAAACCAAAACAAAAAGGATTTTTGAGCCTGACTACAAACTACAAGCAGCTCATTAAATTGTTTGTAGTGCTGAAGCAAAAATGAATAATTGTTGACCATAGTTGAGAGCAGTCCTATGGAGTTATAGAGTTATTTGTGTAATTTTCTCCCTGTCAAGAATTCACAACACTGATTAAGCATTTGGTTTTCTAACTGTCAGTAAGAGTCAGTTAGAATCAATGTAGTTTTTCCAATGCAATCAAATTGAAGAAGAATTTTTAAAGGACCAGTGTGTAGGATTTAACACGTTATCTAGAGCCAGTGTTTGGTTTGTCCGTTCTGGTCAACTTTTTCAACATGGTGGACTCTATCGAAGGGGAACCACTGCATCAGTAGAGATAAGAGGCTCACTCTAAGGTAACAAAAACAATTCTTAATTTCAAGAGATTATAATTTACATGAATGAAAACATAGTTATGCATATGGACCTTTAAAGCATTTTTTTTGACTTTTTGGAGATGTGTGTGTTCTGCACATGAATATATAGTGTTGTTCTAAATAATTTATGCCAATAACACAGAGTTGATTTTAGTTGATCACAATAACCAACTGTAATTCTCATCTCAGGCGTCATCAGAGTAAAAACAGCATCAGTGTAGTCCACAATCAAGACAAAGACAGGCACTGGTCTTTGGCATCAGTGCACACTGGGGCAAAAAAACTTGATCTCAGACCACAAATGTCTGTGTCACACTGCTGTTTCTGCAGGAACAACATGCTTCAAGAGGCTGACTGGTTGGTGGTGGTGGACACTGTCAACATCGCAGACAACGCTGCAGGGAAACGTTACAAAGCACTGCAGGTCCTCTATCACCCTCGCTTCAACAGATACAACAACGACTATGACGTGGGCCTGCTGCGCACCATCACTGACATGGACATGAAAGGTAAGAGGAGGTGGCTCCATCTGTTGGCAGGAGTGGGCAAAAACACACCATGTACCTTGTTGGACGTCATAAATACTGTAGGCTCATTGTATTTCCAATTGCACGACATAGAAAGAGATTCCAAAATAGGCTGGGCTGGAAAGAAATATTTCATTTTAAATGATGGGGTCTTGAATTTGTGTAAAAGCTCTTGAAAATGTGATATTGATGACTTCCATAAAATGGCTAATACTGTTACTGTTACTGTTACTTCTAAAACCCATTATTCAGTTTACTGCATAATATACAGGTATTAGCATGCTTTGAATTGTTTAAAAAAAAAAATTACAATCAAGGTAATGGTGCAACTCTAACATCATAAAGCTACCTAGTTGTCTTTCTAGTGAGTGTTTTTGTAGCTATGTTAATGTTACATAAAAGAATGTTGTAAACCCATCCAGGAAAACATTAACCACTCTCACTCACTGTTATTGCCAAAACCAAATGTGGCTTAAGACAGAGTCTAGGTAAATACCTGCAGCAAATACCAGTTTGCCATCTGTTGGTATTTTTTTCTAGTTTCTCTCTGATGCCCCTGTGGGCTGGAGGAGGAGGTGGTTTGTGGGGTAGTTGTAACATGTGCTTATATCACTGTGCTTTTGTAGTATTGTCAAAATAAGCATTTAACAGAAATTTAATACATCATGGGTTGCTTCTTACATACAAACTGTTCAAAAAGTACTCAGGTACAAATTAAATGACACATTTAAACTCCTGCAAGCTACATTTATACAGATATGTGAGTATGCAGTGTAAAATACGTATTTGTTGTATTTGTATTTCAATACTTTTGGTTAAATACAGCAGATCCGTGTTGATTATTAATGTTATTGCAATGCCATTTCTGTTTTAAAAGCTGAGTTTAAAAAAACATAAAGATAAAATCTGCTACATGCTTGTCAGGAAAGCAATACGTTTTTCTAAGTATGTAGAGGAACTTGGCTTGGAAAAAAATGACAATATATGTGTGATAACCTTTATGTCTTTATTGCTTTGCTTATAAATGTAAGATTAGGTTACAATCTGATTACTGTGTGCTGTTTGCAGATGGGGTGCGACCGGTCTGTTTGCCAAGTCCGAGCGAATCCTTTTCAGCCGGAGCAGCCTGTTGGATCACAGGCTGGGGATATATTCATGAAGGAGGTGTGTTATACTTAAACCCTCTGATTCCTGACAGCACCTTCTTTGGTCGTGGTTCTTCCATCCTCTTAAGCAGGTCCATTGCTTTTCCCAAATAAGCTATAACCAATAACTTTACAACTTGCAAACCTTAATAGAAACAGTCAACTAAAATCAGTGAGGAGAATAACTTTTTAGATTTTGTTCTTGCGTGTGAGACGTTCTGAAACAAAAATACTTGAGAAGATGATTTAAATGATGACACAGAGTGAAAAGCAGACTTCATCCTTCTAATGTGCTCCTTTGGGGGCCCCCTGGCAGCTACAAGAAGTCTGAAGCAGCTGCTTAGTGTAAGAAGACGCTGCTGAGCTTGTTAGCTGCAGCCTGTCTGAGTGATTTTAGACAGGGCATTTTCTTTACCTCCCTTTGATTTATACGCTTAGATCACAGTCACTGCCCTGTCTTCCTTTCTTTCCTTACTCTGTCAGGCTTTGTGTCAAATGAGCTAAGGCAGGCTCAGGTCAAGGTAATAGCTCAATCCGTCTGCTCCAACGCAAGTGTCTACGGCGTGTACCTAACCCCTCGAATGATCTGTGCTGGCACCATGGATGGAGGAGTGGACTCCTGCCAGGTATACACCCAGTGATATAAAATCTCCATATAAACCTACCTGATACAGAATAGTTTTAAACTTTACAATAGATAACCACGGTCAAACTCAAGCATCGGTTTCACTTCAGTCACCATTAAATGTGCAAACATTGTTAGAAATAATGTTTGCTGAATAATTTGGTCCTGTTTAAAGGGAGACAGTGGTGGACCCCTGGTGTGTGAGACAGCCAGTGGGGATTGGAGGCTGGCAGGGGTGGTGAGCTGGGGCGAGGGCTGTGGACGGCCCAATAAACCAGGCGTCTACAGCAGAGTAACCCAACTGATCCACTGGGTCGACACATATATAGAGGTACTGTACAGAGTGAGGCCCCTGTCTGTCTTTCACTGTATGAATGTGTCATGGTCAGTCATTTTATAGTTTAGTTATGTCAAATAAACTGGATTGTTTGTGGGCTATTTTAAAATTTTAAATGGGAATTATATTTTTTATTTTGAACCGTGGACTCTGGAGGGAGAACAATTTGAGTGTGTTATCATGTGTTACTCCCATAAACCAGGTTACAGGGATAACACTGGATTGCCTCATAACTCTTGGGATTGTCTTATAAACTACATGTTTTTTTTAACCCTTAAATGGGCAAGCAAATATGTTTTGGGAAATGTTACGCTATTTTCTAATGTATCTAGGTCAAAATAACACAATTTCCTGATTTTTTTTTCAAAATATGACCTTTATTTTCCAATTTTCCGACTATATCTTCCTTTCTAATCAATTAATTAACTACTTTCTTTCATATTTTGTATAAAAAGTTTAAAAAAGTTATTCACATAAGTTCTGAACGCCTTCTATAACTGTAACTATAGAAGTAACCTTATATAACTATATGTAATTTATGTCAAGAGTAAAAAAAGAGTACTAATCAGTATTTCACACCTTTATTTTATTGATTATCTGTAGAGTATAGGCTTAAAAGCATGCATACATATGTGCTTGATTATCCCTGTTTTAAAACCTAGTATCCTCCAGGATACAGACATTTAATGCTGAATTATCAGAGCTGTTAAAATATAATGTTATCATCCTTAAGAAACAGTGTTTTATTAAACAGTCCACCCAAAATATAATAAAAAAATAATAATAACTTGTGGTTTTGTTCAGGCACTTAATGACCTTCCCCCCATGCACAAATTACTGTATCCCCTAGGATACAGAAAGAAAAAAAAGTGGCATCTTTTATAGGCTTGTCCTTCCCAGTATCTGTTCAAGAAATGTTTACATGTTTTGTTCAGCATTATGGAGGGTTTCCTTAGTAACAAATAATGGGGCTACATATCAATAAAGAGTAGAGACTGTGAATAGACTGATTGGCTCAGTAAGCTAGATGAGAGTATCGATTTATACTATGCTGGATTTGTTATTGGCAGAATACATTTAGATTTAACACCTTTCCTTTACGGAAATCAATATAACTATACTTCACGTTGATGAATGGCATTTTCACTTTTGTGTTTTTGCTGCAGAACAAACCAGAGGAGACCACTCGAGCTATGACCGACACCTCACTAAAACCTGACACATAATAAACAATAAAGAAGCAAATCATCTGTATCTGCTTATTTGTGTTGTTTCTCATAAAATAAAAATAAAAATCATTATAATATTATGGTAATAGGCTTATAAACTGTGTCCCTCAGCACATATCTTTGTTATATATTGCATATGTTGTTACATATTTATTTTTTTGACCTCATAAGTCGTACACACATGAACCAGTTGACCTATCTCACTGCCAAGCCTTATCACACCTGGTCATTACAGCAACATTTGTTTACATCATTTTAGTTTTGTCCCATTTTCCCTAATGGGAAATGCTGCTGTATACAGAGTGTTACTAGATAGATAGAAGCATGTGTTTTTATTGGTTATGATGCTGTCATATTTGACACCTTCTAAATTAATTTGAAAAAAAGTGGCAAATATTTCAAGGCAAACCTACATTTGTCAAGCATATAATAATTATAAATCCTGACTGCATCTATTTATTTAAAATAAATGTACATTTTCAATAGTGCTGGTTAATTCTGGTTAAATCCATATTTAAAGTTAATATATTAATTTATTTATAATTTTTTGGCCTGGGACTTAAAGGGATTCTTGTTGTATGTGTTGGGCAATAACATATTATACAGTCATTTGCTGATGATAAAAAAAAAAACTAATTAAAATATAATAAACTTTTTTTCTTTTATGTGTATATTTTTATAATTCGTGCATGAAAGCCTTTTTTTCGTGTAAAAAAACAACACACACACACACACACACACACACACACACACACACAGTGCAGTCTGATTGTAACCAGCCTTTACTTTGGGTTGCATGAGATTGTCTGATGAAGTGTATGTCAACAGTCACGTAGGCCACCGCTGCAGACGACGCTGGCATTGTGTAAGCGGTGCGTGCGTGTGCATGTGTGTGCGTGTGCGTGAGTCATGCACTAGCGATACTCGTGCACGACAGACGGTAACGACTTCAGTACTGACCCGTGGTGTGTGCGCTGAGATGCCCGTGTGGGAAGTTGACCTGCTGGACTGCGCTGGACTATCCCACTTTTGGCTTGCTCAATAACAAACACTGGTTATGGCACCAGTCACAGCTTTAAAAGAGAGAGGCGCTGTAACACCACTGTTGACTCTGGGTTCATCCAAGGTGAGAGTTTAGTTTTGACTCTGAACTGTGAGGTTTTCTTTGGACTTCCACAAGCTCGGGCTAAACGCGGAGACATACCGGTGCAGACGCAGCCGCAGACGCAGCCGCAGACGGTGCCTCCGAACTGCTGCTGGTGGTCAAAAATATTTCTCTCTACATATATTTATAGATATTTATGTGGTAGTGCAGCTAGGGCAACAGCAAACGGACGACAATGTGCTCGGTAATAAGCAGGGTGAGACCAGTTCAACGGGCTCTGGCTCTCACGCTTCGCCTGAGGACAAGCACCGAGGGTTCGAGTTACGCTGCAGCCGAGAGAAGGCGCTTCTGTCCCGGCGTCAGTAATGACATTCACCCGCTGCGAGCACCCAGCAGATCGTACTGCTCCAGGGTGGCGCTCACCCAAGGACTGCTCTTCAAACAAGTAGGTTCATATTAATATGTTGTTCTGCTTCAGTTTAGGTTGCTGTGTCCGGTTCAACACGCGAATAAAAAGCAGCAATATGTGTAAATATTTTGCTTCGAGCTAATAGGAAGTAGAGCTAGGCGGAGTTAGCCGTTAGCTTAACTATCCTGCTGTTAAGTTGCATTCAAAGTTGTTAGTTCGTTTAAATTGAACCACACTAGGTTATGAGATTCATCTGTGTGGGTTGTGGTAGTGAAACAGATCTCTTACCTCGCTCAATCTGCTCAATGGTTTATACGATAACGCCACAAACCTTATAACTGTAATGTACTGTAATGTTGTTGTGGCTGAAACATGACACTGCAGTGGACAGTGGACATAATGTGTCCTGTCCAGCCTCATAGGTTCCAGCAGAGGAGAGATATTTTCCCAGTTGAAAGTGTATTATTGACCTGAAGAGCAGCTGACAAGGTCCAACTTATCTCTTTATCTGCAGCTCCCAACTTTATTGCATGGTCCCTATCATGGGAAATCTACATTTCCATGGCAACGAGACCTTTGTGATATGTTCAAAAGCTCCAAAACAAGACAGTAATTGGATCTTGAGTTTTGATTGTATTGGCAGCTACATATTTTTTATTTTTTTTTGTGTTAAGTAAAGGTTTCCTCTTAAATTGGTATTTAACACATATCATTTGAGAATAAACATTAAATGGGATTGGAATAATCTTCCACTTTTGTTTTTAGATCTATTTACCTCTTTCCGCTGCCTCCTTATTTTCTCGTCTAAAAACAACTTGTTCTTGCTTTTGTGTACTTAATCTTAGTCTTCAATCCATGCTAATGATCTTGATTTATTATCTGGGTCACTGTATCCAATTTTCTTGTTCAACAACTGTGGACTGAGTGTGTAGATGGGAAAGGGGTTTGTTATGTAATGCAATTTACATAATGCAATTTTTGTGTGTTGTAGTTTGTATATGCCCCTTGAGGGCCCCCTCGAAAAGAGACGCTACAACTCAAGGGGCTGTCCTTTCAATACAATACTAAAAATACATATTTATGACTTACACTGCTTTCCGAATACTTCAAAAGCACACATTCTGCATCAGCAAGTAGCTCCACATCATATCTTTTATCTCTTTCTTACTCTCTTACTATCTCACATGTATAAACCTGCACTAACAGAGAACGACAGGGAGGATGTGCATCATTACCAACTGTTGTCATCCTTTGTGATTTACTGCTGAGTCACTCCTGTGCCCTCACCTATTTTTCTCTGTTAAGCTGTTCGAGTCGGAGAGCAGCACCTACACCTACCTGCTCGCAGACACGGAGACCAAGGAGGCGATCCTCATCGATCCTGTGCTGGAGACCATTGACAGGGACCTGAAGCTCATACATGAACTGGGGCTCAATCTAAAAGTGGCAGGTATCTTAACCGCTAACTGCTAAGAGATATGATGTTATTTAATACATTCAGACAACTGTTTGTTTCTGTACGTGTCCACCACAACTATAACGTTTAGATTGAATAAGGATAATTTGTCCCACAAACTGGAACACTTGGCTTTTGGGAAAATGTCTCAGATTTTGTTACTAATTGTGCAAAGTATGAGGTAATAATAGCCCTGGAACTTTTTTACTATTACCAAGATTATGATCTTAGTTAGACCAGTGTACCCTTTAGATTGTGCGTTACTCAAGACCCCTAGGGCAATATTAATAATTAAATGTTTTGCTATACATAAAAGAATATGTAAAATTGTATGCTATATGTATGTACATAAGAAACATTCACACAAGTGATGGCGTGGGTTCTACAGACAAAACACATATAAAACAAAAAACCTAATTAATAGCTTAACCTGTTTTTGTTTTTTTTATTAGATTTAACTTGTGATCATCATTGTAATCTTTTTTTATTTATTTTTTCTCTGCTAGTAAACACCCACTGCCACGCGGACCACATCACAAGCACTGGGCTGATGAAGAAAAGATTGGTTGGGCTGAAGAGTGCAATCTCCAAACTCAGCGGTGCCTCTGCAGACATCCACCTGTCAGAGGGAGACAAGATCAACTTTGGAAAACATGTAAGAAGAACATGTCACTTATTTCACTGCATGCAGTCAATCAAATAAATGAACAAATGAATTAATGAATTAACATTTTATTTGATTTATTTCTGGTCATGTACATGACCCATCCCATTAGCTTAGAACACAGCGAAGATTCTGGCTTGTTACCCACCGCCATCAAACAGTAAACAAATCAACAACCAAACATAAACATAAACCTTCCACAATTAACACTCTAAAATATATCCTACAATAGAAATACAGCAAATATACAAACATACAAACACACCCCTCATAAGCACAATATACAAATCCAAACAAGACAAAAACATCTGCATCCATTGGTGGTAATCACTGTATATTTGATCCATTTCAAAAACCAATAGTCTACAGTCCATATGGAGTCCGAGGACTGTATCTATCGTATGTTACTTTTCTCCTCCTATCCCGTGCCCTTTCAGCTCAGTAATGTATATGGATACAGACATGTATACTTTATAATTTTGGATCTGTAACATCTGTTGCCCTGTAAAGATTTTTTTGCATGCCTTGTGCTGACTTTTATCTCTTCTGCCCTCTAGTATCTGACAGTGAGAGAGACACCGGGACACACTGATGGGTGCGTGACGCTGGTTTTAGGGGACCAGAGTATGTCTTTCACTGGGGACGCTCTGCTCATCAGAGGCTGTGGCCGGACAGACTTCCAACAAGGTACGCTAAATCTCATATCAAATGCCTGTTCTTGCCATTCTTGAATTTCCCTTCCTCCAACACTGCCTGAAAGAGAAACCATTTGTTTTGGTAATACTGCTAGAAGAACACAAGAGGGCAGTATTACATTTTTTTTCTGTTGTCTAATCTTTGCCAACTGCTGTCTCTCTTATTCAGGCTGCGCTAAGAGGCTCTATGAGTCAATCCATCAGAAGATCTTTACTCTGCCTGACCACTGCCTCGTCTACCCAGCACACGACTACCAAGGTTGGCTGAAAACCCGCACATCTGAGTGTTTCTGTCATATCTCATCCTTATGCACATAGACAGATTTTAAGTACCAACATAGCATTATAAAGCTGTTGCCAGTTGTAGCAATCAATACTGATACGATACACATGCAGTTACGAGAGTAGTTTTACAAAAGTTCAAACAGGTCACGCTCAGGTCGAGTCATTCCATGCATACTGATTCAGCAGATATCATCGATGCGAGTGTGCTGATATACATCTGTCAAGAAGTATTTGCAGTATATCACTCACTGAGGTTCAATATCTGGTAAACATTAGGATCACAATTACCACAGATGACGTGTTTAACTGTGTTTGTCTTTGTGTATCAGGTCAGACGGCATCTACGGTCGGTGAGGAGCGCAAGTTTAACCCGCGCTTGACCAAGAGCATGGAGCAGTTTGTGGACATCATGAACAACCTGAACCTCCCCAAGCCTGAGAAAATAGGTATAAAAAAGTTTTTTTTTTCCTTTAGTCCAGCCTCCATAAATCAAATTCCTGGGCCCAAAAAATTACATTCTCAAGGTTGTAACACCTCAGTGCACACTCATACTTAGAAAATGTAAATATCCTGCCTGTAACCATACTTCTGTTACTGAAAACTGCATTACTTCTTCCTTTGCAGATATTTCAGTGCCTGCTAATCTGGTTTGTGGAGTACACGAAGTCTGAACGTCCTGCAAAAGGGAGGAATTTAATCAAATCATCTACATCGTAGCAAAGTGATTAACATTTGCATGTTTGTATCTGAGCAGGATTCACCAAAAACTGCTTACCATGATGTGCTTTATTACTTGTATTTATGCAAATGTGTATTTTAATGGCTATGCTGTCATTTGCAGCTACTGACATCAATGTGATTATGCTTAAAATAGAAATTCAATCAGTTCTATGATTAGAAATTAGTGTTAAAGATCTGTACTTGAGGAAAAAACACTATAATAATTGTTTTTTCTGTTTTTTTATTGAATGTAAATGAGGGAATTCTTGACTTTTTATTCAGCTTCTTTTTGAATTAAGGACATTTACGAGGAGAGCTCAGATTGGAATGTTTCCAGGTTCAGTATTGATAAATGCTTAACTGGGACAATGAAGTTCTTCTACATGGAACCCGTGTTTGGCAGCTCACCAGCCAGTAAGACAGGTTCGATTGGTAGTGTCGGCCTCTGACGCGGCTTCATGCCTCTCCCAGAGAAACTTGCTCACGTGATAGTATGCTGTATGAGTATGTTGAACTGATTGTGAGCTTTTAAGAGTCAGCATCAAAATGTTTCTATTGAACCGGTTTTAAAGATATACAATGTAACATTTCTGCATTGAAATGTCTAAATACGCTAGACCTATGTTATATGTTTTGTTGAGCTGTGTGCTTACATTATCCCAGATGTTTCCAACAATGTTTAAACTTAGAGAAATACCTAATTTTAATCCAGTAATGGTGAATATGTGAATAAAACTTTTTTTTAAATATTAGCTTGTTTGTGACGCAATTTCTGCTTTAGTCATGTCAGACTTTCATCATCAACACTACATCAATAGATCCTCCTAAATGTTACACAGCTTTAATTTTACTTAAAACAACTATACTTGGGTAATAACGATATATTCATGTAATCAATATATTCATGTGTTGTTTTGGGGGTGAAATGCCTGCAAAAACTATTTAAAAAGATGTACAGCAACTTTGTAATAAGGAAGACTTGTTTAAGAATAAGAGGTGGTTAGAGCAGTGGTTTTCAAACTGGGGTCTGGGGACCAGCAGGGGTCCTGGAGTGGGGTGTATGGGGTGCACAGCAATTTTTAAAAAATGTTTTATTGCATTTTTTGGAAGTACAACACAAATAAATACAGATGCTGGTTTTGAATGATTGTAATTTATTAGAGATCCAAGTTTGATCACTGATTGATAATTAGGACTTTATCTTCAAATCTAAAAACAAAATAAAAACATACTCAAAGGGGATTCCTTAAGTCAAAATCCTCTTACAGTGGAGGTCTGTGATTTAATGTGCATCTATTGTGGTGGTCCTGGACATGAACACATTTGGGAATCCCTGGTTTAGACCGACCAGCCCATCTGTTGGTGGGTGTTGGCTGTTCACAGTAGACAAACAAACAAACATTAGCTCACACACAGGCGCCTGCATTGTTTTTCTGAATAACAAGATTTGCGTGTGACTATTCCCACCATCAAGCTGAAGATATGATGCTTTTCCCCCCCTTCTTGATCCTGTTTATCTGCTACTGGGAAGCGAAGCTGCCAGCTTTCCTCTCACCCAGTCTGTCACCCATTTGCCAGGCCAGCCCCTCTTCCACTTCAGTCTCGCCCATTTAACACTGTGCCACCATGAACCGACTGCCCATTCTCAACCTGCTCATTCAGAAAGAGTCCAGCCCAGAGTGAAGAGCTGATTTTACCCATAAAGGAAAAACCTCTTCAAGGTGAAACCAGCTCAACGGGCTCTGGCTCTCACGCACCAAGCACCGAGGGTTCGAGTTCCGCTGCAGCCGGCAGAAGGCGCTTCTGTCCCCGGATAAAAGTACTGACATTCGCCCGCTGCGAGCACCGTACTGCTCCAGAATGGCGCTGACCAAAGGACTGTTCTTCAGACAAGTAGGTTCATATTAATATGGTTTATGATCTTCCAGTTTAGGTTATGTTTTGTCCGGTACGACGCTTGAATAAAAAGCAGCAATGTGTGTAAATACTTTGCTAACGCTAATAGGAAGTGAGCCAGGAGCTATGTAGTTAAGTTGCAGTAAAAGTTGTAGTTCGTTTAAATCCAACCAAACTAAGTCACAAGACTCTTCTGTGTGGATTGTGGTTGTGACATTTTCCAACCAAACACATGGCTCACCTCGATCGGTCTGCTCAGTGTTCATGCAATAACCTTATAACTGTGTGTGTGTGTGTGTGTGTGTACTGTAATGTTGTGGCTGAAACATGATGACACTGCAGTGGACATCTCTGTGCCATGTCCAGCCTCAGATTTAGGTGACAGCAGAGGAGAGGCACTATTTGGAGTTGACAGTTTATTATGCACCATGGAAACAGCAGTTGACAAAACAATCTTAACTCAAGGTCCACTTACTGTCTTTTTCTACAGCTTTCAACTTTATTACATTGTCCCTATCGTGGAAAGTTTGAACATCTGCATTTTCATGGCAAAGAGACCTGTGTGATATGCTCAAAAGCTCCAGAACAAGCGAATAAGAGGATTTTGAGGCTTTTTATTTTGTTTTAAGTAAATGTTTACTCTCCACACATGTCCTTTCCTTATAAACAGTAAATATATATGCATGAGTAACAGTGCAACCTTTCCAAATACTTCAAAAGCACACAGTTTGACAACAAGTAGCTTCACATCCTCTCTTCTATCTCATTCTAACTTTCATTCTCTCTCTCGTTATCTCTCATGCACAAACACACACTATCAGAGAACGACGGGGGGGAGGATGTGCATCGTTACCAACCGTTGCCATCCTTTGTGATTTACTGCTGAGTCACTCCTGTGCCCTCACTTGTTTTGTTTTTCTCTGTTAAGCTGTTCGAGTCGGAGAGCAGCACCTACACCTACCTGCTCGCAGACACGGAGACCAAGGAGGCGATCCTCATCGATCCTGTGCTGGAGACCATTGACAGGGACCTGAAGCTCATACATGAACTGGGGCTCACTCTGAAAGTGGCAGGTATACTTCCTATGTGTCTGTAAATATCAGTGTCCCCTTTCCATCATCGCCCAGTACAGACCTCTTGTTCGTTTTAATGACGAACATTTCCACTACACATTATCCTGTGAACTATAATGTGAAGGTTGGATAAGGCTAATTTGACTGTAACAGCTGGCTTTGGGGAAAACTTCTCAGGTTTTGTTGCTGATTCTGCAAAGTAAGGAGTAACTTTGCTCAGGAGCAAGGTTATTATAGCCCTGGAATAAAGTCCCATATGTATTCATATAGATATTTTGTGTGCTTATATGAACCATCACTCACTCTGAGGACTATGAACTCAGTAAGACCACTGCACACTGTAGATTGTGGGTTAGTCATATCAAAAGACCCCTGAGACTGGGCAATATGGCTGAAATAAATATGACAATATTAATAGGAATATGTTTCCAATATTGCTATCTGTAACATAATATGGAACATTGTATGCAAAATTAAAAAATAAAATAATGAAAGTGATTTTTTAAAACAATGGCCTGGGTTCCACTATTACAATTAAAAAAACTAAACACATAAAACAGACAAAGAAAAACTTATGAAAAACGCTGGTAAGCTAGTTTTTCTTTAAATTAGAATTAGCTTGCCATTGTTAATTTGGACGATATAATTGTGTAAAAATTATAATATAATATATATGTATGTATATATGTAAAACTTGCTAACTTTTATGATAATATTAAATTAACCAGGGTTTAAAAGCACCACCAGCCCAGTGGTAGTAAAATATGCAAGTCACTGGTAGATTTGCTTCACAATTTGCTTTGAACATTCACAAGCCATTTTGCCAATGGACACGAAAGTGAATTTAACACCCTGTGCCAACCCCTGTGGTGATCTATACTATTTTTTTCTCTGCTAGTAAACACCCACTGCCATGCGGACCACATCACAAGCACTGGGCTGATGAAGAAAAGATTGGCTGGGCTGAAGAGTGCAATCTCCAAACTCAGCGGTGCCTCTGCAGACATTCACCTGTCAGAGGGAGACAAGATCCCCTTTGGAAAACATGTAAGAAGAACATGTCACTTATTTCACTGCATCCATCCAACCCTTACTTTAGACAGATTCACTTGTGTTTAGGGTTAGTTGTCCCAGTGTGTCAACATGTAAACTACAATATAGTATTGTAAGTCTTTGCATACTTATCTTTTTGGATCTGTATCATCTGTTGCTGTGTTAGAGCTGTGTAGAGGTTTTTAATGCCTTGTGTTGACCTTTGTCTCTTCTGCCCTCTAGTATCTGACAGTGAGAGAGACACCGGGACACACTGATGGGTGCGTGACGCTGGTTTTAGGGGACCAGAGTATGGCTTTCACTGGGGACACTCTGCTCATCAGAGGCTGTGGCCGGACAGACTTCCAACAGGGTACGCTAAAATGCTCCAACACTGCCTGAAAGAGAAACCATTTGTTTTGGTAATACTGCTAGAAGAACACAAGAGGGCAGTATTGCATCTGTTTTCTGTTGTCTAATCTTTGCCAACTGCTGTCTCTCTTATTCAGGCTGCGCTAAGAGGCTCTATGAGTCAATCCATCAGAAGATCTTTACTCTGCCTGACCACTGCCTCGTCTACCCAGCACACGACTACCGAGGTTGGCTGAAAACCCACACATCTGAGTGTTTATGTCATATGTTACCATTTTAATCAGCAGATTTTAAGCATAAGCATAGCGTTATAAAGCTGTTTCCAGTTGCAGCAATCAATACTGATACGATACACATGTCTTTGCAAGTTGTACAAATGTAAGTGCAAACAGGTCAGATCACAAAGTCAGTTATACTCATTTCCCAGCTGATATCATCTGATACAAGTGTGCTGATATACATCTGTCACAATGTATTTACAGTATATCAGTTATTTGGATATCTGCCAGCACCATGTGATTTCTCTGCACTTATCAAATATTATATTTCTTTTGATTGATCTGTGAGGGCAATAGCAGGTAAACAAGACCACAGTCACCACAGATGACATATTGAACTGTGTTTGTCTTTGTGTATCAGGTCAGACGGCATCTACGGTCGGTGAGGAGCGTAAGTTTAACCCACGCTTGACCAAGAGCGTGGAGGAGTTTGTGGACATCATGAACAACCTGAACCTTCCCAAGCCTAAGAAAATCGGTACCAGAAACCATTTTTTCTATCATCCAACCTCTACCATGGTTCTGTTAGTAAACAAGTCTTATTCCTAGACTATAAAATGACATGTTCAAGATTATAACTGACTGAAAACTGTTTTCATTACTTCTTCCTTTGCAGATATTTCAGTGCCTGCTAATCTGGTTTGTGGAGTACACGAAGTCTGAACGTCCTGCAAAAGGGAGGAATTTAATCAATCATCAATCGTAGCAAAGTGATTAACATTTACATGTTTGTATCTGAGCAGGATTCACCAAAAACTGCTTACCATGATGTGCTTTATTTCTTGTATTTGTGCTAATGTAAGATGTGTATTTGAATAGCTGTGATGTCATTTGCAGCTACTAACATCAATGTGATCATGTTTAAAGGTTACGAAATGTACTGTTACTAGAAGTCCCACTAAATCACAGCATCTCAGACCAAACAAATGGGTGCCACGGCCTACGAATCCAATCCAAAAACAGTAATTTTAATTCAATTCAATTCAGTTCTTATTTGTATAGCGCCAATTCATAACAAAAGTTATCTCAGGACACTTTTCAAATAGAGCAGGTCTAGACCGAACTCCTTACAAAATGAATTACAGATAATCGTAAAACAGGCTGCAATTGCAGCAATGAAGCTAATCATTGAGGACAAATGTGCCTGTCAAAGTACGTCCTCTAAAAGTGCTTGTTTTTGCCACTGACAGGCTCAGATTGTTAAGTGTCTGACAACATTATGGAAAGGATGAAATAATTCCTTAATTCACCAACGTAGATGATAAAAACAGCCGTTTAAGTCGTTCTCCTCTGTTGCACGTGGAGGGAATCACAAGCATGCGTGGCTGGACTGGTGAAGTATACAAGGCACAGACTACTACAGACCCAGAAGGGGTGTGACTTCATTCTCTGCTCAGGGCACCATTATTCCAACATATCTTTACACAGAAAATAGTTGTATGCTGCTATATTAATGTTCAAAATCTCATATATATATATATAACCTTTAAAATAGAGATGCAATCAGTGCTAAAGATCTGTACTGTACTTGAGGAAAAACTTAAACTTAATTTTTTTTTTTTTTGATTGAAGTTAAATGTGTGTATTCTTTTCTCTTTATTCAGCTGCGTTATTATGAATTTGGGAGGACATTTACAAAAAGGAGAGCTCAGATAGGAATGTTCCATTCAAGGTTTGGTTTAGTATTCATGAATGCTTAACTAGTACAATTGAGTTCTTCCACATGGCCTTTCCAGTGATTCCGGACTCCTTTTATCCGAGGCTTCAAACACACACAGACACACACAGACATTGAGTCAGACACACACCACTCACTCTGCTGCCAGCCACGGCCTTTTTGCATACCAGGAAGATGAAACTACGTTATTTGCATTCGGAATCTCTCAGAGCCAAGTTTCCATTGACAAGATGTCATTGCCATGTGTTTTTGCTCTCAACTCTCATCTGATCCTCTAGATGAATAATGGACAACGGTGTCTATTAAAATGTGTGTCATTAGCTCAATAAGATATGGAGAAAAGCATCCATGCCAAGTATCAACACAGTGACGTCTGCTCCTGGACTTCCAGATGTTCTGTACGTGCTGCTCTCAGCCTGCGTTTAACAGCTCACCAGCGAGTAAGACAGGTTTGTTTGGGAGTGTTGGCTTCTGTCAGCCACATGCCTCTTTCACAGAACATGTGATAGTATGTTGTATGGTGGTGTTGGAATTATTGTGTGCTTTTTAGGGTCAGCATCAAAATGCTTCTATTGAGTTGTTTTCAAGCAGCATTCCTCCTCAGATTTGTACTCTTGCCAGGATTTAAAGGAGCACTACACTGATTGTTGACAGTTCAATTGACTTGTCTCGGGGAATATAACTCACTATGTGAGAGCAATTGTAAAATTTAATCTGTGGTTATGGAGGGAGTATTCTATGACATGAGGGTTATCACAGCTTGGTTTTGGAGGCCACAAATCTGTAACAGAGTGTGTCACAAACTGGGGGTGTGGAGTTTGATGGGTGTGGGTGTTTACTAGCCAGGGAGGGTCCAACAAAAGATTTGAGTTTGTTTACATATCATTTTATAATCTTGACAAGGAACTAAAAGTCAGGATATTTGTGCTTGTGCTGCATGAAATGAAACGTTGGCCCCTTTAAACACTAAAACACCATTTAAATAAACCATAACCTTTAGTAAAACACAGAAAAGCGACATTATGAGACTACTCAGTGGTCTAATAATGTACGTACATCAGGTTGTCTTTTTGAGTAATGGTTAGGGAGGATTCACCATCATGGCCATGGCCATGGACTTGGACTATTTACTAATAAACATGCACTGATCTGATACACCAGATCACACTGATATTGACCTTATGAAGAAGATTAGGTATTGCTCATGATGTGACCAATCCAACTAAGGTGCAGTTACTTTGTCAATGTAATTTTACATTAGTTTTACACAGTGAAGTATACGGATTTTGAGTTATTGGTATCAGGAGAGAAGGGTTGGTGTTAGTGCATAACAACAGGCCGATATTACCCTGATACACAGTATATCAGGGCTGCTGAATTTAATCCTATCTGGTTCCTTACAGCTGCACTTGTTATTGATATTTGGGTCATTACATGAATATCTTTGATGTTTCAGGAGTGAAATGCCTGCAAGGTTTTAAACTCCTCAAAAGATTCAAAGCAACGTTGTTATAAAGAAGACTGTTAAAGAATAAAAGAAAGTGTATCGTTCAGAGAAAAAAGGTTATCTGTTGGTGGGTGTTGTCGTCACGTGCAAGTTAATACTGTTAGCACACACATAGACCATCTACCAGCTGTCTCTGTCAGCACTTGAGACAAACAACATTATTGGCCCGCCTCTGCCTCACCTAGTGTCCTCGCCGACAGACACCTGCATTGTTTTTAATTCAAAACAGGAGGTGTGTGTGATTGTTGGCGCCATCAAGTTGAAGATATGTTGCTTTAGAGGCACAGTCGTTTCCACGTAAAGTCATCCTATTATCTTGATCCTGTTTCTCTGCTTCTGTGAAGTTGCCAGCTGTCCTTTCACCCAGTCTGTGTCACCCATCTGCCAGCCCTCTTTTGAGTCTCTCCCTCAGCCCACTTACACCGTGCCACCGTGAACCTACTGCCCATTCTCTCTCACACCGGCCACATGTCACTTGACAGAATCTATTACACTATCAGCTCATTCAGAAAGAGCAGTAAAGAGGCCAGTCAGGGCGATAAAGCTCTCAGAGTGAAGAGCCCAAGAGACCCTAAAGAAAATACTCATATAGGGTCTTAGTTTAAATTCAGAGAGGTCTTATACTTGTTGAAATGTTTATCTCCTACAATGTTTATAAAAAGTGTACAGTTTTCGGTATTCTTAAATCAGTTACACTAACATTTGCAACAGGAATTCACATTGCTGTGGGAGTTTAAAGTTTACAGTGACTGTCTAATACTTTATGGTATTTTAATCTCCACTGGTATCAATATAAGACTGCTGCAGGGACTTATACTCAATAGTAAGTGTTCTTAAAGGTCCAGTGTAACATTTAGGAGGATGTATTGGCAGGAATGGAATATCATATTCATTGGTATGTTTTGATTAGTGTATAATAACCTCAATATTTAATTCATTTCAAAAGGGCTTTAATCGCATGAACAAAAACATGTTAAGAACAGTAACAATATATATCATTTAATACAATTACTCAACTACATGGGTCCCTCAGGCTGTGGCAGGCAGACACATATTTAGCTACTAAAAGAGCTGTTGTCCCTTCACCAAGGAGGACTGACAGCTTTCCTTCTTTGTTGTGTGTTGTCACATTAGAATGAGACGATTATATCTATCGACCCCATATGCTAAATAAATGCGTTGGCCTCTATGTGCCTCTAAATGGTTAAATAGTTAATAGTTCCCTGAGTGCTTTTATTACAGAATTCTTGTAATTCTCCTTTAAATCTGACTCACATAATAAAAAACTATAATACTGACTTTCTGTGTGGATGCTTCACTGCATGCAGCTGGGGCCCTTCTTATTACTTTTTGCCCCCGGCCCCTCAGAAAACCAGGGTCCGCCACTGACTCCATGTTGTCCTATTAAAACCATATAACATGAGACCTCCAGCTGAAAGAAATCCTCATCTGTGTGATCCCCTTCCCAAATGACTTTTATTCTCATAAAAATGTGAACATATTAAAACTACTGCCTACACTCCTTTGACCTATAAGTTCAGTGTCCTGCTGTATCACTATCAAAATACTACTCCCACGGGAGCCTGTCATGAAAAGTATTTAAGTGGCCTTTTACTTCCCAGTGTACTGGCAATATGCCCGGATGACTCTTTTAGTTGAGCCACTCCACAATGAGAAAGCCCCGTCAGTTCCCAGAATAGAAATCCCATTTCGGTGCAGGACTTGAACGGGACTCTCACTGCCGTCTGAAACAGCACAGACGCCCCGGCGGTGCAGAGTCTGTCCGGGCTCAGAGGATACGGGCTTTTCATTTACACCTTCAACACGAAACACTTTCGTTACACAGTCTGCACGCGCTTCCGTCGTTGCCCTCCTCCTCCGCGTGCTTTCAGTTCAGTCTCACCTGCTGACACCGACGGCAGCCACTGACACTGACCTGTCATGTCTCCTGGGAGGGATTGAGTCAAACCAGGTGAAGATAAAAGCAAAAAAAAAAAAAAAAAAAAAAAAGAGGGGAAGATAACGTCTCTCACAGCAAACAGTCAGTGAGCTTAAAGTTACTTTGTGTTTTGAACGTGGAGGCGCTTTAAAAGTTGGCTGAAGTGACGTTTCGATAGAGTTCGCGTTTCCCCTTCTTTCACTTTTCCACTCTGGTATGAATTGGAGGATCCACACTCGTCGTTTAGGTTGGAGCACGTATTCCAGGTAAGAGTTATTGCTTTAATTCGCCCTTTTCTCTCTCTCTTTTTTTTTTTTTTGTTGTTGCAGTAAGTCAGCTGAAAGGGTTCAACCACCTCCAAACAACTTAAACAAAGCTCGTGCAGTTCCTGTTGTAAATAACAACTTCCCACGCGAGACAGACAGAGTTGAACCGTGCTCGTTTGGCAGCCCGCTGACATGAATGTGTGTCTAACTGGGAAAGTTAGGAGTTCTTCTTTTAGACTACATCACATTTATGCACATAACATAACCTTAACAAAAGGAGGAATTTCATTTGCTTCCTGAAACCACCTTCTTGCTTGAAACCAAGTGAATTCTTTGCCTGTGTGTGTAAAAGAGTCATAGCTCATTGATTCATACTCTTTTACTGGTCTAAGTGCAGACCTGGATGATGAAGATTATTCATTCCTCATCTGTGAAAACACCCCACAGTAACTTTCACTGAGCTTAAACTGCTGTTTCTTAGTCAAACCCTGTCCCATGACAATAATCTCCGTTTACATAAATTCCCCCATTGTTTACCATGACCCTGAGATATGTGGCCTTTTATCCCTCCATCAGCACATACAGGGTAAACAGAGAGGATGGGAGTGTAGGTTGGGGGGGGGGATTGTGAGGAGATATTGCCCTGAGTGTGTTGTCTGGGGACTTATGCCTTTTAAGTTATTCTCTGTCTCTCACTCACCCACACTCACTCGCTCGTCTTGTTTTGACCTGCTTTGGACAAATCTGTGTCTGAGCCCCGCGTCCCAGGTTGTCATTAATGGATCACTGTTTTCTTGCATCACAATTCCCAGAGATTTACTCAGGCTAAAGGAATCTCTGTCAGTGCAGTTGAACCTGTAATGATGCCCGGAGTTACACACTCACTCACACACACACACACACACACACACACACACACACACACACACACACACACACACACACACACACAGTAGCAAGATGAGATCTGATGAGTGATTTTCTCACAATATATCTTTATTTAATGTGTAGGCCTAGTAAAAGCCTACAGGTAGATGTATATAAGGCTTGAACAGTTTATCTGTTTGTGGTATTAAATGCATTTCAGTAGGGCTGCAGCAATTTCTTTTTTTTTTCCACATGAGATATTACTCATAAAACCACAGGGTGTTACTAATAGCATTAGTGTTGACTTCATTCTATTCAGTAATGAGTGTGATGGTGAACACCCTGAAACGGAAGCAGCATGTTATATTTACGCCTGTGCTTTTTCTTTATCGCTTTAATGTATTAGTTATTTTTCACATTATCTGTTTAACCTTTGAAATGTCACAAAATAGTGCAAAATGTCATTCAGTTTCCCAGAGCCCCCCAAATTGCTTTTTTACAGTTCAAAACAAAACAATATTCAGTTTACAAATTATTTGAAACAGGAGAGCAGCAGATCCTCACATTAGAGATGGTTTTTGCTATTGCTTGCCATGCTATTGCCAAGCTGTGACATTTTCGTACTTTTAGATGTACTCGCTCCTTGTACACCTTTGTTTTTTCTCAGAGAAATTACCTGAACTCGTCAGGTACATATGTGCTTTTAAGTGAGACTAATAATGTTGACAGCGGAGATGTTAATTTGATTACTGAAACCTCAGCCTCAAATGTCTGGACAGATCCATAATCTTTGTTACTTATTTCTTTGATTAGATAGTAGCTGATTTGAATCCTCAAATATTTAGACTACTTTAGATTTCATTCACGCAAAGTTCTTGTGCAGTTGCTGGTTGTTTGATGGATTTGGCTTCTTTTGTTGAATAAAAAAAATACTTAACTATATTGTAAAGCAGGGTATTAAGCGATTATACTGGTATCAGTACCAATACTTGGGTATTGTATTGGCCTTTTAGTATTCATTTTCAAACAATACCCAGGCTTTGGTGCTGGAACCGGTATATCAGCTTCCTCTACATTAGATTTCTCCTAATTTTTAAACCTGGTATAAGATTCTGTGGTATTGACACCAGAACCTGAGATGTACCATAACTCCCATGCATAAAGCTGCCATTGTAGTGACTGAACAACATTTCAAACTGACATCAGCTCGTCAGCCAATTTTCCACAGGAATGTAGAAAAATACACCACGAAACAACAGAACGAGCCCAGAAATGAGACCAATTTTTTTTTTTTACTGTGCTGAGTTGTTTTAGGTTTTCTTTCTTTTAATACTCAGCTAAAGTTAATTGCTTGAGTCAGAATGCACGGGCCTATGTTGTCTTTGTTTTCTTGCATGTGACTGTGAGCTCAACTAGCTGCATCAGTGGTTTTTTGTCAACCAGGGTTTGACACTTTTTCCTCAGTGACAGCTGGGTGACAGCCAAAACTCCCTCCTCTCACCTGCTTTTCCTGCTCACAAACTTGTACTGCGATGACAGCTTCCTGGTCCTCGAGCCAGCAGGAGCCACACGCAGCAGGTCCGGAGGTCGCTGCCGGGTAGTCCACCGCATTTCATCCGTCAAATGACAGTATGCTCTTTGGCAGACTATAAGGACAGGTCCATAAAAATGTCAGGCTGTTTTAAAGATGCAAAATTAGTGCACATAAGCATTTAGGTTGGTACAACTTACACAGGCACACGTATAAAGGGTGTAACTGTTTCATACAATCTAGCAGAAACTAATTATACTGTGCCTTTTGCTTTGTGTTTCAGTTTTCCAACCAAACTTCATTCTTCTAAAATGACAGCAAGACTTTATGCGTTTTTTATTTTTATTTGGTTAGAGCCAAAGTGTAGCAGGACCAGAGCAAGTAAGTGGCAAAAAAGGGACTTTTGACAATAAAAATAGGAAAATTACTTATGCACTGTGGAAACATTGTGTGCCTCAGATGCTAATGTGATGATGTCAGGCCTGCTATTGAACAGAGAGTTTTAAAGACTGGAGATTTGGTCTGTTTGATTGAAGCCACAGCCTGTAATTGTGGCCAATAAAAAGAATATGTGACTTGTCCTGCTAGTTCACAAGACTTAATAGCTGGTTTTGGTCGTATGCCCTCTGCAGAGGGGAGGACAGCACTTACAGTGAGTGAAGAAGCATTTTGTCAGCTGGATTGTAGATGCCTCTCTGGTCTATGTCAGGCCGCTGTGTTTAAAGCAGCACTTGTACAGTACAATGCGGTGAATGTATGCTGTGGTGAGCATGACTGATTTCACAATTTACTAATCCTCTGAAAATATTTGAGTCTGTAAACCTGAAACATGACAGTCAGGTTAAGTAGAATTTTAACCTTTTTACTTTAAAGTCTCCTTTCAATGTCTGCAACTAGGAGAGGGACTGTTTTTGTTCAGTGCAAGATTTATTTAATTGCAATACTACAATCCTGCACACTTGTACTCACTTTATTTAGAAAGTTTCTATCCTTAGACCTCCTCAGGTAAAATCCATATATGTGTTGTTTGCCCGTATGAATATTACCAGATAAAAAATATTTTAAACTGAAAGTGATGTTCAGCAGTGTACAGGATTTAATGGAAAACAGAACAGAGTGTTTTCAATTCTACAAAAACCTCCATTAATATGTCATTAATTGTAAATTTGACCATCGATTCAAGTGAACTGAGAGTGACCTGACCTCCAAGCCCGGCCTCTGGATTAATTTGCCATTGTACATTGCCCCCCTCTTTACAGGGCAGTTTAGCTCACATGCTCCATGTGTGACATGTTTTTCCTATAGCGCCCTTTGCATTGAACGCATAGTGACAAGCTGTAATCAGCATTCACACCCACACCGAGCATGCCACCGTCAGAGCTCTTTTGTCCTTTGTGTTGCTGGTGGAATATAGCTGTTGTCAGTGTTGACTTTATGGTTTTGTGTACACAATGCTTAGCCCCACTTTTCCTTTTAGCCACTCACCAACGAGGGGTCCTGACAGGGACAAGGTCATTGCAGAGTGCTGCTGTGTGGTGTTTTCGTCATTTGGGAGCTACTGTATATGCTGTTTTCAGTTTCAGGAACAGATTAGTCAAACTTTGAATATGTTTTGGCCCATACTGATTACTGAATACTAACATGTTGCAAAGATACAGATGTACAGAGGGACACTACAAAACATATTCAAGAGGCACCTGTTTTACACATGAAGTTCAGTTTACTGACGTTGAATAATGTCTTCTGTGGCTCTGGAGGAGGATGTCTGTAAAAAATAACCCCAATGATATCCAATGACTTAACAGGGAACAATTTTACACACCAAAATCTGTTTACAGGTCATGTAGAGTACTAGTGTTTATGTGAGAAAAGTCGATAAAGCCTCTTGAGGCTCCAGAAGGAGCTGTGCAAAATCTGATAAATTGCTTAATGTTATGTCACATGAGTCAGCGTTGGCTGGAACTGAAGACTGCGAGGTTGAAAAATAAACTGGAGGTGTGGCGTTGGAAAGAAGTGAGCTCATAAGACCTCTGTAGACGCTCCTCGTCTCTACTTGAGGCTAGCGACTAGCATAACAGACCTGAATCTCCAACCGAACTGTCCACCGTCGCTTTGCATTGTGGGTAATGTAGGCGCCAGGTTTTGACAAGAAACAAGATTTTCATAAATTCCTTCATTTTTAAATTTAATTTGAAGACGAAACTAGTTTCCTTATTTCTAAAAAGCCGACGGGCAGTTTATACAATGTATTGCTGCCACGCTTAGTTTCAAGTTTCTATCTTTAGAAGTTATTTGCATGTTCAAAAGACATATTTTCCCCTTATGACTAGCCAACTGATATCATATTGGAACTCTGTAATCTTCGTCATACAAAACGCTCTCTTCCTCTAACTTTTCTTGATAAGAATAGACAAATGTCGTCTTCTTGTACATGATCTTGTCAAAAGTTACTGTATGTGCTTCCAAAGTTATAGATGATTATCAAAAGGGCTTATTTTCTACTCGGCTCTTCAAGTAACAAACAACATGGCAGCTAAATGAAATGTTCTGGATTTAATCCATCAGTGTATGTGACCAGTGAGTCTGCAAACTGTCTCTGTAGAAAGTGTGATTTATAGCTTTGCTATTGGCAAACTGTTTAAAGAGTCCCTGATGAAGCTGTGGCATTGAATAGTGTGCTAAGTGATTGTCTTATTTGGATTTACTCCTGCAGCTGGACACAAACTGTTTATTGACTTACTTCTATCTGGGTTCTTTGAGATCAAACGTACAGGTGATATGAATGGAGATGCTGAAACTTAAGTGGAGCCTCCAAGTGAAAGAAAGAAAGAAAGAAAGAATGATAAGTCTTTGCTGATTTGAGCAAACGCTGAGACAATATGACATGCTGTTTGTTGCCCTGTTGAACGTACATAACTCTCACGCTGGTCTGCCTGTGTGTGTTTGTTTTATGGTGAATCAGCTGTTGCTGGTTATTTCTGATCTGTGGTTGATAATTAGCGTTGCAGACTGATACGCAGACTCCTGAAATCTTCTAGGATCAGTTCGAGAGTTGAGGGTTTTGTCTTGTGTTGCCTCTGAGAAGTCATTACATAACTCACACACATAAACACACGCACAAATGCATGTACACTTGAAGTGCGTCTCTGTTCACTCTCTCTGCTATCTTATTCTCCAGAGGCGCTCCCCTCCCCGCAATCAAGTCCAATTATTTTGGGCACAAAACCGTGTTTTGTTCTTTGATCTGGCTCTCTCAGACTGAACGTTGCTCTTTTTTTCTTTTTCTGCATTTTCACTCATTTTGTTGTCCATAGTTGGTGCTCTTCTTACTGTCTCACGCTCTCTTGTTTTCTCAGTGCACTGTGTTTGTTTAGCCTTTTATTTGTTGCATTTGACAAACCACTGTGTTGACATGAAAGGATGGACTTTACTCCTGAATATCTCTCTCTCTCTCTCTGTCTCTCTCTCTCTCTCTCGGCTCTGCAGTGTCAATAGTGTATCTGAGTGGACTTTAGATAGAGGTCACACAGCGAATGCTTGCGCTGATGTTTGTTTGGATAATAATGTAACTGAGTGTGAAGCTCTCTCTGCCTCCAGCTTTTACTGGACAGCGGTGTACAGTAGAAATGATTAGTAGTAGGTTAAATGATCAATACAGTAATAAATAATATGTTCTGTGTATAATTGAGCTGAGGTGCATTTTGTTTTTACTCTAGACATTGGACCTCTACTATTTCTGCCACTGAAACATTTGCATGTTTTGTTACAGACCATTTTATAACACTGTGGAACTTTTTGTTATTTTAGGGTTTTGTTTTCTTCTGATACTGTAGATGAACTGTGCAATGAATACTATAATGATACCATTGTTACTATGGGCATCAAATTGTCCCTCCTATGTAAGTAGAATATGATTATAACACAAACCTGATAACCTGCCAGCCAATTAGAAAGGACCCTTTAGAACAAAAAATACTTCTTTAACAATTCTTTACACTGTTTCTGATTGGCTGGCTAGGATATGTCTGCTTTTTCTTCACGCTCTCTTCCTAAAAGCAGTTCCCAAACTGTGAAATTACCTTGTTTACTGTAAACTGTTGTGGTCAGTCTTGCTACGTGTAGGAAAGACATTGCATTTATCATCAGTTTAAACTCAACTTCTCTATATAAAACTATGTTTGTATTTCTGTATCTGTGGTAAAGGACCGGTGTGTGGGATTTAGTCTAAGGTATATTATATTTCAGTTCTGCCAATAGATCCTCCTAATAGTTACACACTGGGCCTTCTCAATAAAAAGTTAATGGTATTTTTCATAAATGTTATTTTAGAAGTTTCCATGTCATGGGATGTTGTATATTGGTATCATATACTCCTACTGCATACACCATGGGAAATTGCATGAGTCATTAACCATTAATGAGGTTTTTTTGTCACGTCAGTGAGTCAGTCCTGACAGTTCAAGTTCAATTTCAGTTTCAGTGTTTTCTTTGGTTGCTAGTTTGTTACATGTCAAGTAAATATTTTATTTATTTATCATAGAGCACAAGTAACCTTTACAATGACATCATTAGGATTAGAGCAGCAGATCAGATATGTAGTACTCAAGGAATAAACTTGCAGATAAACATGCAGATTTCACTTTTTTCCCACCTGGACCCATGTTTGTGGGTATTGACGATCAACCAGTGAACACGATTCTTCACCAGTAATAACAGACCTTTGGAGGTGGAATTACACCCATAAAAATGTCCTTGTGACAATTTTTCCTCTGTGGACTTCATAAAGTTGCATGTTACACATTTCAGTGTATCACTGGAAACAAGACATTGGCCTTTGACATTTTACACTACATTGCCTGTTGTTTTCTCTTCCCTCCGTCTGTCCATGCCTCTCTCTCTACCGTCTCTTTGTCGATGTCAGTGTGCCAGTGGTTGTTTGGAAGCCCTCACTCATATCTCAGCTGTATATTTATCTCTGTGCTTCCACTCTGCCTGCATTCCCTGCAGCCTAATAAGGTCTGAATACAGGGAGAAAGGGAGGGCACAGAGGGCGAGGGAAGATGGTGGGAAAAGGTTGGACAATAGGAACCAAAAGTATTTTCCCACAAATTGGTTTTGGTCTGTGTGTTTCTTCTAGCATGCATGTTTTTTGTGTAAAGCGAGACCACAGAGTAGAGGAATAAAGGACATAATAGAATAAAGAGACCAGATAATATAGGCCTGTAGATTGACATATTCCCAAAGCTATTCCTTTGAAGTAGGACAATGTAAACACTACAGTATATAATGATATTTACTTGGGTAAATGTGCATGAATGTGACTCGCAGGACAAAAAAGTTCAACATAAAAGTACTTCAAAGTCTATTCTGATGTGCTCTAACCCCCATTTTTATGGGTGATTTCTCCTTGTAGTATTTAGTTGATTGTTCTAGTTCCATTCATGTACTGTCTCGCTGATGATGCACGTCAAAAGCCTCTAACAAAAAAGAATATTACTTATAATGCTTGTGTCCACACACCAGAGTCGTTCACTAGGAGAGAGACCTTGAATCACAGCCCATTGCCCACATCCTGAATTCTCCCCTCTCTTTCACTATTGCTTCCTCTTCACTGCTGGGTGTTTTCTCCATCACAATCTGCTTTCTGGAAGCTGGGAGGGGGGATTCCTGTGTTTTAAAGTGCTTATTCAGTACTACTCAGCTGTAACTGTCACCTGATCCCTGATGCGCCCTCAACCATGCAGCAGATTATATTACCACAGTATTCACCAAAGTCCCCTCCTGTGAAGCTCTCATTAACTGCCTCCCTTGTCTCAGCCTTTAGAAATGCCCCAACATAACATGGAGAGCACCAGGAGCCAGTGGCAGCAGGGGCTGCGGCCGCCATGGATCACCAGAGTGGCTGGAGGTCAAAGCCCTGCATCCTCAGGGGCGGAGTCAGACACAGAGAGTAGCAGCACTGAGAGTGAGAAGGTAAGTGAGTGAGATGAAGTTGTTGATGGTGGTGATGCAGTAATTTGGCTCTTTCATGTCAGATGATGTGGCGATGGCACATGAAATCGTCCTTTGTAGCTCCTGCATGTAAGAAGAGAGAAGCTTGTTGCTCCACGCAGTTTAACTAATGAATCATCAACATTTCTAGACTAAACAGTTTACTGTTTTAAAGCTTGCATGTGGTGACTTTGTCTGCTATTTTCTCTGTCAGTCCTGCATTAAAAAGCTGGAGGTGGGCTCACCGAGGGTCCTGCCGTCGCCCTCAATGCTCCAGCGGCGAATCACAGAAATCGACCAACAGAAAGAAGAACTAAAGATTGAGGTGAGCATGTTAAACGATTGTGGTCCAATTTGCAGAAAAATACCTGATTTAGTTCACTTTGGTGCAAAATATGTAGCAGACCACAAAAACAATTAAATGGTTAATCAAATCAATAGACTGAATATGTGGTTAATTTAGAAAAACACAATTGGCATCTATTTTCGAAATTGATTAAGTAATTGAAGTCATTTTTTAAAGCATACTTGAGTTATTTGCAGATTTCTTTCTTTTATTTAATTGAATACCTGTAGGTTTTGGTTGACTATTGGTTGAACAACATAAGCTATTTAAAGATCATAGATAAGATGTCTTATTCACTGTTGTTTGACTTTTTTCATAGATTTAAGGATTAACAAAAAATCTTTAGATGAATCAGTATGAAAACAATGTTGCAGCCCTAGAGTGAATTACATAATATGTAATCTTCAACATGTGTTGCACAACAGGTGGTTAAGGTTTCATTGAGGTTTCTTTAAACTGCTACAACAAATTAAGAACCAAGACAGAGTGGTCAAGAAAACACAAAAACATTTTTTGATTGTGTCTCTGCTGAAGTCTGCACATTTAAATCTTTCCAAACACCAACACAGTCATGCTAAAGGAATGCATATCTGTGACTTGCTCAACGTCTGGTCAATATGATTCAGCTCAGCCTCGTCTCCTGTCCCTTTAGCTGCAGCTGGAGATCGCTCTGCTGCAGGGTGAGCTGCAGACGGAGAAGAAGCAGCTGCACAGACACACACAGAAGCTGCAGGCTCTACAGCAAGAGGCCAGACGGACAGAGAAGCACAAACACACCGACAGACAAAAGGTATCGTGTCATAAAATTAATATCAAACTTCCCTTTTTCGTCAGTTACAGACCTATATGTTGCATTTGTTAGGTTTTATGCCATTATTATGTTCTTCTGTCATGATTCATTACCAGCTAAATGTATTTGTTCTTGGAGACAATGAAGACTAATAGCTTAGATGTAACATTTAACTGGCCTAACATGAGTATCGCAATCACAAGACTCATGAGAAAAGGATATTCACATGTAGAAATGGGTGGGTTCAGTAATATTCCACTAACATCAACACAAGATCACGTCAATGATAAGTAAATTCCCATGGAATGATTGTTGGAGTAGAACTGGTTTGAAGTCAGATGTCTGTGGTCTTTAGGAAAAAAACTCGAAATATGGTTGTGAAATTGACTTGATGCATTATTTTCTTCTCTTTTGAAATAGTTTTTGTTTTACTTTTAAAAGTTAGGTGATTACTGTGCTCTTGCTTCACTCATTTCTTGCCATATCTGTAACTGCAGGAGCGAGAGAGTCTGGAGGAGGAGAGACGCAGGGTGGATTCACTGAAGAGGAGGTGTGAGGAGAAGGAGAAACTGATCCCCGGTCAGCCTGAGAGCCAGAGAGAACAGCTAACACTGCAGCTGCAGCAGGTGAGTGCCTGAGCTGCACATGATGATATATTTTCTTTTCTGTTCGACAAAATATCCACAAAAGTAGCTGAGAACGGCCGCTTTCACCTTTTTATGTAAAAGTCACGACTACTGGTCGGACCTAAAAACACGACGTAAGTCTGACATGAATGAGAGGCAGAAACCTTGAGCAGACCCTGGCTCTAGGTGGGTGGTCGTCTGCCTTGACCGGCGAGGTAGGTGATGATAATGGTGGTGACAGTAATGATAATAATATTAGCAGAAGGCGCAACCACGATCCATGGGAACCTGCGAGACGGGAAAGCACAAAAACTCAGGGGAAGAAGCTAAATTAATAACATGCATTAATGGGACATGAATGTGTACGGATAGAGGGACAAAGGAGCTCAGTGCATCGTGGGAAGTCCCCCGGCAGTCTAGGCCTATAGCAGCATAACTAAAGGTTGGTTCAGGACTCATCTGAGACAGCCCTAACTATTAGCTTTATATAAGAGGAACGCCTTAAGCCTGCAATACAGACAATAAAGTTGTTCTTTATACTTGTTGCTGTAGTTTTTACCGCTTTTTCTCTTTCCATGCACATTGAAAGTAGAAGTTGGGCCACAAAACTTTAACACAACTAATCGATGCCGCTGCAAGGTGATGTTATCTAAATTCAAAATCTATTAGATTAGAAGTGATTCACTTACTAGTCAAAACAGCACAAAAATGGCCTGTGTCCATGTACTGCTTTTGAGAGGGTTTAGGTTGTGAATCGAATATTTCACGATGCACACAGCTGTTACTCCAACGCTAAACATTTCCGGTATGGCTCAAAAATGTTTTAAATATCAGTCGAGTTTTTGGATCAATGAAGTCTCTATGTCATGTGCAGCGTCCAATGTTGCTGAACTTGTTTAACGAAGGACTGAAAATCTAAGAAATGATGTTGGCAGCTGTCCAAATGAATAATAAAACTGCAACTGATACTTGGTTGGCTCATGTCCGTCTGTCTCCGATACGGGGTGTTGGCATCGGTGATGACTCCTATACATAATGTTGTTTTTTGGTTGAACAAAGTGTGGTTGTTCAGTACCTGTTCAACCTGATGTGTCAGTGTTTCAGAAGTCTTTACACAAACACACACAGACAAACTGTGCACAGGATGTGTATTTTTCTTTGTGATGGTGACAGAACAAGATGAGAGACCTCTTTGTTTTAAAAGTGGTGTTTAATGACAGGTTTGGTGCAGTTCAGTGGCAGGTTGTTACTTTTTTGTTGTGACATGTCAGATTTATTTGGAAAGACCTTTTAGAAACTGGTTTGTAACAAATTGCGCCACAGAGAACCTCTCACAAGCACACAATAGAGGACTAAGTACACACTGCACAAGAACAATAGTGCGGGATTTTGTGAAATGAGACAATGAGGCTGCACTTGCACTTTTATATACTGAAGCATTAGAAACACAAAATACAAATTGCCCGAAGTTGTTTTCTGAATAAGAATTCTTAAGTTAAATTTGGTGTCTTCTGTCTGTATAAAGTTTGTACTGAAGCTAACAACACTTTATATATACTCTATATATTCTACTCTAGTGTGTTCTACTCTAGTGTGTTATGCATACTTTCATTCACTGTAATACTGAAAGTGAAAGAAAAGATAATACACAAATGTAAATGAGATGTTAACTGTAATTTATAATTTTTTATCCAGCATTTTTATAATCTGAACCTACGGTGTGAAATAAAAAACAAGGGCTGTTAAATTATATTAGACTCATTTCTCTGTCTTCGCTGCAGGAAAAAGAGGCGATGGAAGCGGCAGTGCGGGCCTTTGAGGACTGGGAGTTTCGTGTTCTGGAGCAAGAGAGCGGCATTGATGAGGAAGAGAAGGAGGGAGATAGTGAAGGGGAGATGGAGAAGGAAATCTCATGTCAGCAACATGTGGTCAACGCGGCACAGGTAAACAATGTGTCTTAGGAATGATTTTGTTCCCCCAACATTTCACAGCTGCTCCTGACGTGCTGTACGGTTTTGCTTATCTGCGTGTCACATGCTTTAAATCAGTGTCACTGTTTACCCTCGCAGGCTGACTTGGGATTAACCCTTCCAAACATTCCTTCAATACAGATTTATGACGTCAGACTTATGCATAGCATGTTGACAAAATAACAGGAACACCCCACAATACAATAGCCCAACAAAGACCTCTACAGTGAAGTGTAGTGAATTTTAACCAGAAATTCTGAATACGAGCTTAAAAAAGCTTTTACATTCATAAAGTTTTATAATGTTCAGTTTTTGTTTAGATTGGGTCAGAGACACGTGGTGCATTTGTTTCCATTTATTGGACATTGTTGGGTGTTCCTGATATTTTGTCTACCACTGGCCTGGGCACACATAAAATGGTATACAATATTTTGTTTTGTCTTGATAGTAATGTAAATGTCTATCTCATCATGGATTTTTTTGTGTAAGACTCAATAATGATATTAATAACGAGAAGGTCAACCTCTACTCCTACAATCTTGATAGATTTCCCCTTTCATGTCTATCTTCAGCTGTCAAATAAAGGCAAACCCCCCCAAAAATATATATATATATATATTCATGACTGTAAAGGGTAATACAAGTTGTCAGACATTCAACAGAAACCTTTACTGAAGCTGATTTTTCTTCCTTTTGTGACCTATGTTTCTTTTCTTGCTGAAATGTTTGGCACCAGCCTCCAATTCCGAGCCTCGGAAATGAATTTTATTCTTTTAAGAGTCAAATTAAGGAGAGGGCAGACCAGAAAGTTTAAACTTTAAAGCCACAAATCTGAGCTCCTCCTACAATAATCACAGGCATTGATCAACCAAGCTATAAATCCTGCTCAGATACTATTTTTGTAGTGTAGCATGGTAAAAATCATCATTATTGGCTTATTGGCCCTGAAGGACTCACTACCACATTAGATGGCTAATTTGGAATTACAGCACTCACATGCACTCTCCCCTTCACAGTCCATGGTTGCCATAGCAGGTTAAGACTTGTCCTCCTTCCTCTCCCCTTGTCAAATTGGGACATGAGCATGAACTCTGTACCTCACTCTCACCAGCATCGCCCTGACACAGTCACATGACTCTGTACAGCAAGCTTAATTACATCAGAGGCCACCATGAGAGAGAAATCAAAAGAACAAGACGGCCGTGGAGAAGATGGAAAGATAAAACACATGAGGGGATTTAGAAAGTTTTGGAGTAAGGCTAGATTGTCATGGCTGAAAGGATAATTTGTATTATTTTGTTCAATACGGAGATCTTTAACTGCACTGACTATCAAAGGAGATATGCAATTGGTGTATCTTTCCAAATACAATTAAAATGCAAAATAATTAGACAGTAAGAACAGTAATTCCACCATATCATACAACCAAATAAAAAGGAGGCAATCACCTTAAGCTTAAAACCTGTTTTTCGGAAGTAGTGTGCATGAAAAGGCCTGTGATTGGCCAGAGAGTTTACTTTTGAAAAGAGCTGGCTTGACTGTACGCACCAGAACAGACACTCTGAATGCAGAACGACATTATAGCACCCAGCTAAGTCTGCTTTTCTGTGGAAGCCAGGAAAATGGTCGTCATTTAATTTGTTCTGCAGCTTTGTGATGGAGCGAGTCAAGAAATGTAAAGAAATGTATCAAATTGGGAGACAGTAAAGTCTTCAGATTAGGATCATTTGAAGAGGCATGGAAAATGTTGGCACTTGCGTGATAAATCCTAAATTTATAACTGCACTGAGGGGCCAACTTTTGAGACACTGGCACCCTAATGTGTACTTTGTCCAGATAATGATTTATTGAAACATTTTTTCAATGTTTTTTGGCTTGCAGAAGATTTATTTGAGTGTTTTCAATCTTTTGCAGTATGAAAAGGACTCATGTCTCTGTGAGGCTGTACTTAAACGCTGTGATGCTTTAAGTTAAATGTTGACATCTGCTAATAACATGCTTCACAGCACGCATAATGTTTACCACGTTCACCATCTTAACTTGGAGTGTTAGCATGCTAACATTTGTTGATTGGCACCAAACGCAGAGTACAGCTGAGGCTGATGGGACTTTCATTGGTTAGTCAGCAGGTTTTGGTCGTAAACCAAAGTATTAAACAAATTAAAAACTTTGACCTGATGATGGCGCTTTACAATACATCCTGTTAGGGACATCAGTGTGTGTACCAAATTTGATGTAAATCCATCCAATAGTTTTAACACAAAATCACAAATATCAACCTCACCATGACGCTAGAATGAAAGCCGGGGTCACCAAAATCAGAAAGATTAATCCTCCAGGGATCATGAATGTTTGTAATAATGGTCATGGCAGTAGTTGTTGAGATATTTCAGTCTGGACCAACAGACGTTGTCATCCATAGAGGGTAATGAATGCTAACAGAAGCTTTATTGACAAACCTTCTGTTACCTAAAGGCAATGGTCATTCTCTCATATGGTGAGTTCAAAGGTCAGCAAAACATATCTTTTTAACTATCTAAATGATTTATGAAGCCTTCACTATTTATTTTTTATTCCAAGATTTTCTGATAGAGAGAACAACTTGTGATATTTGTTTACATTATGACACAAGAAGTTTAATAAGGCTGTTTCTCCATTCACATGACAGAATCCACAGGAACATATGAGTATAGACAATAGCTGGATGGTGAAAATAATATGGAATTGTTCCTCAATTAGCTGGAGTATGTAAGAGGAGCAGAGAGAGATAAAGAGAGGGATTGTGTGAGAGGGACGGTCGTTGACTCAGCTGCAGATGACGGTTCATCTCTATACCCTCTGTCCGTCTGTCCGTCTGTCTGTCTGTCTGTCTGTCTGTCTGTCTGTCTGTCTGTCCCTCACTGTGTCAGATTCGCTGGCCTAATCTGCTGATTTAATGTCAGCCCATCATTTCTTTGAGGTACTCTCTTAGCCCTGCTGTCACATGTCCCTCTCGTGCCTCTCATTAACTTGCAAAATGGATGTTTGATTTGCATTGTGTCTCGGCCGAGGAGATCAGCTTGGCTCTGGGCTCTGCATTTTCTCACACAACACACACGCCGTCACATCAGGGGTGTTTACTCAATATTACATCACAACATAATGAAAAGATTAAGTGAACTTTGGCCAGCCAGATGAATCGGATACAGCACATGACATTTCTTTTGAGGAATAGAAACGGTATGGCGGTCCACGCTGAAGGGAATTATGTTGTGAATATTCAGGAGCGGGTCCAGCAGTTGGAGAGACAGCTGAAGGAGATGGAGCGGGAGAAGGAGAGGGAGCTGAACGCTTTGAGGAAAGAGAAGAGAGAACTCGTCCACACAAATCAAAAGGTAAGAGGGATTTATAATGGTGGCTATTAATTAGGGCTGTAAGAAAACTTAGAAAAATATCATAACGCAATTTGGTTTTCTTTAAAACACTGTATTGATTTATGTGTTTAAACCTGTAACAGTGTTATAAAGGTAAACTGACGGCTATGATGTTGGGTGTTACAGGGACTGTGACTGTGGTTGTTTGAAATCTACTCAGATTTTATGCAAATGGTGGTGTGTTCTTTATATCTTTATATCTCCTTGCTAACAGTATCTCAATACATTGAATCGTAACCCCTGTATCTTGATATGTATTTTAAAACAGCATTTTTTTTCTAAAGAAGAAAGGAACCTGTACATTCAAAATAAAGTTAGTTTATCAAAAGTGGATTTCGGACACAACTCAGATTTTTAGATTTACAACAGCAGTGTCCAAAATCTGTATTTACTATATATATTTAATTCCTGCTGTTTTATTTGAGTGTACGAACCAAATTTGAAATGTATCCATCATATAGTACACTCAAAAATCATAAGTGCACCGGCTAGAGTGTTAGCGTGTGCAATGTCAGTTTATTGCTGACTCTAAAGTAAACTAGTATCTGTTTTATAGGGATCAGTGAATGAGTGAAAGAGGGGTTGAAATTTGAGACACAGCTGAACATTTCTAAAGGTATAAATAATCACATTGGATTAATTGTAGTTGGTGTTTAAGAATCTATTATAGGGGACTATTCTGGTGCAGTCTGAACAGCAGACCAGCTAATTTGTTTAGCTATACCTGCTGTGTTAAAGCTGCCCTACCTTGTTAAGAGTGGAAAACAATTACTGATTGATAAGTGATTTATCACTGGACTCCTGCAGTTCCTGTTTTAACATCTTTCAGCACGTTGTTTTGGTTTTACAATTCACAACTTTACTATTTTGGTTCGGTCTCACCACTCTCATCAAACTCATTTTGGTCCACAGTAGGCAGCTGTTTTCAGATAAGAAGCTCTGATAAACCGACTGTACACAAACTCCTGAGCACCAAACGCAGTTAGCGACTAGCAGGTGATTTTATGTCAGTTTTGCATTTACAGCTTGTTGCGCTTGTGGTCAACAAATCAGAAAATGCAGGTTTAAAGAGTTAAATGTTGCCTGGATCAGCTGTGATAATGAGCTAAGTTACAGAATGAGGTACAATAATATTGCATTCTTAGTAACTGTGAGTGAAATTGTTCACTCTTCTGTTTTGTAGCACTGTCCAAATGTCTAGTCAGAGTTATTATACCCTTTTATAGCAAAATGGAAAACATTTTATTGTTTACAGGATAAATCTTTTAAGATGCTCTTGCTTTCAATGCCCCATTAAAAGTAGTGTGCAATCAATGGCCACTACTCAAGATATATTTATTATGCATCACCCAGACAAGGGAGATGGCTGCTGGATGAGAAGAATGATCTGAGTAGTGACCAAAACTCTTCTTACCAGAGAGCAATTGTAGTTATAATAGTCCTCTACATAAGTTCCCCGTTGGGTGAATAATGTTTGATTTCGGTGCTAAGCTTTGCTTTTCATTGGCTTCAGTCCACTTTTATCAAAAACATCCAATGACTATTAGTTGACTAACACTATGAGGGCAGCCCACACTGCCATGTGTTATCAGTATTTATTATGAATACTTGCTGTTCCAAAGTGTGTGATTTACTCAGTCATTAATTAAACTGCGCTGTGACTTTATCACACAGCCAGTGGTTTGCCTTTGATCAGACTTATGGCAGCACCAGTTAAAACGAGGAGGAGATGAGATCTGGACGAGGAAAAAGCAAATCAGACATGGGGAGGGAGAGAGAGAGAGAGAGCGAGAGCGAGAGTGAGAGCTTAACTCAAGCTTGAGGGAGGGAAGGAAATGATAGAGGGGAGGAGTAAGCAATGTGAGGGAGGGTGCTGCGTTTGTGAATGTGTGTGGACATGTGTGTGGATGTGTGAGAGGGCGAGAAGGCAAGCTGGGAGAAGTTTCACATCCTTGCATCACAGCGGTAAGCTAAAAAAAAAAAGCCCTTAAATCAATCTGCACGGCTGACGGGGCGTTAAAATTCAGTTTTTTTCAGAAAAATGCGTTAATGTGTGGTTCATCGGCTCTTCTGAATGAGAGAATAGGAACAGCTAGAGGGAGGACAGAAGGGAGTGGCAGCACAGAGGAGGAGAGAGGGACAAGACAGTGTCAGACAACATGACCAAGTGTGTGTGACTAAAACATGACTGCATGGAGGATGTGGTTTACGTCTTGCATGTGCAGTGAACTTCAATTGTGAAAAACAGTTGTGTCTGAGATAACTTTTATAGTAGGTGGTTTATGAAAAAATAGTCATATAGCAGTATTGTAGTAACAAGGACTATAATAAGCTTTTCTTGGTTGTTTATTAAATGTATCAGAAGAAAACAATACCCCAGAATCAGTAACTGTTGTCTAAAACCTTTTAAATCTTCACTGTCCACACATTCCCTGTGGACGTGTACTAGTAGTAAAAGAGACAGATAAGGGTTAAATAGTGGACTGCATGTGGCGACTGAATTGCTCATGTGTTCATGAGTCAAGCAGGGAGGGAGGGTTAGAGGGGGGAAGATAGTGAGGGAATGATAATTTTTAACTCATTACGATCCCTCTGGAAGTGGAGTTTTCATTCTCAGCCAGATGTGGTATGTCTAACACTGCAGCTATCATCAGTCACTGTCTTTTGGCATCTTCCCTGCTGCTCCAATTCATTTAAACTTTTGTGTTTGTGCCTTGGAGCCAGTTGTCATCACAGACACGCTACTGAATTTCAAATTAAATTTAATCTGGACCTACAGGTTCTCAAAGAGAAGAAGCCGCTCACCGATTGGTCGAACATCACCGGCTCAGCCCCCTGCATGATGTCACTTTCTCCTCTGACCGTACACAAGCCTCCTCAGGTACACAGCGTGTCACCATGGATACAGTATGTGTTTACAATAGGGCTGCAACTAACAATTATTTTAATTATCGATTCATCTCACTTATTTGCTCCAAGGAGTCCCAGGTGACGTCTTAAAATGTATTTTTTTTCTCCGACCAACAATCCAAAATTCAAAGATATTCAGTTTAATGTTGTAGAAGGCAAATAAAAGCAGCAAATAATAACATTTTAGAGGCTGGACCTAAATGTTGAATGAGTAATCAAAATCTATTTGATCAAATTTCTGATTGTTTCACTTCTAGCTGAAATCAGAATTTCAAATATTTGTTACACTTATACTTACACTGTTTTCTTTTATTTTGTAGGAACCATGCAAAGAATCTGTCAGTTTGCCCAGAAGACGGAGTTCGCATCGCAACAACAAACTCAACGACAGGCCGCTCTCAGCACAGGGTGAGCTATTACCGGCCCTGTTTTTCTATTTTCTATTGCGCTCTTGACTGCTTAATCTGAGAGCAACATTGATATAGAACAATAAACACTCTCTCTCTCTGCACTCATGTCCTCATTTTGTCTGACTGTTTGCTCAGTTCCCTCCCTTTTAGTCAAATTAAAGGTGTGTCAGTAGAGACGGCAGGTTGTTACTACGTAGGCAGAGAGCAGGATTTACCTGTATAGACCAGATCAGACAGAGAAGCACATATATACTTAAGCCTAAAATCTCCTCAGTAGTATCTATTTTTCACACACACACCTGTCTGTCACCAAACATCCGAGTAGCCTGATCTACAAGGTCATGTCAAGTCTTGCCAGGTGTTTGCTGTACAGAAAATTCTTGATCTAATGTAATTTACCGTCCTGATACAGAAATTCTCACACGCCACATCTTATATGAAGCTATTCCGACTGACCGATGCATGCGTGTCTTTCCCTGTCTCCTTCCTCTCTCAGGGTTGGTGAGGACGATTCCAGACAGCCAGAGCCCAAAGGCTTTCACTTCCCCCATCCCCTCCCATAGGCTCAGCAATGGGCACAGCAGCGGGCACAGCAGCGGGCACAGACCTGGGACCAGCAACGGCGGTGCACTCTTTACTCCTTGCAACAGTGCAACAAGCTCTCGCGCTGCCAGGTCAGTTACTTCACTGCTTGTTTGATGGATGCTTTTTTTAAAAAAGAGAAATGAAGAGTGGAGTTGAATGTGCTTTTAGAAGTTTATGTTCTTTAGCATTTACATGCAACAGTAGGGGCAGGAATGCTTTTTATAATTCATACCACTCTCGCAGGATGGAGAAATCTGGTGTGTGTGCACTTACCAGAAAAGATCATTGCAGTTTATTAAATCTTTGGTTTTAATTTTCTAATTTTGGTCTATTGGTAATGCGATTTTACAAAGTTTCAAATGAATTCTTAAATTATTTTATTAATAAATATTTCATGAGTGATAGTTGTTTGTCAAATTGTATTTAGTAGTGGAGTAAATGGAAATAAGTGTTTACAGAGTGATAATTATAGAAGTTATGAGATATGAATACAGGTGTGCAGATTTAGCCTTGCCCTTTGAGAACCAGTAATATAAAACAATTTATTTGAAGGTAAAACTGAAAGTAAGCACATGTTGGCAATAATGGTGCTTTAGGTCAAAGTTATGGTAGGTTAAAGTACGTCAAGCATCAGACAGTTTAGGTAATAATTTTCACTTTCATTTTCCCTTACACATTAGCTTGGAGTTTTTAAAAAATCTGTATGATTGTGTAACTGGTCACGCTCGTCACCCCATTGGATGTCTGTTCAACATGGTGGACACTTTCCCAGATGTTCTCTTGATAAGTAAAATGTCTTCATTAAGGATAGGAATTATGGCCAAAACTAGACCAATCAGAATACCAATCAGAATAATCTCAATGTTTGGCCCAGGAACAAAATATATCAACATATTAAAAAGGACTTCGACTCTGGACACACAGACACTGTCGACATCAACAACTAACTCACAACGGTTACAGTAGGTGTAGCGTATGGTAACAACAGGGATAAACAAGTGCAAGCTAATCAGTAGCGGTATAGTTAGTTAGATATTATGTCAAGCATATACAAGTGCCCAACCCACATGGTCACCAAAACTATTTGTCAAACATGAACATAACTTCTTACTTTACAACATATGTTGACCTTTGGCAGGATTTAATGATCTTGGATGATTTTGCTTCTTTGGAGCAGCAGTGGTTGTGTCTCATGTTGCATTGAAAAGTCACACATGGGTCGAGATTCTATGTAATCCAAGCATTTAGTTTATTCTGATATTCTTGCTACAGTGTCTATAACTGATCCATAATACTGTGCGTTTACTGTGATACCGGCTTCATTTGGTTTAAGCAAAAGATTAATGACTGATCCTCAGTGGCATATTTGCTTTTGAGGATTTAACACCCTTCTGCACACAGTGGGGTTGTTTGTATCTTAACCTTTAAAGTTATTCTCATTCATTGATGAATGTAACTCGTCTCACAGCCCGTCTCTGTTGGATCTCGTGGAGATCGAGAAGAAACTGAGGGAAGCCAAGGCAGAGAGAGAGAAACTGCTCAGAGAGAGGGTGAGTCACCTGCCGTGGGAAACTCTTGCTGACACTTCTAATCACCCACGGCACACTGCATTAGACACGGCTGTCTGATCACTGACACCCACTCAGCTCGCACATGATGGTCCAAGAAAACAGCCAGCAGATGTGTGGATGTTTGTAATGCATTTTTGCAGCATTGCCAAATGCAAGACTGAAAAATGTGTAGCCATATGATTGTGAGTTTATGTGGAGGTTGAAAAAAGAAAGGGGAACTTTCAGTGGTACATAGGTTTCATTGTAAATCATACTTTGTTATAGCAGTATACACTGAAAGGGGTCATATGTTTTGGAGGATGACTAATAATTTTCAGTGACACATGTGTGCACCCAGGAAGAGCGACGACAGTTGTTGTTGGAGGAGAGAAGACAGAGAGAGCTAAACTCTCCTAAAATAGAACCACCGCAGCCCGAGACCCCACAAAGACCAGAGCCAGAACCAAAGGAGCAACCAATTGCCCGTTCTCCCCCAAACTCCCCAGAGGTATGAAATAAAAACCACAAAGCTGTTGGTTCAGCCGTTCAGTTCTTATTCTGAGTGATGGACAGTTAAAAGAATGATCAAAAGCCATGCAGGAGACATTGTTCTTCCATGTCAAAATCTGATGCTTAGATTACCCACAATACAGTTCACTTCTCACAGTTTGGTTAGAGGTTTGAATGTGTTATGCTAGTAGTGGCTAGCCTTGAGCCCATACAATGATATGTTTATAATCTGATCTGAAAGCTCTGTCTCAGACTCTCAGGTGTTACCATAATAATAGGCACTGAATGTTACTATTGTTTCCTCAATTTCCAAGTAAAATTACCTGCCTCTTCTGAACCACATCTAAACTCTGTTTATCTCTCCAGCAGCGCAGTCTACCCCCTCTTCCTTTCTCCCAACTTTGACCTCCGGGCCCATTTGGAGTCTCTGGGTCACGGGGTGGCCGGCTGCACCGACCTGCGGCTGACACCTCGACGCTGTGCGGGCTTCCTGACAAAGCGAGGGGGGCGGGTGAAAACCTGGAAGAAGAGATGGTTCCTGTTTGACATGGACCACAGACGACTAGCCTACTATACAGGTTAGACTGGCTGGGAGAGTAGTGTGTGCACATGCTGGCTGTGTGTTTACATGAATGAAAGCCTTTTGTTTGTCACATTAAGTCACTGAAAGGAAGTCAGGCATGTTGTAAAATAACAATGCATTAATAGCATTATTTTCCAGCCTTTATAGTTTGTTATATTTCATTGTTCCATCTGTATTTCCCAGTCAAAACAAAGAAGACTTTAAACTCATAATAAAGTTGCAGAGTAGTAATAACTTTTAGGACTTGAATAGATCTGTCTAGTCTTAATAAGTATGCTGTTAACTAACTTGCTTCTTCCTTTGCTGCAGACTGTGATGAGAGGAAGCTAAAGGGAGTCATCTACTTCCAGGCCATAGAAGAAGTTTATTATGACCATCTAAGAACAGCCACTTCTGTGAGTTCTCATACAGTACATAAACTGACTTTGACAAATGTATCAAAGTCTGTAGAGTGTTTCATCCGGCTGAGAGTCTGTATGAATGAATGCAGTTTAAAATGGACTTTAGACCACAAACCCAAAGGCTCTGTAGCCTGGAGTCTTATATATGATGTACAGGTCAGTGTGGCCCAGTCATGAATCACAAAAATCTTTTAAAAAGTTGATTGAGGCCTTTTTGCACAATGTGTTTTAGGACTAAATGAATGGCCATCATTACATATATTATTAAATATATTGTTATATCTCATGGTACATCTTCAAGGTCTCCACTTTAATCTTTTTCATGTTGTTTGATGTCTCCCTGGAAGTAAGAGCACTATTCCAACTGAACTAGAATTACCTCAGGATCTCATGTGATTTGGGAATTTTATGTTTGTGTTTATTGTGGTGTATTCACATGACATAAAGTTTGTTTGAGGTTGCGCCTTCTCCAAATGGGTCATTGGACAGATTATAGACATGCCAGACTTTCATGGGATTAAAGACACAGACGATCTGTGCAGTTACTGTATTAGAAATCAAAGGCGGGTGTTGGGTGCTGCTGAGTAGAGCTGCTGGCAAGTCTCTGCTCTTAAAGTGTCAGATGACTATAAGTTTACCGTTACATTGCAATTACCATGGGAAAGCTCGTCATTTATATGAGTCAGCATAAGGAGATGGTATAGTTGCTTAAATAAAACAACTACACAATTTGGCCTCAGGACAATTACAGTTATGCAAAGTAGATAAGTATATTAAGTAGGCTGCCGTTCTTCAATACAATTTTGAGGTACTTTTTTACTTCTACTAGATTTTACATAAAAAAACACATAAGCTTATGAAATATAATACATTATTAAACCAGTGTTTCACCAAAGACATATTTCCCCTCTAAAAGATTGAGCCAGATCCCCAGGTTGGGAATCACTGGACTAAAGTACCTAACTGTATACACAGTAGTTAAAACTAGCTTCAGCTGGACTAGCTAGGTTGCTTATATAATGCTTAGATACTGATGCATCAGTAAACAATTTAATAACGTGATGCACTGTGTAATAATATATATCAGTCAGACGGGCCATTTGTCTGTAGTAAAAGTACTTTACTTTTGATACTTTGAGTACATTTAACTAATAATACTACACTAATAATCAGCCAGAAGAATGCAAGTCTCTACAGTTAGATCAGCGAAATCTTGAACAAATCAATCATCATTATGGAAAAAACACTCACCCCTAATCATGACTTATCACATTATCACTGTCTGTCCCTTCCCTTCAGTCTCCGCGGCCCAGTCTGACGTTCTGTGTGAAGACGTACGACCGTCTTTTCTTTCTGGTGGCTTCCAATGCAGTTTCCATGCGGATTTGGATGGACGTCATTGTCACGGCAACAGATGAGCACAGCCGTTATTGACCTCTTGCATATGTAGACTGTAAAATCCTTGAATGAAGCTACTGAGCGGACAATACCTTTTAGTCATTTTCCCCCTGTCTGAGGGGGCTGGTTTGACTGAGATCCACCTCAGGTTTCTGTACCTGGACTCAGGAATCTGTGGATAAAGCACATGGGACGTGAAGGGTCTGTGGTTCCAGGTGCCGAACAGATGTGCTTTAACGCAGCGGAGGAAACTGTTACTGAAAGAGTGATCCTTCAGTGGTGACAGAGGTTCACCACTGAACCAGCTGCAAACCACTAGCAGCCTAACACACCAGCCTGCTGACTGGGTGTCTGTTACTGGGAGATTTTCACTCTTTGAGCCTGCCCTCCCCCTGCTGGCCACTGTCCAGAATTACAGGACTGGGGTACACTACACTACAACAGTCGGTGGACACAATAGTAGCAACGCTTGTACTATATAATGTAATCCAATATTACAACCCAGCAATAAGAGAAATCATTTTTTTTGTGCTGTATTATGTCTTGGATTTCTTTATACTGTCAAGTGTTTCTACTAATATGTCCATATCCTGCATCTTTGTTTTAAATGTTTTAAATTACATTTTCATGAATTAAGTTATTTGGACATTTATATGGGTTTTCATATGCAAATAAATGAAGACATACACTGTTATGAATGCACTATTAAATGTTTATTCATAAAAAGTTTGCTTCAGTTTCCTTCTTTCAACCTAAATCTTCATTGGCAACATTAAATAATAAAAAAAAAAAACATTTTTTTATTCATTGAGTCCAGATGGATTCATAATTAGCTTCTAGCAGTCTTAAGATGTGTCAGTTTAAACATTTTTTCAACAATTTCAAGCCAGTGCTCCTTTGTCTCTTTTGTTCTCCTGATTACTTGTAATTCATTTATTTTAATTTTATTTTTTTTATTATTTTGTTTGGCCTTTTTCATGGCTTTTTTGGATAGGACAGCTGAAGATCGACAGGAAAGGTGGGTAGAGAGAGAGAGGATGACACGCAGGTCGATTCAAACCCGTGCTGCTGTAGCAACTCCGTATATCGGTCGCCAGCTCTACCGACTGAGCTAACCGGGCATCCACTTGTAATTCATTTTAATTGTTTAACCAAATATCTCTTGCTTCTCATTACACTACACAAATTACAGAAGTTTACACCCATACAACTCATAGGTCCTTCAGGAGTATGTGTTACATACTTTTGCCCACAACACTGTTATTTCTTGACATTTAAAAAAAAGAGAGAGAAAAAAGAAAGATTAAAAGGTTTTGATAAAAAAAACAATGTAATGGTGTAGTTATTTGTCATTTAAAGTACATTTATCTGTTCTGGTCATGGAGTTTGTGGGGTAATTTCCTGTTTTTGAGGTACTTACTTAAAAAAGTCAAACACGTCCTTCCTCAAATCTCAAACACTTGAAAGTTACTTGAAATTACAAATATTACCATCATATTTACATATCAACATCAATTTACATTACCAGATATTTTTGAAACAATATCATGTGTCCACTCATTGCAACTTGTCAATAACACAAAGCCATACATTTAATGAGTTAAAGGACCCAACAGTGTCTTTTCCCACAAATGCATGTATTTTATATTATCTTCTAATGCGAACCGTAACTGTACTTCCTTTCATACAGCCGTTAGATACTGTTGTGTCTGTTCACTTCCTTTATTTATAAATAACGAAATGTTCCGATGAAGCAGCGAGTACTGTAAAAAATAAAATAAAAATAAACTAAACTAAATGAACTTCTGTTTTTGGCTCATAAAATATGCTCATCAAACATTACAACATGTGTTGTAACTTTCTGGTTAGATATTGAAAAGAGAGAGTCAAAACCCTGTAGTGCTGAACGCCACTCCCCAAAGAAAACTGTCCAGAGCTGAGTGTGCCATCCAGACACCATCAGTCTGACATGACTCAGTAGTTGGATTATTACCACTGACCCTTCAATGCTGGTAAAACCTTTATTTGTTCCTTTATCAATTTCAAAATCATTGAATAAGATATATATATATATATATGTACTTTATGACTTAAAAATCAAACTAGGAGTATTCAAATCTCAAATATGCTCTTTTTTCCCCCCCAGAACATAAAGACACCGTATGCTGAACGTTGTTGTTGGCTGTAAGGTAAGACTTCATTTTCAAAATGATTGCTGCAAGCTATAGTCTGTTACCACATACTGTAAGTCTGATGTATCTTCTTAATTCATGCAGTAGATCCATACAGAAATAAAATCTTATTTCTTTGTCACAAACTTCTTTAAGTAAAAAATTCTAAGCAGTCTTTATCTTTTGCCAAACTTGAAATTTAACAAATTGTATTCATGCTATACTTTCTCTCTGCTACTCTCTTCTCTCTGCCTCTGCTACTCTCTTCTCTCTGCTGTTCTGACTGTTGATGATGTTGGTAACTTTCTATGATATGAATTTGCAAAGTATATGTGTTTAGTCTTGCTTATTTTACTATCACTGGAGCGAGTCATATTATTTCCCCATTGTTAGGGGTGAGACATGCTACAGTACAATATTATTATACTGTACTATCAGTTAATGCTATAATGTAAAAAGAACAATTTTGTACAATTAATACACGGTTCATTTACTGCAAATAATTTTACTGAAATACATCTCTGTTTGTGAATCTGAATGCTTTATATATTTTTAATATAGTAGTAGCTGTGATATTGATCATTCATATTGATATTTGAATGACTTGCAGCAACAGAAATCAAGTCACCGTAACAATCTTTTTTACGTTTTTGTAAGTGTGTTGTAGAGTAGATACAATATCCCTAAATACAGGAATTATTCCCCATTATCCTGGTAATTCATGATAGTTGACCAACAAACAAAAATTCATTTTTTTTGTGTGTGTGTGTTTCCAGTACCTCTCTGTAGGATCATCAACCTGACAGAAAAGCATGACAGGTGCTGTAAAGGTTTTCCTCATATGCTGTCTACTTCAAGGTAAGCTATTCCCCCATTTGAATGCTTTTTGGATGTCAAATATTTACAGTTACTCACAAATACTGCATAAGTTGCTTTCTGTCTTTAACATTTAGTGTTTGCCGGTGTCTGCTGTTATTTTGGGTGGTTTAGTTTTCTTTTTAATAATGATTGTTTATCATTTTCAAGGTGCTCCGTCGCAACTTTGTGACATTTAATACTGGTGTTCACATTGGCGGATATTTATTTTGTTGCTTTTGTTTCACTTCAGGTAGCTTATGCCAACAATGGGCAGTCTTCATGCCTGAGAGAGTAGAGGGACTAAGTGGATCCTGTGTGATCATCCCCTGTACTTTCACCTTGCCCGCTGATTGGGAGCAACACCTGGATGATTCGTGTAAAGCCATTTGGAGGAGAGGCTGGAATCGAGGGCAGGTGTTTGATTCCAGCCTCACTGGAGCAAGTGCGGGCTTAAACATTGTGCAGGGAAACCTGACCGGGGTCCTACGTGACAAGGACTGCACCACCATCTTCAACAACCTGCCATCGAACCATTATGACCGCTATTACTTCAGACTGGAGTGTGAGAACAATCTGAAGTACAGCTTTCACACAGATGTCATTATCACCACTCAAGGTTCGTGCTATGTCCACTTATACATGTAAACCCACATCTTTTGGTATCTCTCCTGCCATTTCCTCATTATTTTTACTCCTCAGTCCCACTGCCCAGACCCACCATAACTCCATCCAGGCTGGAGGTAGAAGAAGGCACTCCAGTGAGGTTGAACTGCTTGGCTCTAGCAGTCTGTCCCATTCTTCCTCCGGCTCTAACATGGACCCCCAGTATTGGTGACATTGAGGAGAACACAGAAACCAAACATGTGACCTCTGTTATGAACTTTACCGCTTCTTACCTACACAATGGACAGAAGCTCTTGTGCAGCGTTCTCTACAGCCGACAAGCTGGCAACAGTGATCTTCTGTATGAACAAAGTTTGACCCTCCGTGTTCTTTGTGAGTATGTTTCTGGCATGACTTGTTGTTGTGTTGGGTGTTGTTTCAGATCACATCATATCATGTCATCTCGCTTTATATAACGTGTTGTAAAAAACAAATCCATTTATGTGGTTGTTTATCCTCCGTTGAACAGTTTGCAGAAATCCCCCAGAGGGATAGTGGTCAGAGTATTTGGATTAAAATATATTTATTGTTAACTTTACAACTGACTTATTATTGGGAAGCACTGAAACCATTATTAATCACTTGCTAACATTTACAACTGTGTACTTGCTGACTCCTGAAGAATGATTTAAAACAAATATATTGTTAATCAAGTACTGCAGCAATTACAGGGCATCACAAACATCAATGAAAATAAATATAAATAACCATGAAGAAATAAATAAATCATAGAGGTTACACACATTAGAGGCATCATTTGAGCATCCCTGAGCATAGCCATATGCCAATGATACTCAGACTCACACTAATTATGAGGGTGACATAACAAATAAGTATGGAGGCACAACCCAAGTGGGATGGTAGGCGGTAGGCAGCAAAAAATAAATAAATAATGTAAATGACATGTAGAAAATCATAAAAGAGATGTTGCCCTATCGTCATAGTTATTGTGCACATTAGCTCGAATTATGTAACTTATCTCTGTGGTGCAACTGCTTTCAGGAAATTACTGTGCCTGATCAAGAGATAGTTTGCAATATGAAATCCACTAAATGTTGTTTTTACACTTTGGTTTTTGTACAAAGAAACAAGATATAGCATGTCAGTGAGCTTTAGAGGTGCAGGTAGTGGTAGTAGTATGTTTTACTTTCAGGCAAAGCCAGGCTAGCTGGTTCCCCCTGTTTCCAGTCTTTGTGCTAAGCTAAGTATCTCCTGGCTGTAGCTTCATGTGCATCATACAGACATGCGTGGTATTGATCTCCTCATTTAACTGCCAACAAGAAAGCTAATAAACGCTTTTTCCCAAAATGTCAAGCTATTGAATTGAAACCTGTTTATGCAGGTATTTCACACATTTAGATTTTCCAAATTATCTTCCAGATCCTCCAAATAACACATCAGTCAGTTTCTCCGATCCTGTAGAAGAGGGCAGCTCTGTGACTCTGACCTGCAGCACTAACGCAAATCCAGCTGTGGACAGCTACACCTGGTACAAAGTGGATGGAGATCAGGTCACAGCAGTGGGTTCTAAGAAGAGGCTTTCAACAACGGTCTCAGAAGTCGACAACCAGTTTTACTGCAAAGTCAGTAACAGATATGGATCCCAGAATTCATCCATCGCTCAGATAGACGTACAATGTAAGTCAGATTGTAACAGAAAGGCAGATGACAAATATTGTCCAGCAACATGGATTGAACTTGTGTTTGTTTTTTCAGTTTCTCCCAAGGACACCACAGTAGTCGTCGACCCTGATGGTCCAATACTGGAGGGCAGCTCTGTTACTCTGTTCTGTAGGAGCCGTGCCAACCCACCTGTGACCAACTACACCTGGTACAAAGATGATGAAGAGGAAAACGAGCCTGGATCGAGCTTAGTTATAAACGGCATCGACAAGAGCCATAATGGTGACTACCACTGTGAAGCAAAAAATGAGCTGGGAGAGGGAATTTCAGCAGCGATTCAGCTGGACGTTCAGTGTAAGTTTATTTTACACACTAAAGACATTGATTTACGCTGATAACAAACAACACAACTATGTTCCCAGTGTGTTCATATGCTGAATATGGCTCTACTGTATATCCAGCTGTGGTCACCCAAACATGACCTGAAGCCAACTCTCAGTCACAGGGCAACACTACAGTGTCTGGACCACGGACAGTAATGCATTGTCACATTGTGTGACAACCCTAAAATCCTTCCTATGTCAGTGGTCCATCATGACTGAGCTCTGTTGTACTTCCACATGTGTGCCAGTGTGTTAATTTATGTGTAGTTGTTTTGTTTGGTTTCGGCCCTTTAGATGTCATTTCCAACTGCATAAAATGAATAGGTTGACTCAGCTTACTGAAAGTTAAAATTTGAATTTATAGACTTTTATAGTATCTGTGAAACAGCATATTATACAATGTGGTTTTTATTACTTGATTTCCATATTAAAATATAATGTAGTTTCTATTAAACATTGGTTAAGTTTATTGAAAAGGCACAACATTGTTGCCTCATACTGCATCGTATTTTATTGTCCAGTACAAGAAGCTCATTTCAAACAATTTGCCTCTTTCAGTTCAGTCTTAACCTTGCAAAGAGCATTAGAAAGAACAGAGCTTGAGCTTTTGGAGTGTTTGCCCATGCCACCTGATCTTTATCAGCAGAAACAGTTTGCACAGTCATAGAATTATAGATTATAATATATAGAAATTTTCAAATTTGCCATGCCTTGTCATGTTGGCTAAAAAGTTGAGTTTCAAGTTGAGAAAACCTTGTGTTCTATTCAAAATTAAACAGTGATGGATGACAGATCTAATAAGGAAACGATTTTTTAAAATCTTTTTGTTTTATTAGTAAATTGTATTTATTTATTTATTTATTTTTAAAGTGAATCTTGTCATAGTCTGAGGATCAAAATGCAATGTGATGTTTTTTTATATTATGTGACACTTAAAGGCCCAGTGTGTAACATTTGGGAGCATCTACTGTAAGAAATGAAATATAATATTAATAGATATGTTTTTATTAGTGTATAATCACCTGGATATAGGAATCAATGTGTTTTTGTTACCTTAGAATGGGTAATCGAATCTGCATTCACAACAAATAAGGAATAACCGTATATGCAGGACTAACAGCAACATTATCTTTTTCAGATCCCCCTAAGAACACCACAGTTTCAGTTGACCCCTCTGGTCCAGTGGTAGATGGCACCTCTGTAACTCTGACCTGCACAAGCATCGCCAATCCAGCGGCAGTTAACTTCACCTGGTTCAGAGTGGCTGGAAGAGAAAAGGAGATGGTGGGCTCTGAGCAACACTTCATCTTCAACGTGACCAAACTCTCAGAGGACCAGTATTACTGTGAAGCTCTGAATGTCCACGGAGCTGAATGCTCAGAGCTGGCCAGTTTTGATGTCACATGTGAGATTTAGTTATCTTTCTATTCAATTGTAAGCCTTTGTTTCCCCCTACAGGTGTGACCAAGCATGTACTGCATGTAATAGCCAATTACTTTCTCTGTCTCAGTTGCTCCAGAGATCCTGCCTTCTTCCCGTTGCGTCAAGATTTTATCCCAGATCCGATGCACCTGCGACAGCCAGGCGAACCCTCCTCCCTCCCTGGTTTGGGAATTGGCCGGGGAGCTTGTCAATCACTCAGCTGACATCCCAATCAGGGAAGTTCCCATGGGAAGTGTGGGCATGAGGAGCCTTATCACCTTGTACCGTCTGGATGGAGACATGCCCTCTTTAGTCTGCCTTAGCATCAACTCACTGGGCTCAGATAGTTTTGTGTTCAACGTGTCCTCCAGTGAAACTCAGCTAGGTAAAGGAATGTTTAGGATGCTGCATTTATATTTGGCTTTTCTTTTGCATAATCTGCCTTTGTGATTTTACTGACTGATGTGGTTTGGACTTTTCAGGCCTCCATGCTGTGTCTCTTTTGATTGGCTCTGCAGTGGGAGCACTGGGGATGCTGCTGGTGTGTGTCCCGCTGCTGCTGTTCTTTTGCAGGTGAGAAACAGCTAACACCTTAAATACAGTACTGTTAACGGGACATTTTCAATGCAGGTCTCAAAATGAGACAGAAACACATTTAGAGGTTGCTGTCAAGAGTGTGACTTTAATGGTGACCAGGCTGGCTGTCATTTACAGTGGGCAACCATGGCTACCCCATAGTATTGCTAAATATGACCTTTAAATTAGAAACGTATTAAATAAAAATAATAAATGACTGTATATATAACAATGACCTCTTTGTTGTAGGAAAAGGAAAGGCAGCCTTTCACCCGACAAGGGAGTTGTGGACACTTCAGACATTTTAGTTACTAATGAGGTGAGTTTATTTCCTGCACACACCTACATGTTTGAGTGTGAAAACCTGCAAATGCATAAAAACAGGAACCTTCATATATCCCAAAAGCATGTGTAGTAATCCTTACATTAAAAATACCGTTAAACATTTCAGGAAGTTTGATTTTTGCTGTATAACCTGCAGTGAAATTGGAATATTGAGTCATCTCTGTGTGTCTAGTATAAAAAATAGGTTTGGGTGAGTTTAGCCAAGCAGTAACTGGAAGCAAGAGGAGACCTAAGGAGAATCTTACTTTACACCACCCAAAATCTATAATTTGAGTGTCTAACTGTAAGCTTGAGAGGTGGATATTTGAAAAAAAAAGCTGTAATAAGCTTGATTTCATTAGTTACAATAGATTGTGCTTGTGTTATTATTCATCAAACCCTAATTAATGCTTTATTAATATTTATAACTCAAGTATTTGTAGACCTCTTATAAGAAAATGTTTCAATTTGACTACTGCAGTATTCCCTTTCTCTGTGTATTGTTGAGTCTTGCTTGCAGGATAACAAGATAAAATGTTGTTTTTACAGCAAATAGACTTATTTCCCAGAATGTTGAGCAGATGTCATCTAATTGAGCCTAATTGAGTAAAGAGAAATATGATCTTCATTACTGAAGCAAATGGTTGTCTCTCTTGTTTTCCTGTAGACCAACTCTTCACAAGTGGATGTGATTTATGTCAATAAAGCCATTCTGGAACAGGATGGAGTAGTTGAGGAAGACTCTCTGCACTACGCCAATGTGGACTTTGTTAAACTCCAGGCCAAGTCAGAGGGTAAGCTTGGGGATGGGGAGATCAAAGGCCTGGCCTCCAAGACAGCGGAGTATGCTGAGATCCGTCTGCACTCCAGAGGAGTTAACGGAGGAGACAGAAAGGAAGAAGAGACAGTTGCTGATACTCACTAAGGACAAAAGAAATCAGTGAAAAGGTTATGGTTTAACTTTAGGGGAAATGATAGCTGAAACCGCTACAGGACTTTAAAATGACCCACTTCAGTTTTTCGCCCAGCTGAGCAGAACAACAACGTAAAGTCTGCACTGCACTGCAGGCAACCTTATTTAAAGTGAGTAATGTCACACTTTTATTTGTCTCTTAACTAAAAAAATGTCTAACAAAACAAAAACACCATAAAAAATATTTAATTAGGTAGTTATCTCGTGATACAGATGACAGAGCTAATCTGCACGCTGAGGATGAACCTTTAACTTCCCCATAATCAGCCATAACAGTAAATGTTCCCTTTACGCTCATTACTTTTATTCTTCTTTGTTATTTTTAATATGTCCATGCTAATGTTTTTCCTCTCTGTTAATTTGTCATTTACAACCTTTGTGCAGAGTGAAAGAAGCCAGTACATGAGTGACATACACTTCATGGATAATTTTTTATTTGTTTTTTTGTTAAAACACATAAATCTGTTTGTGCCATTCTTCCTGCACTTAGGTTGGAAGTCATACAAGAGCTGAAGTCAAAGCATATTATAAAAAATAGAGCATTATGCATTCAGCACCTTCTTTCAACATGCATATATCAGGAACAATCCTCAGTGAAGCAACTGTTGCACAGCGTCACAACATTACAGCCATGTCGCCTTGCATTTAAGCTTGCTCACAAACATCACAGTATTGTCATTAAATCTTTACAACTATGTACATTTGCCCACACATAATACAGTTTGAATAAAAGCATGTCAAAATTGACCCTTATTTTTTATTTTAGGGGCCATGGGTTTGGATTGAGCTCATAACGTTGGTCACTTTTCTCCCTTCTGTTTGGTACTGGTTACTGCAGTAGAAAAACAATAATGTAATGTAAAAGCAATACAGTGGAGTGATAAAACATTTTTAATAAACAAAACCTGATGATTGATTATGAACATGATTCCGTGTGGCTCAGGCACAATGTGGGCATATCTGTAAGGCGGGGCAAGAACATCTTAACTCAGATTTTGACCTCAGAGTACTGGGTCTCTTCTTCATCAGAGGTGCTGGAGTCAGTACCGGAGTCAGTGCTGGAGTCGGTGCTGGAGTCTCTGCAGGCTCTCTGATGTCCAGGTTTTGCCTTGATGCTCACCTGTGTATAATTGATCTCTGCTTCATCTTCACTGGTGTCAGTGTCATAGTTCAGTGGATCTGGAGATGTGGCTGCATGTACTGCACTGATGTTCTCATAGTCGTCCTGATTTTCTTTCTCATTCTAGGGCGATAACAGAGACGGTCACCAAATCATGTGTCATAAATTCTTACACCATCAACATTTGATGCACAGCAAAATGCATATTTAGATATGCATATCTAGATTAAAAAAAAGGTTTAGTGTAACCACACACAAGCACAATGCAGTTCAACCATTAATATGGTTTAAACCGAACAGGACACATGAAGATGTGGTTTGTAGGATTCTGACCTTCTTAGGTGGCTTTTGCTTCGACACCATAGCATACACAGTATCCTCTTCTGCTTTTGCTGGTTTGTTCCTAGGGAAACAAATATCAATATCAAGCTGCCATTTAATGATACCTTTCTTCTTCTGATATTATATGAACAGCATAAATACTTACTGCTTATTTTTAAAGTGCAAAGAAGCGTAGTTTAGAGCCTCATCCCATGTGCCTCCTTGCTGTCTCATTGACTTTTGTGCAGACGGACCCTGAGCAGATGCAGACAGGACACAGTCAGTGTACAGTAGCAACTGAATTCATTCATTCATGCCTTAAAATGGAAGCTGTGGGTCGTCCGGTGATTCATTGCTCCACAATATTGAATGATGATTTCACTGAAAGATACATCCGGCTGTCTAATATAGAGCGAGACAAATAGTGATTTTAGAAGACTGAGGCAAATGCAGATGTTTGCATTTTGCAGTAGTTTTGCGATATTTTATGGTAAACGGAAATTGTATGGAACCCCTGTGTGCCTTTTTTTTTTTAATCTTATGCCCATATCTTCTGTGCTCACAATATTACATTTTGGGATGTTTTGTACTATTGGAATCTAAAATAATAAATAAAAAAAATAACAATGGGGTCTAATAATAACTAAATATTATAAGTATTTAATATTTCTTCGTACATTTTAACATTTGCAGTATATCTAAAATAATTTTTATAGGTAGCTAGAGGGCAATTTAGGATACACCGGGCCTTCGCTCACTAAACCCATTATATTGAAGATGGACAACAGTGGGGGATTTCCTTGAAATTTATTTTTAAAAAAGGAAAGTCAAAAGAGATTAAACAGAGGCCTGCCTGCACTGAGTTCACCTTCCTAAAACTCTGGTTCTCACAATTTCAGTGATGCAACTCAGTCACATATTTCATAACACCCTCTTAAGACCCAGTGTCTGTTTGAATCTGAAGTTCATTAACCCAAAGTGAGTTTACATTGTAGACATCACCAGAGTTTTATTTTTCCTCCTCTCAGAGCCACAGAAGACATTTCACAACTGTTTTCACATGCTAAGTGAAATAATCTGTAAAACTGAAAGGCCAATATACTGTGAGTTATATTTCTTAAACTGTGACTTTTACTGAAGTCTTCCACATACAACTGCTTTCATGTATTGTTCAAGTTTTTGAATTGTTTGACTCACCTTATTTCCAGTGGGCAGATTCACAGTGCAGTAAACACTGTTGATGTTGGATGCAGGCCTGTGGAACAACAATGGCATTGAGAATAAAAACATGCAACTCAGTGACTGATTATAATAAATGACTCTCATTCATGTCTGAAGGATCTTAAATGGATGCTTTGACTCAAGCATGAGCAGCAGTGTCCAGCTTTGTGTCCTACAGAGAGTGCCTTGTTCTGGGTGGGGACAGCGTGTGTGCGGCTGTTGTCTTACGTGCTGTCTGGACGCGGCTGACGTTGTTGGGCCATCGGACGGCACGGCTGGTCTGGCAAGATGTCATCTGTGCTCCTGGAAGGCTGTGTCGTCACTAACTCGTTCATCAGATTCCCCCTCCTGGCGCAATTCCACCAACCCTGAATGGTTTAACACGCACACATACACACAAAGATATGTAAGTTTTGTAGAAAGTTGTTCAAAAAGGAAGCAGAAAAGATTTCACAAGTGAGTCATCACCATAAAACCATAACAGGGTGGTTTGTTTGTAGTTCTTTGTCGAATTAATTTGTTCCTTTTGTGTCTGAAAACACAAGAGGGACACAACAGTGGTTATTCGAGTCAACTTATCGGTGACATTTATTTTTGATTGAAACATTTTTCATACTTTACCTATAGACAAAGAAAATTAAAATAATGACCAGGACACCCAGAAAAAGAAAGAGTAACCACATCAAGCCTCCTAGAAACAACAGAGCATAAGTACATTTATGAACAAGTAGCATTGTTTCAAACTGCTGTGAGGAAATACCTTTAACACGTCTCCCGTCTGAAAGTAATATACAGTACACATACAGACACATGGTTTTGAATTCACTCACGGTTGACGAACAGCGGGACTGGGTCAGACCATTGCACATTTATTTCATTTCTTGCCGTGCAGCGGTAGAGTCCTGGTTGGTGTGAATACACTGTGAAGTTCTGACTGTCAGACAATTTTTTATACTCATCCTTCTCCTCTATCTTCTTGTACCATCTATATTCTTTGATTGGTGGATAGCTTTCACTGCTGCAGCTCAGCATCACAGAAATGATCCCACCTGGCCGCTGCTGCTCTGCTGCTCTTGTGATCTTTGTGTTTTTTGGAGCATCTGAACAGGGAAATGTAGGAGAAAAAAAACACCTTTAAGCTGCTCTGTGTTGAAATTTGAAAATTTCCTTTTGGCATCCCCCAGTGGTCGTTTAAAAAAAGACACTGTGGCAAAGCAATGAACTGCCCACACCCTTAAACGTGTGCCACAAGAACAACCGTAAGATGCTATAATCATATTTTTTTCCTCTGAATAAACAAATAGTTTTTAACTGCTTATGAAACAATTTAATCCTGATGCCTCTATATGAACAAACAAGACCATCACTGAATCCCCTTTAGTAAAATTCCCCTTTAAATCAATGAAGTTATTTCTAAAGAATTAGAAACACTAAAACGGCAATGACGTCATTTTGAACATTTTCAAATTTACACGTTCATACTTGTTACTTGAATTTTCTTAAGAGTCTATATTTTCATTCTAAACTTCTTTTTATATATAAAGGCAAAAAAAAGTGATCACTTGCATTGGAGCTTAAATAGGTAAGCACACTATTCATGTAATTTCAGTACTTCATATAATTTAGTATTATAGAAATTTTATTATCTATAGCATAAACTTAATTCTTGATATAATCAAATAAGAGACTTTTGTTATTTTCTTTTTCTTAGTTATGTTGAATATACCATAAATGGGCCTATATGCGATAATTACGGGTCCCTATATTTGATATGAATATTGATAATTAAACTTTTTGAAATGTTATTTTGTTTTTTAAAAGATACCCTAAAAAAGTAAATGCATTCATTTCTCAATTGAGTATTTTATCATGAGAGAATATAGATAGAGGTCAAAATAGCCACTTAATGGCAGGTCTAGTATGGATTTCACTTCCACAGAATCCTATACACTGGTCCTTTAACATGTTTATGAGAAGTTGAGGATACACAGTGCATTTGGTGAGAAACACTGAATGTAAATGTAACTTTGTTTAGAAGAAAATAAATTTTTAATATCAATCACTGACACATATTAAATTAGAAAATTAAATAAATACTTAATCTGCCACTCTCAAGTTCAATGTTGCCAAAGTTTTAACTCTCAATAGACAGCATGCTTCATTTGTCGTCTTATTCTTATCTGGTTTGGGGAATATATAGAATCAAATCTAATCATAGTACTACAGATGTGCTAAAGTTATACATTATGTTTTTGGTCTCAGACAGCTCAAACAGTATTTTAGATATTTGCAATGATGTAAATGTAGTTCACCTGCACACCACCAGTCTACTCACAGTTGACTTTAACCACAGCAAGCTCTGAGTCTCCAGTCCCAATTTCATTCCCGGCAGTACATTTGTACCGTCCACTGTCAGAAGGGCTGACAGACTGTACTTTAATGATATCAGTTTCCTGGGTACTTTCAATCTGCCCATCAAGCGTCATCTTTTTCCAAGTGACAGAGGTCACTTTCGGGTAGGAGTGGGCATTGCAGCTCAGTGTCAACAATGTGTTTTCATTCACAGTAAGATTAGGCTTGGCATCTACTGTCACATCTTTGGGAGAATCTGCATTTACCAAAAATATAGTTTAAAAAAAACAAAACAATTTAAGACAGATCTAAACATATATTAACATATTTTCTAAGTTGTGTATTTAAAATATTGATCTTTAAAGTGTCCAGAAACTATACCGTGTCAAATTAAATGTATTGGTATAAAGAAAGTGGAAAATTGTATTTAGGTATGCAGTAAAGTAATTGAGTAAATGCATGGTGTTACTTTCTGACAGTAGTTTAAGCTACAGCTGCCACTAGAAACATTTACTTCATAATACATCACTAGGAAAGAGTTCATGATAAAGACTTCTGCCATTTGAAACGAAAAGTTGTTTTTTCCTTTTTGTACTGAGATTAAACAACAACAACTTGATGGAAAGTTTTGGTTTTGATATCATTTGTTTGATTAGCGAAAAGACAATGCACCGCTGGGTTACTCACATTTCACCACCAACTTCCTTTGTTCGCTTGTTTTTGAACCCTCGCTGTTTGTGGCGCTGCAGGTGTAAGATCCTGTGTGGGCTGAAGTTGCAGAAAATTTGCGATGGAGAGTGTTGTAGGGTCTCAAATCAGAAGTTTGTGAGAAAATTATATCTGAAGACTGAGCATTTGCTTCAGAAGTCCTTATCAACTTGAGTTGTGACGGTGGAAAGCTTTCAACAGTGCAGCTGATGGTGATGAATTGACCTTCCGTGACCTCAGTATCCATAGACAGCATAGGAATGGTGGGAGGATCTGTGGAGGGGAAGCAGCTGTGTACTTGAGTTCAGTTAAAGCTTAAACACTTTACGACATTTTTGGAAATCTACTTATTTGCTTTCTGGCAAATAATCAGATTAATAACAGATCTCATGTCTGTCCCTTGAATGTAAGGCCGCAACCAGCAGCCAGTTAGCTTAGCACAAAGATGGAAACAACTTGCCTGGCTCTGTCCAAAGGTAATAAAGTCAGCCAAACAGTATCTCTAAAGTTCACTTATCAACAATTTGCAATTTTCTTTACATATAATTATGGGCCGGACTATTTCTTGGTAGCAATAATTTGCCTTGCAGCTGCTGGCTGTAAAATGATGAACTGCTGTTTTTCCATTTCATTTTTTGTATGGCTTAAACAAATGAGATACAACTTGTTCATTTGTGAGCTTCAGATGTGCTGGGAGGTGGAATTATTAACCGTTACACAGAGCCAGACAAGTAGTTTCCAGACTTATGATAGGCTAAGCTACCTAGCTGCTGTACAGAGTTTATTTAGTCTTCTAAATACTCTCCGCCAGAAAGTGAAATAACAACAATAATTGTAACAATAAAAGTGATGACTTTCACAATCAAGTGTAAATGGTGACACTTGATGTAAAAGTTTAAAGAAACTTAATTATGACAGAACATTTTCAGAATGACAGAATTACTTACAGAGAACTTCTATGCACAGCGGCTTACTATCCCACCCTGTAGAGATGGTGTTGGTTGCGTTGCACCTATAACATGCTTCATCTGTTCTTTGTACATGCTCCAAACTTAGTTCGTTTTCAACACTTGTCTTGTACTCCCACTGTGATGAGGGAATCTGTTTACTATTTCCGTCGCGGGACCAGGAGTATTTCATCGGGCCAGGATTGGCATCAGTGTCACAGGTGAATGTAAGGTGGCTATCAACTTTCACTTTCCTATCATTTCTATTAATGGAAATGACCGTCTTCCTTGGGCGGTCTGAAAGGGAGAACTTATTTTTAGTATGCTTTCTATGGTGATACTGTCATTGGATTCATTTCCTTTTTCTATCATCATTAACTATGACAAACATGCAATACAAGGAGCTGTTAAACTTACATTCAACCTCAATCTGAATCTCCTTTGATGTTCCAGTGCCCGCAGAGTTTATGGCACTACATTTGTAGAGCCCACCATCCTCAGGCTCAATTGTACGAACATATGTCTGACTCCAATGAATAGGTTTCTTATCTTTAATCCAAGTGTAGCTATGAGGTTTTGGTTTGCTTTTCTTTACATTGCATGTTAAAGTAATTTTATCTCCTTCTTTAACCTGATAAGCATGTGAGGTATTTACCTCAACTTGAGGTACATCTGAAACAGAAGATTTAAATATTTAAATATTTTTACCACAGCAAAATGTAAAAAATAAATAAATAAATAAAATAAAATAAAATAAAATACAGCTGTATTACAGGAGTTAAAACTATTTATAATCAAAAACACACTAAATTAAATTGAAATGAAAGTAAAAAATATAGGAGGTACTCACATGTAACAGTAACATTCACTGAGCTTGAATTCACCCTCCCAATTGTGTTGTGAGCTTCACAGAGGTATTCTCCACTCTGTGTTTCATTAATTGAATCGATCTTCCATACTGGCCCCGGGACAGTTTGATTGTTTTTAAACCAATTAAAAGTTGGAGTAGGACGTCCTTTTGCAGAGCAAATCAGAGTCACACTCTCTCCTTCCTTGATGTTCGTAGTAGTGTTTATAAAAGCCTTTATGTCTTTAGGAGCATCTGTGTTAACAAATTCAAGTAGTAAGTAAGGAGAAATCAGTCTACATACAAACATAGATGGATTCTTAAGGCAATTCAAATATGCATAAGAATGAAGGCATACTGTGTTTTAGTTTCAGTAAAGAGTTATTTAAAGGGGTCCAACAAATAGCCTGAGTATTAGTTGGGCACAAATTAACCACACAATTGCATGACTTAATTATTTTGTTTTTTTCCTGACATATAAACTGTTTGAGAAATAAATGTTAGAGAGCATGGAACCCGCAAAAGTGATGTAATTCAGTTGTATTGCATGCCACTTGTAATGTTGCCTTGTTTTCATGCTTGCTAACTCTGATCTTAAAAGAAGAATCACTAGTAGTGACTAACACCTGTAGATATTGTTAGCTAATGTATTCTTCTCCAAAACCTTCCATGTCTAAAATAAATAAATTATAATAATAAACAATTAAACTTTCCATTCATGAACTTACATTCGACAGTTACATTGATATTCCGAATCAAATATGTGTCTGTGTTATCTTTTGTTTGGCATGAAAAATTCCTCCCATCATCCAGCCAGTTGGCTGTGAAATTGAGTTTGGTGCGTTTCTGTTTTTCATCTGGTTGTTGAAGGTTTGTAGACAGTGTTAATGACGGTTGCGTCAAATCTTTAATCTCAAGGTTTAAAGGACATGAATGTAGAGTGGAGCATGTGAGCGTTATCATATCCGATTCCTTCACGACAGCTGGTTTCTCAAAAGTGATTGGGCATGGATTTTCTGAAAATGTGAAAATAAGACATATCAGCAGAAATGTAATGGTGAATTAATATATGGCATAACATTTTTTGTCATAATGTAATTATGTGTTGTTTTTACATACTATTACAGATTCATTACCCATTCTAAAAATATGACTTTATTAGGTTCTTATAAAATGTCAATGTTAGTACGTGACATTCATAAAGAGACTTAATTCCTCTCAAAAGTACACCTTTCTCTACAAGTTAATTTCTCACAACTATACACTTAATTCTTACAAAATCTAAAAGATGCATTCTTAAAATGTTTCTTATATTCATCATATTATTAAATCTTAATACAGCCAAGTCAATAATTTCTCCAGATCAGCTCTCCAGATCAGCACTCCTGATCTCTCAGGGTTTGTATACCTCATTTTTGTTGTGTATTTCCTGATAATATCTGATCTTTGTACTTACCTGTAACTGTGAGGGTCAAATTTTTTGTCACCCATTTATGTTTATCTTTTCCTGCAAATCTGAAGGAATATAATCCGCTGTCAGTTTTCTTCAGGTCGCAGATCAAAATACTGCATAGTGGCTTTTGTGAGGTTGAATAATCCCCCCAACTTGAAGATGGAGACCCGATATATTCCACTCTTCCTTTATAGTCTGGACTGACAGGACGTTTTGACTCATTTGAACTGTAAATGATTGTGGCAATAAAATAACTGCCATTCCAATGTCCATTCTTCATCCAAAACCAGTGTGCATCATCAATAATAATTCTAGACTTCACTCTACATTTGATTTCAGTGCAGGACCCCTCTTTGGCTGTCAGGGCACTGTCTGGTAGGTCAAAGAGGTCTTGAGTAAAAGAAAAATCTGTGGTGGTGAAAACACAAGTGGAAAAGTCAGATAATGTTTGAGACTTGTGAACATGCGAATGTTGTGAAAAGCAAACGTTGTTATCATAGACAATAATAGAAAAAATAATAATAAAATTCCTACTTTTTATCAGGGCTAGAAATAGGAACCACCGAACTGTCTGAGCATTCATCTTCATGCAGCACTAAAGCTGAAAAGGACAAAAAAAAATAGGTTTTTGTACATAATTGTGTGCAATATATTTACTGTAAACTAGCTTTGTTACTAGGTTGGTTTTTAGTTTTTTCTTTGTCAATGCAAATCGGCAGGCTTTTAGTTTTTCTTCCTCTTTTTTTGTTTTTCTGTGGTTCTGCATTTTATTCATTTCAAGATAGTTGGGAATTTTCCCACATTGCAAAAATATTATTTTTTTCCCCACAAGTAGCAGAATTTATCATTTAGTTTTAGTAAAAAATATTGAGAGAAAAAGACCTTAACCCTGAAATATTGAGAATTCTGAATGTTTTGTTGAAAACCTCAGTGTAGTTATAGTTATTGTCTCTTGATAGATCTATGTCTGCAGATCCCAAAACATTTTAATACATTTGCGGGCTGCAGGTTACAGGCTTTTTCTTTTTCCTTTAATACCTTAAATATTATGATATATATAAAAACATTTTTTTTACATCAGCGGTTTATTTAAATTACTTTTGTCTGCTTCACTAGCCATGCAAGTTGAGCCACTGTACACGAGACATATAAGTGCAAACAGTACAGTGCATTTATTTTACAGATTTGTCCCTCCAAAATGTAAACATATTATCATCAATTAATAAAGGCTCCATATACAGCATATACATCACTTACAAATGCCACTTTATGGATAAATGGATATATGGATATGGATTTATGGATACAACTAAATACGTTTTTGCTAGAGGAAAAACTCCAAATCACTAAAAATGTAATACATTTTTCAATTCAATTGAAAGTCTTTAAAATTAAAACTCCTCATTCTCTAAACACATAGAAATTGTACCATCTTGATGATTGAGATTCAATTTAAGAGATTCCTTTTCAGGAAAATTAGGAAATCAAATAAAAATAAACTTGTTCTTACCTCAGATGATCCGCTTATTGCAGTCTGTAGCACACACCATCCCTCTTAAAATAAGCAGTTTTAAGTTTTAAAAAAGGAAGTTCTCACAGTTGATCCAAAATCTCAAAGAATTTGCATGCCCAATCATGCAAGCTAGAGACCCCAATCTTTTAGACTTGTACTGATGGAGGTAATGTAGTATTTGTTTCCTTCAACTTGACTGCTATGATATGTGTATACAGCTGAACTTCCTCTCACTTCCTCTATTTAATGCTTTTGTTAAAAGCGAAAGCCACTGATCAGGGTGGGCAAAGTCTTTAACAGACACAGAGCAGCTTGCATTGCTTGGCAATCTTTTTGCAAAGTGTATGCTTACACAGTGTTTACAGTGTCCTTGTGTCCTTCAGGCCTCATCAAAAAGAGGGAAAACGTATCAGAAGACTCATGAAATATTGTATGCAGTAAATTATGCGTTTATTATACACCAAAACATAAAAGTTAATATGAACCACATTTAGAAAACAATAAACAATAAACAATTCACAGGGTAAAACACGTGACTTCACTTCCCCTCCCCAAGAGCAGCAGCCACCATCTTCTCAGCATCAGCTGCCATTTCATCAATGGCACCATTTAAGGCTTGCAACATTGCAGTGAAGGAGCGGCTGACAGAACGGGCATGTCGGGGCATTGCCATCTCCACCAGTTTTGACGAACCCGTGGCCAAGTCCTTTTCTGCCGCCGCTAGCCGCTTTTTCACTTCACCTTTGGTGACCTCCACTGACAGTGCACAAGTCCGCATCCTTTTAAGGACTGTCGGTTCCAAGCCACGCTGTCGGGCCAGTCGCTCGACTGATTCATTGTCCAGGCACAGAGATAATTGTGCTTTGGTTAGAATCCGCACTGCTACACTTGAGTCCACCATGGAGGCCACAAAGGGAACAGGAATAGCCGACACCCCACCAGATAGTGAGGCGGCGGCCCATACTAGTGCTTTGAATGCCTCCTTTTTCTGAGTGACCAGGGAGGAGTTCAGCGTCGGCAGAGCCAAGAGAAGGGCGTGGGCTCGGATCTCTGGAAGGTCTCTTCCCATGTCCTCCAACAGGCCAGAGAAGTCAGACTTCTCCAAGGTGGAGGGTCTCACTAGGTAGACTTTAGGCTGTGCAACACCTTGTGATGTCAATACTTCCAGACTGGCTTTCCTCTTTTCTTCTAGGCTTTTTTCTGTATCTTTTGCTGAAGCTAAGAGGATAAAGTACACTGTTTGTCGCTGCAGTGACCTTGCCTCCAAGAACACCTCCACACTGTTGGGTTGGGGTGTCTTTGTGAATGTCATGAACACGGCATTGTACCGGAGGAACTTAACTCTATCCATGTATCCCTCAGGTTCAAATGGCGAGGTGGATGGGACAGGCGGCAGATCCCACAGGCGAAAGTCGGGGTGTTTAGGATTAGGGTAGCCTGCCAATTCCTCCGGGGCGACAGGGGATGGAGACGGAGCTGCTCCATCATCCCCAGGACCGAGGCCAAGGAGGGAGTTTATAAACGTGGGTTTTTCATCCCCACGGTCCCCCACCACAGCTAAGTTGATCCTGCTGATAAGGAGATCTTCCACTGCATCCTTGACCTCTGATAACTTATTGTTCTCTATGGACTCTTTAAGGGTCTCAAGGAGGTTCAGGCCTCTGAAAACATCAGCCATTGTCTGTGAAAAGATAAAGATTACAATTATTCATATGAATAATTAAGGATATTTGCAAACAAAGCATTAAAACTGATCAACCGGTGTCACAACATCTAACATAGCAATAAAAATGAATAAAACTGGCAGCTTTGGACAGTAACCCTTAACCCCCCTAGAAGAAACCTGAATTATTATATGACCGAAATCATATTTCTGGTGTCACAGGAAACCTGTTCCTTCAGAACTGGTGTACATTTGTTGCACTTGATGTAAGTTGTTAGTAAGTTGTGATTTATACATTACTAAAGTAAAAGTTACAACTTAACTTCAAACAACTAAATAGATACAAATGCCCCCTAAATCATAAAATGTCCCCAAAAGGTGAAACAGCTGTTTTTCTGCCACACAGCATTATTTTCTCATTAATTGCAGCCTTTTCGTGACACAATAAAGATCTAATTTATTGATATGATATTTATATATCAAGATTGACCTTGCTTACTACGATGTGCTACGGTGACAAGTGCCAGCCAGAAAGCTAATTAGCATAGTAATATGACAATGGAACATTGATTGTTGATTGGTCACTTGCCTTAGTTATGAATTTACATTCAAACCAGTTAGGTTATGCCACATTTTAGTAGCTGATTTAGTTACAAACTAACTAGTTGTTACTAAGCCTATAGTGTCAGCTTTACACCCCAACTTAGGAGAGAACTTAAACACATAGCTGGTGCAACTCAGTCAAGGTTTACATGGTACATTTTTCAGATCACAATCTAATTTTTGCCAACTGATGCAGAGTTTCCGTTTCAACACAATGTTGCACACACTCACCTACAGATGTGGAGAAGCGGCTCTGTGGTTGAAATATTTGTTCTCAGTTGTAAAATGTTGATTCTTCTGCAGCTCTGAAGCACCAGCAGCGTCAGGCTGATCTATTTAAGGTGTTTATCCAGCTAGTGGAACATTCTAATCCTGTTAGCTCAGCCCTAATCCAAAATCACTTTGAGTACATACATGCATGTATATGTAACCCTACTTGCATTCATGCATAAGCCTTCAACAAGGCACAAACATTTACAAGCACACACACATAGAACCACACGTTAAAATAAGTTTATGTTACATTGGCATTTATTTTTTTTTATAACAGCTTACATTGTTATTTTTATCAAGCAATAGCAGGAATATTATTACAATGAAAATATTTTCTAATAAGCACAACTGTTAAAGGATGGCCAAAACTCATCAGTATGGCAAGGAGGTACCTTAGAAAATATATTTATTAACAATACTGTTTCTCCTCACTGTCCACAATGTTGAAGATGAGATATTAGGTGTCCTAATTGTCAAATGGTTAAGGCACACACCAAATTACTGCAATGTCTACGCTTCAATTTCACTTGGGGACCTTTACATGATTACTGTTCTTCTACACTCTACAAAAAAAGATAACAAAAGATAAAGATGTATAAATTACAGTCAAAGCCTTAACCAAGTATGTTTTTTATTGTCCTAGGTTTACTATAAACCTTAAGTGTGGTAGATCAGGCTCAGGTGTATGAAATTAAATGACTACCTATTTTGTAATTCAGCTATGAAGACTTGTTGGTTAATGATGATACGCAGAACCAGTAAAGAATTTAGTTTTTGATGTTCATTCTTGTAGATACACAAAAAAACCTGGTCATCATCTGACAGTTGGCAGTTTAATTCTGTTAGCATTCACTAATAAAACAGTTATATGAATTTTCACACATTATAAAGAAAGAAAAGCTGCAAAATCTTGCTTTCCCGTTCCCTTTTATGAGGAACCCAGTATGCAAAATGTGTTTCAGTTGTTATTTTTGGCTCACATCCTTTCACAGCACGATTTCCTGTCTGTCTTGCAGCTGAAAACAGCGCTGTTTTATGTTTTTTATACACCAATATATTATGTGAATTCCTCTGAAATACAATAATTGGACTCAAATTCAACATTTGAAAAAACCTAAAAGAAAGATTTAATGGCCAGCAATCCTAGCCTTGTCTTTCTGAAAACTAAGTTAACACTTTTCTCATCTGTTATTAACATCTGGGTGCAGTAACACACTGGGTGCAGAAACACACTGTTGTCATGTTGAGGTTGCCACACAACCTCAACATGATGACATTACTGTGTGTTTTCTGTTCTTGTACAGAGTTTTAAATTGTGAACTTTAGAGCTAGTGGTAAGTGCATTTTCAACTTTAGAAAGAGGCAGGCTATCTTTTCCCTCATGTTTCTAGTCTTCATTAACCTCGGAGGAAGTAAGCAATTAAGTGATTGGCCCAGAAAGTCTAACTACTATATTTAAACTTTAAACATTCTATGTACATTGCATAAACTTATAGAAAAAAAAGGCACAATAACACTCATACAAAATACCCTTCTACACATCTTCGACATCGCCCATTGGTTTGTGGTGTACGGCTTTGAAGCCTCAAGTTCTGCTTTATTGCCATCGCCATGTTGGTTTTTCATAGCCAGCTGCAGGGATGTACTAGTTAAACAGTCTGTTCTGTGAAAATATTGTCTAGACTAATACAACCTTCTATACAGTGCAATATAGTGATTAGTGCTATTAGCAGGGCTGATTCAGCAAATGATTTGTACTACATTATAATGGTTAAACAATGTTAATTAGTTGAGGCTTACCACCAGGCTCATTTTGGCTTTTGACAGCAAGAAGTTACCACATCAGAACAAATTACAGAAGTAATCCTCAAACAATTAAGCAATACTATCCTCACCCATTACATCCTTCACAGTTGAATACAGTGCCCCATCCTCACCTTCCTCCTCCTCTGGTACACAATATTTTGTCTCCTCATCCTCCCCTATCATTTCCTCTTCTTCCCTTTTCTCTCCATCTTCTCTCTCCTTTGCTTTATCTTTTTTAATTTCAGCATACTCTGTCTCTGGGGTCCCTTGTTTTGTCCCTGCCTCTGCTGGATTCGGTCTGTTAATCAGGGAGAAATCAAGGTTGGAGTACTCCACGTCTGATTTCCCTGCCGCCACAGCTCCTCCTGCATCAGATGCCTCTTGGTCGATGGCCTGTTCATCTTCCACTGCTTGACCAGCATCGATCTGTCAGATACAACACAGAAATTTGTCATTTTATCAACCTCAAATGGCTCATTTCAGCATGAAGAAACATTTTAGAAGTGATTTTACTAAAAACTCCTGCACAGCTGTTTCTTGTAATAAAAATCACACATATTTGGGGTTTAACTAAAATATAATATGACCAGCTGCATAAAAATAAATACCAGTGGCTCCTCGTGACTTGTCACCATCTCCAGAGTCTCAGTCATATTTCCATAGGTCCTCTGTTTTTTCCTGTGGATAAATTATTTTTTAACAGAAACATGAATGTACAGAAAACAAGTAAAGATTACTAATATCACACTTGAACAGATTTTAAAGGACCATCATAGTAGTTTTGAAGCAATATTGGTCCCCTTAGGCCATTTAATAAACATTTTACATTACAGATAACCATGTCCCAAAGCACGTTATATAAGTCCTTTATGAATTGGGAATTCACATTCAGAGCATAGAAACAGATAGACCAAAAAAAAAATCTGAACAAAAAGTAAAATAAGAACTTCAGCTTACCTGTGGCATTTTGTCACCAAGCAGCAAATGACTGCGGATATAAGAGCACCAATAAAAAATGTAATGATCATTTCCAGCCGAGTCACAACTCCTAACAATTTCATTATTTGACCTACATGACCTGCAACAAAGAGGAGAACATTGTAAAGAATTAAATAAAAATTCAAAACTAAGGCATGACATGAAGATCCTGTACAGTTTGATTTAAAGGTCCAGCGTGTAACATTTAGGAGTCTCTGAAATGAAATATAATATTTATAGGTATATTTTCTGTAGTGTATAATAACTTAAATATAGGAATCATTATGTTAACATAATGTTATGTAATAATGTTTACAACAGACGCCACTGGTCACCTTCCATGAAGTCCGCCATGTCGAAGCGCCATGTTTTGACAGTAGCACAGAATGGACAAACTGGCTCACTCAGGCAACTACACTGCTAGACTCCAATAAATCCTACATACTGGACCTTTAAGGGTTACAGGGTACAATTTAGATTGGAGATTAGAGAGCTTTTAAAGTGGGAGTTGTTACCTTCTTCTTCTTGTTTGTCTTCGTCCACGCTGAGGTTCCCTTTTACTTTTCCATTTTTATTTCTGCTAACACACTCAACAGTGTTACTCTGTTTTTTAACATTTAGGATGACGGTGCTATTGACTGTGTGGTTTGACACACTGGTACTGACAAAGTACTCAGGGTGGTTCTCTAACAGCGGCCATTTAATGGTGGGTAGAGGAAAGCCATGACTGATACACACACAGGTCAGAACCTCCAACTTATGTTTGCATCTAGAGCTGTTTAGGATCTTTGGATGCACTGTAAAAAAAAAAAGAAAAAAAAACAGAATCACAACATCAAATAAAGTGTGCAGTAAAGTGATAGAAGATTAGGTAGAATATAAAAATTATTTTCCTTTATATGGAGCCAGTCTACTTACAAGTCACAGTTACATTAGCATACACAGTCATGTTAAAGTGTATTGCTGTACAGACATACTGTCCAGTATGTTCTGCTGTCACATTATGGATGACAAGAGTGGCTGTTTCAGTTTTGTTCTGCAGGCCAATTAGGGTTTTGTTGGATGGGACTTGAGTCCACATGACGAGAGACAAAGGGAAAGTTTTGCAGGTCAGATGCAGAGTATCGCCCTCCGTTACGGTTCTATTTCCAGTTATTTGAGGTTTCTTCACATCTTTAAGACAAAAATATTGGAACAAAAATTTAGACTTTCTCAGTTAATGTAATTTGTAAGCACTCTTAACACGTGGCTTCCACCAAAAGCTTCAGTCACTTTGACACATTTCAACATCTACTTGTATACTACAGTGGTTTCTGGGAGGTTACTCTAGTCTACTCAAGACATGAGGCTCCACTCTGAGGCTGAAAACACACACAAAGATGAAATGAGAATATATTGTTGACGGCAAGTTCTCAGATCTACTTTTGAATCTACTTTTTATACTGTAATTTACTGACAAACAAATTCAAAGACATTCTTGAGTGGTGTAGAAGTCATAAGTAAGAGAATACAGCACATTATGTTTTACTCACAGGTCACATTCAGAGTCACTGTCTCCTCTGTAGTGATGTTGTTTGTGAAGCTGACCTTACAGGTGACTTTGGTGCCGTGGTGTTCAGCTGAAAGGTTAAAGGTCAAAGTTGAGCTGTGTCTCTGTGTGACAGCAGTCAGATTCTCCGTCTTGAACTCAGTGATGTTTCCTGTGATGTGAGAGTCGTTCTCTCCTGTTCTTCTCCACATCCAGGTGATGTTAGGACGAGATCCAGAGCAGAGACCAGGAGCAGTGCAGTTCAGTGTGGTCTGCTGTCCCTCTGTCAGAATTGTCACTGTGGGCTTCTGGGTAAGATCTGAAGGGGGAACAAATGTACAATAGGAAGAAAATCAGGGTCTATTTGTGGAATTAGGTGAGCAGACGCAAAGGTAATTGTTCACTTTAAGTCGGACTAATATAATAATCTACTGTTAAATATTTCAGAGGGGCAATAAGTGGAAGGTATGGCAGGAGTAAAAGAAGACAGGCAGCTGGTGTTACTACTGGTTGCCCACAGAGTTCAATAGAACATCATTTTACAACTTTTCATAAAACATCTTAAGAGAGCGTAGAGCATTTTCTGTGGTCCTTCATACCTCCTACTGTGATAGTTACTGTATAATTGTATTTTTCATTTATTCCACTCAGGAGTTGATATGATCCAGAGTCTGCAAACAGTGAGGTCATTGATGATGATGCTGCCACAGTTATTCTGACTCAGATCAGGCTCCAACGGTGACACTCGTCCATTGAACAAAGTATTGAGGTTGGTGTTGTTCAAGTGGAGTTTTGTATATATATATAGTATATATAAAAATGTATAGGAACATTTATCATCAGTGCAAAAAAAGTCAAGAGACAAGATTGTATTAAAGATGCATACTGTACCTGTGTTAGCAGTGTTGCTTTTCACAGCGAAGAACAGAGTCGCCCAAATGAGAAACATCCTAATTCGATGATTGTGACAGACCAGTCTCTCTCTACACAGGACAAAATCGTATCTCTCAAATGCTCTCAGAACGCTATACAACATGTGCAAAACACATACAGGAGGTTTGGTTGATCAAACTGGACCAGAAAGAGCTCAACACCTGACAACCCAGATGTTAATACAGGATGTCGCATGATCACTCATTCTGTACTTAAGCAAATACATTTGACTACCACTTTCCCCCTGGGACATGATTTTGGGCCCCCGATGACGACTCTACGACAGCTTTGCACAATGAATATCTGTGCCATATCCTGGCCATCCTCGGTGTAAGACTTTCCCTACAGTCTGCCATATTACACAAGCACAAAGCAGTAATTTGAAAAAGCAATGTCATAGATTAAATGGTTCTCTTAAATAGATTTTATTTAGAAAGACATCTTAAATACAAGGTAAATGCTGTGTTTTACCTGTTTTTTTGTTCCCCTCCTCACTTCTCTGCCACGATGATCCGGTGTGACTTTGCTCTAAACTGACTCTTCCTCTGATACTTTTCTCTTCCTTCTTTGTGTAAACAATACTGGTGAGAACTGTTGCTACAATAGTGAGAATGCCTCAATTTCATGCAGTTACAGTCTCATACTATCACATTATGCATGCACCACATAGGCATATGCATAAATAACACTTTTAGATTTTTCTTTGTTACCATTTTTGTGACTGTGAACTGATAAAAAAAAGCTTTGGAAAGGGGAAGTTTATGGAAGTTGCACAAAACATTCTGGTCATCTTGAGAAACATATCAACCTATCAACAGTATCTTTCCTTTGTGTGTGATGTGCATGACTGTGAATGGTGCATATTTCTGCAGGGCCAGTTGAGTTGATGAAGAATATTCACACGTAAAAAACTACAATTTCTCCATTTTAGCTTTAGCCTCTATAAAGGCACTTTTGTATTTGTATAGTGTGCAATATTTGCACGTGCTGTTCTCATCAGTTCACTGAGTGTTCAATGCATTTTCATATATGGCATCACTGTACAGTATCTTCAGTGTCTCCGATAACTTCCTGTTGCGCTACTAGACTATAACTATCTTCAGCTAATAAGCTCCACTTCTTTCAAAACCTGTTGCTATATGTGTGCATATTCAACATAGAGTGCCATAGAGGTTGACAAGACTTTGTTTTCACTTAAAGTTCAAGTTCTACAAAATGTTTTTTCTCAAGAAACTCCGTGCTCTCTTAGAACTGAAAGTCAGGTCGATTCCGATACACATTTAAAAAGGGGAAGTAATCTTTTACTTAGAATAACATACAAATTGACCTGCAATGTATTTTTGAAATTTGAGGGTGACATTTTTTCCCCCTGTTTTGAAGGTTCCTCACCTCTTCTTTGAAATTAAAATGAAAGAATAAATACAAGAGATGTTTATTCAGTGCACAGGGTTAGCGTTTATTCATATGCAAAGCAGAGCACAGTTCTAAAAGACAGATCTGCACTTATGCAAACCAAACATAGAAGCACAGGGGATCCTGCAGAGCATGTGTGGTACAGACTTTTCACCACTGAGAGGCACCAAAGTAGGATTTTCACAAAAATGGACTGCATTTATATAGCACTTTTATCTAAAGTGCTTTACAATTTGCCTCTAATTCACCCATTCACACTCACTGATGGCATCACCTAACCTAACCATCTGGCGTTATTTGAGGTTCAGTGTTTTATAGGGTTTGAACAATCAACACTGCCATTTCTGGACAACCTGCCCTGAGACAGCCACACATGGCTTAAAATGAAGGTTCAAACCAGAAGTTCATTTATACCTTATAATAATAATAATTATTATAATAATAGTAATTATAATACATTTAATTTATAGAGCGCTTTTCAAGAAACTGAAAGACACTTCACATAAGTTAAAAAGGAAAAGAAAAAGGTCATAAAAATAACACCCTTAAAAATTATAGCTATATCTACAACACTCAATAATGAATCAAACATTAAAAGCTTGATGACAGGGCACCCGAATAGCTCAGTGGATAGAGCTGGCGACCCACATACCGAGGCTGAGTCCTTGCTGCAGCGGCCCAGGGTTTGAATCTGACCTGCAGCCCTTTACTGCATGTCATCCCCTCTCTCTGCCCCCCCTTTCCTGTCTATCCTCAGCTGTTACTATAATAAAGGCTATAAAAGGACCCAAAAAATATACTTTAAAAGCGTGATGACACACAATTTCAGCTGCATTTATTTCTTAAAAAGTAATGTAAAGTCTAAAAATAATAATAAGCTTATCTGGTACATAAAGCTATCAATTCTACTTGATACAGTGTAAATTAATCCTGTGTCAGACAAGCTTGTTTGCACAAAAAGACAAAATGTAAAAATATTTCCTTGAAATATCACATCTAAAGATGAATTTCTGCACTATATAGGTTCTGCTCTATCCTCCGTTTAATGTAATGCACAATGTTTCACTGTATTTATGTTATATGTTACAACTGTCTATGTTAAATCACCCGTCATGTTTCGCCTTGCTTCACCAATACAAAAAGAAATGTATCCATAAGTGACTCCACCAAGCTACACAGTCCTCAAATCTCAGCCATTATTTCATTCACATTGGAATACACTGCAACATCCTCCTCTTCTGCAACTATACACTCTCTTGTCTCGTTATCTTCCCCTATCATCGCCACCTCCTCTTGATTGCCCAAGTTTTCACCATCCTCGCCAGCATTGTCTTCTCTCTCCTCTGTTTCAACTTTCTTAATTTCAGCATACTCTGTCTCTGCCGTCTCTTGCGTATTCTCTGTCCCTCTGGGACTCTTCCTTGTACACTTGGAGAAGTCTATGTCAGAGTACTCTACCTCTTTGGGTTCTACGTCACTGTTAGGGGCTGATTGCCCAGCAGCCTCTGCTTCTCCCTCAGCTGCTTCTTGGCCATGGGTCTCATCATTTTCCACTGATTGACCAGCATCCATCTGTCAGGTACAATAAAGAAAGCATATGTCATTTGGTTAGACAACTTTATGTAAACTATCCATGGAATCCCCTAAGGTCTGAAAATGCTGAAAAGACTTGAGATATTGTTGATAATCCGTTAAAATGACCATACCTGCTTTTATTATAGTTATAGTTAAGATTGTTGTTGTGTGATAATGAGTAGTATTCTCATATTAGTCTTAAACAGGACAATTCTTGCAGTGTCTCTTGAAATTGAATTTCATATTGTAGCAAAATGAACTGCATGTCTCATCGCAAGACAAATATTTTAGAAAAAAGCTGTTAATTTAAATACCAGTTGGACCACTTGAGTAGTCACCATCTCCAGGTTTTCAACCGTATTTCCAGAGCTCTTCTGCTTTTTTCTGGTGAGAAAATTAAATAGGGACACATTAATGAAGAAAAAAAACAATTATCAAGAAAAGATTACTGGATTAAAGTCTTGTTTGTTTTTTAAAGGACCGCACCTGTGATTTTGAAAGTTTTAGCCCTCTATAATATTTATTCAATCCGGTTATCATGACGCTACCTAATATATTTAGATTTTTTAATATGTTCTTCCTAGTGTTACAACCAGACAACATTTATTTAATTTTGTTAAAATATAAGACCGGTCAGGTGGAACAGTGTCTCAGCAGTGTCACTTCAGAACAACAGCGTTCTGGGTTCAAACACCAACAAAGCTGACTGGCCTTTCTGTGTGAGCTTTCCATGTTCTCTAGTTTCTCCCCACCATTGAAAGGCATGCAGATTAGATAAATTAGAAACTAAACATTGTCCTTACATGTGTTTTTGTTTTATTATGTGGGATTTTACCACACGTAAAAACACATTCAAAGATGTAAGTGGTATACCTTGGAAAGTCGTTAGCATTAATGCAATATGGATAAAGTTAGCTAAAACACTGGTGTGGTCATTTATGAATAATCGTCATTAATAATGCCTAAAATGTCTGCATGGATGTCAAAAATAAGGATAATAAACTTAAAAGTGTACCTGTGGCATTTTCTGGCCAAACAGCAGATGGTGGCTGACAGAAGAATCCCAATCACAAACGCGATGATGATTTGTGGCTGTACAATCATTAACAAATGATAGAGGAGATCTGGAATGGAGAGGGACAAATAAGTTCAAATTACCAGTTGTGATCAGTGCTGCATATGTGAAATAACAAAAAGCAGTGGTTGAGAGTAAATAAAGTATGTTAGTTGTCAACGCTTATCTTCTGGTTTCAACTTGTCATTATCAATATTTATTATAATTGTGAAGTTATAATTTTGTTGTCCAAATACAAAGTTTACAGTGAAAGAGATACTAAAAAATGACAAAGCAGTGGTCTAGAGTAGCAGAAGGGTTTTAGCTGAGAAATTTTACCCTCTTGTTTGGGAGCGTCTGTTTGAACGGTGAGGTTTTCTTTTGCTTCCACATGCTCATTGCTGCTGACACACTCAACAGTAGTGCTGCTGTGATCTTTTATGGATAGGGTGACGGTGCTGTTGACTGTGTGGTTTGACACGGTGGTATGAACAGAGTACTCAGTGTAGTTCTTCAACAACGGCCATTTGATGGTGGGTAAAGGAAACCCCTCACTGATACACACACAGGTCAGGACCTGCGATTGAACCTTACATCCAGAGTTGTTAAAGACCTTCGAAATCCCTAAAAACACACAAGCAGAATCACAACATCACAACAAAATGCTGATAGTGTAAAAACCTAAACATCCTTTTCAAGAAGATTTGTAGTCTACTCACAAGTCACAGTTACATCAGCAAATACAGTCACAGTCCTGTTCAGATGTTGTGTTGTACAGATGTACTGTCCAGAATGTTCTGCTGTCACATTATGGATGACAAGTGTGGCTGATCCAGAGTTGTTCTGCCGGTCAGTATTAGGTTCACTGAGCTGGTTTGCGTTGGAACCGAGAATAGACCATGTGATATTAGACAGAGGAAAACTTTCAACACTGCAGGTCAGATTCAGAGCATGCCCCTCCTTAACAGTTGTATTCCCAGTGATTACAGGTTTCTTCATATCTGTGAGGCACAAAATAAAGTAACTGAAGTTAGGATATAGCGGTAGGAAAAAGACAAAAGAGTCAGATTAAATAAATGAAAGTAATGACATTTAAAAGCCAAAGTCATTATATACATTACAATACCTCACAATATTGATAGACCATTTACATAATTTGTGGGAATGTATTGCAACTCTAGAAAACTTCTTGAGGTATAATACTAACTTTTGTGTCCTACTGAAATACAAAAAGGCTATCCCTAATACTGCATAAATGTAGGTATGAGTTTAATATATATAATATAAAGAAAGAAAAATGACAATATACAGCAGTGTGACATATTTAGTACATAATTAAGATGGTATGTACATAATACACATAAAATAATGTAAATTCATTGTGTGTAAATGTTTTTGTATTCATACATTGTCTGAAATTGTTTTGTTCTTTTTAAATTAATACTACCACTGGAGGGCGCCAAAATTGTTCAAAATCTACACATATTGGCTGTAACAAACATCACAAGAAGTCAAAACATGTAATATATTGTAAATTGCATATTGAGATGGTCCCACACGGGTACAGGGACGTTTAAGAATGAGTTTGGTAGGATTTTTAATGTTGTAAACTTATTTAAGTAACCATATTAGAAGAAAGAAGAAAACACTACAAGACATTTTCTGTCTTAGAACAGTTGTACAATGTGTTTACACGTCATTGTTCAACAACATTTTCCATCAGACTGTTGTTCAGATGTGTTTACGTCTCTTAGCAAACATTAGATAAACAATAAAGGGTGAGAATACAGCACATTGTGTTTTACTCACAGGTCACATTCAGAGTCACTGTCTCCTCTATAGTGATGTTGTTTGTGAAGTTGACCTTACAGGTAACCTTGGTGCCATGGTGTTTAGCTGAAGGGTTAAAGGTCAAAGTTGAGCTGTGTCTCTGTGTGACAGCAGTCAGATTCTCTGTCTTGAACTCAGTGATGTTTGCTGTGATGTGAGAGTCGTTCTCTCCTGTTCCTCTCCACGTCCAGGTGATTTTAGGACGAGATCCAGAGCAGAGACCAGGAGCAGTGCAGATCAGTGTGGTCTGCTGTCCCTCTGTCAGAGGAGGAATCATCACTGTGGGCTTCTGGGTCAGATCTAATGGGAGAGCAGTCCATGAGTGGAATCAGGTGAGCAGCCTGAAGGTCAGCATTCACTTAAATTAGGCTTAAAACAATCAGTTACTGAAACATTTAAGTAATAATAATAATAATAAAAATGTAACTATTGCTACTACTACTACTACTACTACTAATAATAATAATAGATAGGATTTATATCAGGACCTGCTGCAGTTCCTACTGGCTGCCCACAGAGGTCAACAAATACAAAACAAATACAGAACTATTTAAATAAAACTTCATAAGCACAACAATGAATATTCACTGTGTATATCTGTTGTAGCTCTTCACCTTTAACAGAGACAGTTGCTTTTGGAGTGTATGTAAATCCATCATCTGTCTTCGCAGACGAGCTACCATTAACTCTGAGCTAATATGATCCAGAGTCTGACTTGGTGAGGTCATTGATGATGATGCTGCAGTTCTTCTGGCTCACATCAGGCTCCAACAGTGACACTCGTCCTGACTGATTTTTGTTGTTGTTCATTTTTGTGTGGAATATTATGTCTGATTTATCACATCTTTGTTTCGATAGTTCACATTTGTACCAATTTATATTTTGGGGTGTAAAGCTAGGACCAGCAGTGAAAGAACACGGTATCACAGCACAGAGTCCAGCCTCTGCTGTTATTCCTCCTTCACTGAGAGTGATACAGAACTCATCTTTACATGTTTCCTTCAATGATGAACCTGTCAAAGCAAACAGCAAGAGAAACACAGACAGTGGACATTTTGATTTTTACAATACACCACCTTTAAATAAATTATTAAGAAAGGCTACCACTGACAGACAGTACGGTGACTGTTTTATTTTATATATATAACAGCTGTTGACAGGAGAGCATATTTTTTTTATCTTATAATATCTTTGGTAAACAAAGAAGTCATTTACATAACTGCGCCCCAGGGTTTCCAAGAAAGTCAATATCTGTTGTGAGAAATGCTCTTATTGAGCTGGTTGATTTGGGGTAGAAAAATGAAAACCTTTAAAAACAATTTTATTCACATTAAAATTAAGATGCATACCTCTCACAGAGAAAAGAAGAGTCGCCCAGATGAGAACGAACATCCTGATTCGATGATTCAGTCAGTCAGTCTCTCCCTTCACAAGACCAAGTTTTCTTTTCAGAGGCACAAACATATTGAAATGTTTCAGTTGATGAAACTGGATCAGACACACCTCTATGGTTGACAGCCACATTTATTAATGTAAACACACAACATCCTGTATTTAAATCCACACCAACATCTCCAGGGTTGTGAGTCCCCTAAAATGTTTTATTTTGAAGCAGTTTTTGATATTTGTTCCGGAAAACTGCTAAATAAATAAGATATCTGTTGCAGCTCTGAAATAAATCTGCACTGATGCAAAATTACAGACTTTCTCAATTAAATATACTTTTGAAACCAGTAATTATTTTTTTTCTTTATTAATTTAATATTTTGATGTTATGGAAAAATTACTAGTTTCAATTTACAATTTTCAAACTGTATTTTAATTATAAATGTTTTTTACCTTGTGTCTTGTTCTCTTGCTTCCTTATCTACTCAGTGACCTCGACTGAGTGTCTCTTCTCTAAACTGACTCTTCCTTTTTTACTTCTTTCCTCTTTGCACTACAAGTTTCCAGGAAGTTGCTCTACACCGCCCTACAAAGCATAACTACAGTAACTATACTAACAGTGAAACTCAAAGTTAAAAGGTTTTTTACTGGCCAGTCAAAAGTATTTTATGTAGAATGGCGGGTATGTGCCTATTGAATATGTATTATCTAAATCATTTTTATGGCTTAAAAATCATGACCAATTATTTGACCTATGACCCCAAAAATGCAGCTACTGCACTCTGTCTTTGTATTACCATAAACAGGTATATAGGTAGTGCAAAGCAGGAGTGCAGTAACTACAGATGAGTGTCTACTTCCTGATAAAATCTAAATCTAATTTGATGTTTTAATACATTATTAAATATGTATTTCTTGTTTCATGTGTAACAAGTTGAAATAGTTGCCTAATTAAGAACATTTTGTAGTATTATTTTGTGAGGTTGAAATACCACAGTAATCCTTTGTCCTGTCCTTTTACATAGTTTTTTCTCTGAGATAGAGCAAGACTGAACTTCTGAAAATCTGTCACAAGATAAAACAGACATTTAAAAGTTAATTTTCAATCATAACTCAATGTTGACCCAAATTGTAGTTACTGTGGTTCTGCTTTGTAGGGCAGTACACAATAGTGGCCCTGCTTAGACTGCCACACATACAGCTAAAACCTCATATGTATATATATATATATATCAATCTGGCAACACTCAATAATGAAACCTACCTATCAACTAGAAACTATCTACCAACTATCCATCTTTGCAATGCATAATACCTTATGTGCAGAGTGGCACATGCATCAATGAATGGTTTGTATTACTGGTTAATATCTGCTGTGCCAGTGAAATAATAATGGTCATGGTCAAAGAGAGACATTAGTTTAAGGATTAGTTTATTCATGTATGAAAACATGTAATGCATTAAATATGTGCAGATTCAAGTATTTTAATCATAGTTCTTAATTTCAACTACATGCAACCTTTAGTATTTACCACCAAGTTTTTTATGGTTTGATGGTTTATTACGAAAATCTTAAAGTTGTGTTCTCAGAAATGCACTAAGGTGATAATTTAAACATTTTCTCGCTCTAGTAACTTCCTCTTCACACTTTGAGGTGCTAGATTATAATATTTTCTTTTAGCTGCAAACCGGCTTGCATGTTTCTTTTTACCTATTAATATATGCCTGCATACTTAATACTAACTACAGAACCTTCAAACATTGCAGACTGTACCAGATGTAAGAAAAGCTTAGTTGCAATGGACTCGATGGTTTCCTCTCAAGCATAAACGAGTGTCAGACACTCGATCACTGAGTACTGTGAGTGAGGTTTATTTCTCAAACATTAAAAAGGGAAGTAATCTATGACCTGTTAAACAAGAACGTTAACAGGCCTTTAGAGACAAATTGAGCCAAACATTCAGAAAAAGCACATCATATAAAAAGACATTTTTTTTATTTTTTTATATAGAATGTATGCATACATTTACACCAGTTTAATGTACATCAAAATGGGTTGCTGCAATTGTTCCTGCTATACATACAGACCCCGAAGAGAACAGAAAGCAATTCCACTGTAAGAGATGAGGGACAAAACTGACAGTCCTTATTCTGTGAAAATGTCTTCCCAAAGTTCAGCTGAAGCTCTTATGTATCACAGATTGTTACAGCCCTGGCCGTATTATTAGCATTATGTTATGGTATTGGTTCCGTCTGTGGTGTGTGTTGGTGTTTTTTGTCCCTGTTCCTCTGCAGGAGTGTGGAGCCTGTCGATTGTAGATCTTTGACGGCAACCCGTAGGTCAGCTCTGACTGGTCCATGCCGTGGGCTCGGCTGGTGGAGTGTCTCCTGCTGGTTGGTTCTCCCAGGGAGCCGCAACATCCGCCGGGGATTCAAAACGCCGCACCGCACCGAAGCTCTTCGACAGAACCTTCAGCAGCAGCATCCTTCTGTCCTCGGTTGTAGAGCATCCTTCTGTCCTCGGTTATAGAGTGTGTGTTTTTGCGATAGAGTGAATTGTTACGATCTTAGTAGATAGTGTTTTTGTATGATTGTGTTTAGTGAGTATCGTAAGGGTGAGCTGCCATTTTCTTTGTACTACTTTTCTCCTGTTTTTCATTAGGATAGGGAGTTAGGTTTAGTAACTGTATTTTATTTCTATTGCATAGGGATTAGTAAGGATTTTTGTTTAAGGAAGTTAGCCCTGTTTTGTTTGTTGTTTTGGCCTTGGTTCACCCTGAAGTTTGTTGTTTAGTCTTTGTTGCACTTTGTTTCACCTGTTTGTAAATAAATCACATCACTTGATTGTTAACACTGTGTTAGTTGTTCGTTTGGGGATCGGGGAAGGATTATCTGTTCATTTTTCATCACACATTTATGTGGCGCTCCTTCCCCCTAGACAGGGGCGTAACACAGACACTGTAACTTACTCATTATTTGTCTAACTCAGTTCTCCTAAAGCCTCTTATTAACTAGGATTGGTCTTTGAAATGCATTTTGCGCCGTAGATTTTGTCCCTATCTCTGTCATTAGTTAACGACGGGATCTAACTATTACCTACTTTGTCCAATTTTGTCCTTTTCCCCCATTTCTTATTTACTTGCAGGCTTTATATATATTGTGTGACCATTTTTGAAGGGAGCCTGAGAACAAAGGATTTCAAGTCTGTATCAATAGGATTGTTGTTCATATGACAAATAAAATAACTGGACCTTTTTTTACTATAACCATGTGACTATTGTACTGAGATAAACTGACACACTAAATGGAAATGAAACAGGAGTATGCGCTCTGAAACTGCAGTCATACTTTGAGCTAAATGCTAATGTCAGCATACTCACGTGCTCACAATGACAATGCTAAAATGCTGATTATGTATAATGTTTATTCTGTTTACTGTCTTAGTTTAGCATGTTAGCATTTGCAAATCAAATTGGCATTAAAGACAAAATAAAGCTGAAGCAGATGGGGATGCTGCATTATCTCAAAAGAGAACGTTTGAGCTAATGATGGAACTAGATAAAAAGTTTAGGAATTACTAAAGTTAATACAATTTAAACTGATATGGACAAAAATGTCTGCACCAGATTTCAGGGCAATACAACCAATAGTTGTTCAGACATTTCAATCAAACCCACAAGTCAAACTCATGGTGGTGCAACCACCTTTAAAAAGCAAGTTGCAGTTGCACTATGAACAAAGTCATTGGGATACATTTATGTTCCCCATGAATGTCTGTACATGTTGTTAATAGGAATTCATCCAATAGTTAAGATATTTCTGTCTAAACAAAATTATCTGACAAACCAACCAACAGAAAAATCTTTGCCATCATTAGAGCCACGCTGCAAAAGAGACACCATCACTACAAAGGGTGTACGTAACAGTTCCATTTTAGCTTGAGTCAGAGAAATGTGGGGAGGGTTTTGGGCTGATTTATCCTCAAGAAACTCCACAAGGCAACATAGTCCTCAAATCTCACCCATTATATCCTTTACACTGGAGTAAACTGCTGTGTCCTCCCCTTCATCCTCTTCTGGGACATGTTGTTTTGTCTCCTCATCCTCCCCAATCATCACATCCTCCTCTTTGCCATCCAACACTTCATTTTCTTCTTCCTCTCCACCTCTTTCTTCCTCTTTTCTTTCTTCTTTTACTGCTTTCTTAATTTCAGCATACTCTGTCTCTGTGGTCTCTTGTGTGTTTGCTGCCTCCTTGGGACTCCTCCTTTTCAACACTGAGAAATCAATGGTGGCGTACTGCACATCTTTTGGTTCACCAACTCCTTCTCCATCTTCAGCTGCCTCTTGGTAGTAGGTCTGATCATCTTCCACTGCTTGACCAACATCGATCTGACAGGTACAACATAAATTATATGACACATTCAGCAGCTGCTACAAGAACCAAACTTCTGTACAATATACATGAAATCTGTAATTTACATATTTACATTACTGCCAACCATATTTATCAAGCCATAATCTTTTTACATTTTTTTGTTTAATGATCTAGTGTCCATTCATTTCTATCAAAAACACAGCTTTGTTTGAGATACCATAATCCATCACAATGTGTATCTGCTTTTAAGATTGTTATTAAATGTGTTAATGCAATGAGTTGTGCTTGCTTGAGTTGACTGGATGGGCTGCTTCATTCATGCTCTTCTGCAAAATCTATATGACAATTTTCTATTTATGGTTAAATCATAAATGAATTGTGTCTGACTGAAATATTAAACAATGAAAGCCACATTCACACATCTAAAATACTACATTTAAAACTGGGACAAATCTGAGTTAAACAATTATTATATTAATATAATATACAATATTAGTTGAAAAGATATGAATACCAGTGGATCCTCTTGATTGGTCACCATCTCATCAAACTCATCATCTCGTTTCATCCAAATTCATTTTTTTTCCTGCAAAATAATGTATTAAAATAGTAACAGGTTAAAATGTGTGTACCAGGGTTGTCTTCAAACAAAACCAGGAATGAATTACTAATTAATGAACAGTGTACCTGTGGTATTTTTTTTACCAAACAGCAAATGACTGCTGAAAGAACTACCCCAATAAAAAAGGCAATGATGACTTCCAGCCGTGAAACCATTTTTAATACTCCTGTGGATTGATCTGCAATCAAGAGGAATAAAAGAAAAAATGTATATGCAATAACCTGTTGTTTGTTGTCCAAATACAAAGTTTACAGTGAAAGAGATACTAAAAAATGACAAAGCAGTGGTCTAGAGTAGCAGAAGGGTTTTAGCTGAGAAATTTTACCCTCTTGTTCGGAAGCGTCTGTTTGAACGGTGAGGTTTTCTTTTGCTTCCCCAATTTCATTGCTGCTGACACACTCAACAACAGTGTTGCTATGGTCTTTTACACTTAGGCTGACGGTGCTGTTGACTGTGTGGTTTGTCACAGTGGTAATGAAAGAGTACTCAGTGTGGTTCTTCAACAACGGCCATCTGATGGTGGGTAAAGGCAACCCCTCACTGATACACACACAGGTCAGGACCTCTGATTGAACCTTACATCCAGAGTGTTTTAAGATCTTTGGGAACACTGTAA